TAGTCGCAGCGGGAGTGGATTTTAGGTGATACGCATGCCATTTTGCTACAGTGTGCTCGTTTGTCCTGGTGCCTGAGAGCCCGTTCGTAGGTGTGGTCGAAGCTCAGATTAGCCCCGCGTCGTCATTGGTTTCTGGGCCAACGCGCGCCTTCTCACGTAACACATACGGAACGGCAGTGGTGCTATAGGAGGGGCGGGTTTGGACACGTTATATGTGGAAAAGCGGCAAAGCACAGTGGAAAGAGGATTGAGAGGGATAATTAAGACAAATTGGAAATTGATCGAGAGCTGATCATGTGACCGTAGAACTATTCCAAGGCTGAGTCAGTCAATTTCCGGTATGGAAAAGACATGAACATATGAAGTACCCGCATGTGCTGACTTAAATTAGAAGGCCCGCCCGGCACGATGCACACGTGTAGCGGCCAGGATGGTGCGTTTGTAACTGACTGCTCAAGCACTCTCCACAGAATGCATGGCTGCACGCATTGAGCTGACGAATCTCGGTATGCTGGTCGAGACAGATAGAACAATCGAACGGCTGCAGGACAGTCACGGGAATACTGACTCGATCAATGTCGACGTTTTCCGGACCAGTGAGCACATCTTCTAGCTCACTCAGCTCATACTCTTGCCAGTACCACACCCGATCTCCATCATCGATAATGATGCCATCTGAATCATCTGCATCAGACGAATGGAAATCTGGTTCCCAGTAGTGTCGCAGAAGAGGGCTTGCGTACGAGAAAAATCGCGCAACATCGCGAAAGAAGACACTGAGCATGAACCGCGCTTCAAAGTCCCCCATGTCGATCTCTTTACTGGAAATTGACTGAAAACCGGCCATGAGACGATTAAGCGCCTCTCTAACATGGTCGCGAAGGGGCGCCCGTATAGCATCGACAATACCATCACTACAAAGGTCCGTTTCGCCCCGCAGTATGAGCGACGTCTGTTGACGCACGAAAACCTCTATGTTATTAGTCAGTATGGAAGCTTGCGCTTGAACGTACTCATCTACAGCTGGAGACAGATCATTAGCGCTCATGTTCGCAGTCATTGTGTTGACTGTTATGATAATCTCTGACACGGATGGGTCGAGAAGCTGCCGAACCAGATCATGGATAGACTCTTGCATGCTGTAGGCAAAGCTCCCAAGGCTTACAGCCCTATGTATATGCAGCTTTCTATGAAACTCTCGCAGCATGGTACAGAGTTGCATGAATTCGCGGTCGCTGTCTTGGTAATAGTTGGAGGCGGTTCGGACAAGCTCTCCTAACAGAGAATTGGCAACAGAAGTTGGCACTACCGTCCACCCCACATCGGGCTGGTAATCAGAAAATGTTAGTGCGAAGTCTTCGAAGGCGCTTCGCGCCCAGGAAGCCCATCGCCCGTCCCGGTTTGCTTCTAGCTCGGCTGCTTGATCCCATGATGGAAGCTTCGCATCAAGCCGCGCTACGACTATGACAGCCCACATAGCACAGAGACCTTCAGGGAGTCGCGCATGGGCAGCTTGTGATTGACTGAAGCTCATGTTAATAATGGCCTTGTTGATGTATGGCCTATAGAGGTTGTGATTTAGTCGCCGCTGCGGTAGATGTGCTTGAAAATATCATGGTAGGGGATTAATAGGGCCTGCTCATGTAGGATGGGGAGACCATGTTGCAGCGACTGTCCAAAGGCTGCCACAACAGCTGGCATTGTGAACTGAAAACTGCATCAGTGGTGATGAAAGACCTACACCCAGTTTTCCTACAATGGGAGGCTAGTTCGCTTCTACGCGATAACATCGTGAGAGCAGCCGACCTCCAGATTCGAGAGGTGTATGCTTCACAAGCCACCGAGTAACGTGCACCAGAGAACAAAACCATGGGATACCATTACCGAGTTTTATTACTTCAGTTCAAACTTCTTTCCGAGTGGATGGAGGCTAGATGAAAGAATGTGCAGTCCGCAGTAACTACGAATTCCTTTCTTTTCTTCCAGAAGAACCCGTGTGCTGACCGGAGTCGTTTGCGATTTGAGAAGAGCAGGGCGGGCGCATAGGGAACCGCTTGATATCCACCGAACACGGTCACCAGAGCTGCGCATACGGCATACGTAGCCTGGATGTTGAGGGCTCTCATTGGGGTCATAACATTTCTTATCCGAGGGGTCGATCATCGCGCGATGTTGAGGCGGGACGATGGGACGAAGTAAGACGGAAGTTTCCCTCGGTATTGCCAAGGCGCTAGTGTCGAGGCGAATCAGTGCGAGGCACATCGAACGTCTTTCGCCCCGCCCTGCGTATCAACGTCAGGGCGCGACTCGGACAACATGACGATGCCAACTTCGTTGCTCCTGCTCGATGTCTACCGGTATTCCAGTCTTCATCGAGCCACGCACGTGTCATCGCCCTAGCAGAACAGCCGAGTCGGCAACGGTTCCTTCCGATGGCTGAACTAGTTTTCTAGCAGGCATGTCTGGCAACCATACACATGACTCTACTTCCATTCTCTTCCCCACAGCCACTCATATCTAGGCATCCCTCTAGAGCGTCAGTGCCACCACACATATGCTCCGGAGCACAACAAGTGGCTTTTAGTCACGCGTGCTACCTGCAACCCAGCCTCGGGACAACTGAATTTGTAGCACTCAACGCTTTACGGACATCGCATGATGGCTATACAGCCAATGGGTAACCCATGCCTTGCCTCGGCCTAAATTGAAGTCCTGTCTCACTCAGCTGAAGCTCATCAAACGGCCAAATCTCGAATCTTGTAGTCGATAGATCGAATAGGCCCGTCTGGGCGGTCAGGCCGTACTTCGGAAGCGAACCAATAAGCACCCCCAAGGATATGCCAGAGTACGCTCGCACATCCTCGTCGAACGCGATCGCGAAGTCCTACTCTTCCTCAACGCAATGTCTTGGTACACTGTGTGCCGAGAATGTTTGGTGAAGGTGAAATTAATTGTATACGCCAAGGCTAACATGCCGAACAATGCCGCCGGATCGTCATGTCCTATTCTATTCTTGGTACGCATGAACGACATGGACAGGCTTCGAGGGAACAACATCTACCACGATAGCCTTCGCCATCTAGATTGCCACTGGTATGCTGTATCAAGATGCTGGGTCGTGTGTAGCGCTTACCCTTGTAAGAATTATAGCCATGCCATGCTACTGAGCCTCGGTACTTTTCGTCTACAGTACTAGAAGATTGCTGATTCTTCCACTAGACGCGCACTAGACGAGGTTTCACACGCATATCAACGTCAACCCGATCATAAGCCCCGCCAAGCTTGAAGCAGTTGTCCTTGCACCCATAGTATGGTAGTCAAATGTCCGCGGCCCATGTCACCATGCCTTCCAAATTCCCAACAGTCGCTCCGCCACACAACTTCTCGATTTTGCGCGACGAGTTTCTTGTTGTCAGGGGCACTGTGCAATGTCCCACTTTTACGGTGCTTACACCTGTGGAGCGTTGCGTCGTCGCGCAATACACAGTCACGACATAGCACTGCGTACTGGCCTTCGACATTGATGTCGGAACAGTCCCATCGAAGCACTTGATTCAGTGTCAAGCCAAACACTTGGTTGAGTGACATGCAAATCATGTTCTGTTACTAGTCCATTTGAGGGAAGTGCCCCATAACCGTGCGGGGTCCCCGCATGTTCCTAGCATGATCAAGCATCGCCACCTTTTCCAAGACATCGAGGTGGTGCTAATCTCGCAAAGCGGCGTCTTCGTAGCCTTCTTTGTCTGAGGGGTACTAATTCGTGCTATGGCAGTCGCCCAATGGGCCCCGCACACTAAGTGATGTGCCGCGGCTTCGGGGAGGTCTGTGTTGATCTAGTCTATGTCGCTTCAGTCTTAGTGCGGACCAGGTCACCATGGACTCGGTGAAGATAAAGTTATAGCGATCCGCATTTGTTACGACATTCTCATTTTAGGGTTTACGCCCGAACCCATATCCGCATATCTTCCCGTCTTTGCCAGTTGTGCGCTTCCATAGCTCACTGCTTTGACAAGATGCTCGACACGATGAGGTCGTCCGCAGGGTCGCGCGACAGCGACTTGAAGAACCAAAACGGTACTCAATTGGAGATGACCGCTACCCACACACCGCCGAGCGAGCTTGAGAAGGGAGTGCAACTGGTGCCTGCGCCCAGTCGCGGACCAGAAGTTCACACGAGAGTGAGTGGCGCATGTTCTGCATCGCATCACTAAGCGCTGACTGGCTACAGATGAATATGAAACTCTTCATGACACTCACCTGCATGTCTTTTCTCTGGATCGGCTCGCAAATTCCGTTGTTCATATACGGCTCCGTCCTACCTCTCATCTACCAAGACATTGGTGGAGCTGATCGATACTCGTGGTTCGTTATCGCGTACCTCATTCCTAATGCAGCTCTGTGCCCATTTGTTGGTGCGCTCTCAGATGTGTTCGGTCGGCGCAATGTGGCTATTGTTGGGCAAGTATGCCTCATCGTGGGACCCATCATCACTGCAACTGCAAATTCGATGAACATTGCCATTGGTAAGTGGAACACGCGCGCGCAAGTGGGAGTCGCTGACGATGCACAGCTGGCAATGTCTTTGCGGGCATTGGTGCCGGTCTCAATGAATTGATTGCACTAGCTGGTACTGGCGAGATCGTTCCAGTGAAGGACCGCGGCAAGTACGTCGGCGCCGTGGTGCTCACCATCCTACCGTTCTGCCCGTCGGTTCTCTATGCCCAATTGATTTCCCAGGACAGCGACTGGAGGTACTGCGGTATCTTGATCGGAGTGTGGAACTTCATCGGTCTCGTGCTCTGCATCTTTTGCTACAAGGATCCGTCCCGCCTCAATGATGAGTACACAGCCCGCCATGTCATGGGAAAGATAGATTGGCTTGGAGGTTTCCTTAGCATTACAGGTGTTACCCTCTTCATTATGGGCTTGCAATGGGGAGCTGTTCAAGTAAGTACATGTTGTTCTTATCCTCTTGGCCATCTACTAACAATGAGTAGTACGCATGGGGCAGCGCTCACAACCTTGCGCCGCTACTTCTCGGTCTCGCCCTCATCGCTGCTTTCTTTGTGTGGGAGGTATACGCGCCCCACCCCATGGTACCAAGGGCCTTGTTCAGCAAGGCTAAGAAGACTATGATAATCATTCTTCTGATTACCTTCCTCAGTGGTGGCAACTTCTTTGCGTTGCTAATCTTTTGGCCCACTGAGGTGTACAATGTCTATGGTAAGCGCCTCAACACTTTTTCATGCGCGAGTATGCGTCTAACATACCATAGGCGATGACCCGCTCGGTGTCGGTATCCGTTCATTGCCCATTGGTTTCGGTATCATCGGAGGCGCGGTTATCTGCCTCGTCCTCATTCCGGTAACCAAGGGTCGCATCCGTGCTCTCATGATCTTCTTCACAGCCTTGATGACAGGTGCCACCGGTGCCATGGCAATTGCAACGCCGTACAACCTTTCCGCCGTCTACGCCGTCATAACATTTGCATCGATCGGCGTGGGTGGTGTCATCATCCCGTGCACCATCATCGCACAGATAGCATGCCCCGATGACCAAATAGGAACTATTACCGCAATAACACTCAGCATCCGTTACATTGGCGGTGCCATCGGGTACGGCGTTTACACGAACATCTTCTTCCACAAAGTCACGGAAAATCTCACCAAGATGGCGACCGAGACGCTCGCTGCGAAGTTCATTATCAACGCGGGTACTCCATCGGGTCTTGCTACCCTCAAAAACGTCGTCGGACTTCTCGGTCACGCGGACTTCAACGAAGTCAAGCACATCTTCGCTACAAGCAAGGATGTTTTGCAACCCAATCTGTATCCGTTGGTTGTGCAAAAGTCTCAGGAGGCCTTTGCCTTGGCATACCAATGGCCGTACTTCATCAGTATTGCCTTCGGTGGCCTTTGCTTCATCCTCAGTTTCTTCGTTGGAGACATCGGTCCACTTCTGGACGCTCACGTTGCCCATGCACTCTAAGTGCGGGTTAGATCATATGGGTCTTCTTTCTGTCCATGTGTATGGACTATTACACAGAATATCTGACAAGACAAGAATTGAAAATGATTATTTTATCTGTACCGATTTGCTCTTAATTTCGGGCTGCCACGTGAACCGACCTCGTAGTCATCACTGTGGCACGCCGTAAAAGCTTTCTCATTTGTCATTTCACAAACTCGGGACCTAACTAGCAAATTTCTTGGCTTGCACCCGGTGCCACGGTCCTTACATCAGTACGGCAGACCTTCCCTACTGCCTTACTGGGTACGTCATGTTCTTATATATTCTTTAGGCTGTTCATATAATGCGCCTTTCATGTATCTCGGCTTTGATTGAAGTCCTGGGACCCTAGATGCCTTTCGCATCAATTTATGTTTTGCACGTGTCACTATTGTTCTTTAACGCTCTATCTCTTTAATCCCGACAAGCAACCAGCATACCCGGTTTTGTGCGACATTTGCGCAATGCGAGCTATGGTTTCTCATGCTTCAAAAGCAAGCTGGGGATAGTCGTCTAGTCCTTGTCCTCTTACAAAGAAACCAGAGCGACCACAAGAAAATGTTTGAAACTGCATCCTGCTCTGCAACTAGTTACAAGCGTGTGGTATCTATGAAAACAAGTCTCCGGATCTGTCAGTCAGAGCCAAGCAAGCGGAGTGTGTCTTTTGTTCTGGAATGAGTTCTTTCTAAATCTAGCCAGTCTACCGAGTTCCAAAAATGTATATGCCGACATGCAAAGTGCTCGACTCGGCAGAGTTCTTTGTTGGCCGTCTTGCCAATACTAGCACGGCCGAAGAGTACGCTACCAAGTCTAGACTCTTCTAGTCCTTCTCGAACAACCGCCTTGCTTTCATGAGGCTAGAACTGGAGCAAAATCCCGGGTTCATGGCCCGGAGCTGCTGGAGCAAGGCTGCCGCTGGCTTTGACACTCAGCCAAGCAACCTCGAGCCTGCGAGACTTGCCGTGGGTACTGGAGAAAAGACATCAGCTCACGACTGTGCAACAACACAAACTTCTACTTCTCACACAAGGATAAAACGAATGAACTATGCCGCAGCAGTTTTTACAGTATTTAGTTACACGGAAGCATCCACTTGTGTAGCCGTTGCATCTCTTCACCAGCGCCACGTTCGACTGCCCCTCCAAACTCGCCATGATGATGTCAGCCACTATCCTCTTTCTGTGCCGATGCAGATCTGGTGCTAGCAGCTAGTATCTGCAGAATTCTAGGCCAAGGCTAGACGTAGTTAGCTGTTAGGTATTAGACTAATAGCGAAACGTGAAACATTGCCGGGGACGCCTTGGAGGTCTGAGACGCTGATGTGATGAGATCGCTCACGCTAGGCTATCCGACGTTGAAGACTTATAAATTAATACTGTAGCACAAACACAGTACTAAAAGTATGTGGGGCGAGGACTTTGTCAAAGTACATAATTAGACCACTTTGAGATACTTCATGCTATGGTTGTCAATTCACAGCGCGCTGGCTAAATGCCTGCATCCCATTAGATTTCAGTTGCATTGCGAGATCCTGACTAGATCTAGAACTCGTTTTTACCTTCGCCAACTGCCTTAAACTTTAGCCTTCCTCCTCTCTTTACCTGGTGCCCAGAAACGCTCATCTTCTTGTCTCTTGGTCGCGCTCTTGTCCTTAGCAGCAGAGGCTCGATTGCGGCGCTCCATAGCCATTGTCCTACCCTGACATTCCCCACATCCAGATTGGTTTCTAAGATGCTGCCACGTCTCACATCCATTACGACAGGGCATTTCATGCTTACCGCAATATATTAAACCACGGTACCTAACTTCTCGACAGCCACCTGGACTTATGTCTCCTATCCAAGCGTGGCCACCAACGCAATGATGTTTAGTCCCTGTTCTTCCCTTACCCATGATTGCTACGCGTTTCGTTACTTGTTTTGTATTCGTGTTTGATGTAAAATTGCTTCTTCTGAACTTAGTGTGGTGACCTGTTATCGTGACGTCTGCTGGAGAACTTTATTGAGCTGCGCGATATATTTCAAAAATATCAAAGCGCCTTTAATGAAATGAGGCTGAAAGACGGTTTTTCTCTGAATTTCAATTGATGCCATAGTATGATACTTTGTTTCGAGAATCACTGTTGGCAGAGACAAAGAAGCTACATTGAGACAAAGAGTTTGTGGGAACGACCCGTGTTCAACAATGCTTTTCATGACCGCACCATAGTCGAAGCATATAACTCACTTCTCTTCCCACGATATCTTATCGACACATGCACTCTGATAAATCAAATTCTACCTTAACACCGATGGAACACACTACCAGTAAAAGCTCCGATGCCGAGGATACCGAAGAGAATGATGTTAGCTCGGAAACATCCAGCATTCGGTATGATCATGAGCCATTCGAAACGTTTCGCGAAAAGATTGGAGCAGTGGCAGCTGAATTGCTCGACACAGAAGTGAACTGCATCGACGTCGAACGCATGAAAGGCGGAAGCTCCAATCGCGTAGTTGGCTTTCAAGCGCATGCACTCAAGACGAAGCGGCATTGTTCTAATTGGCTGCAGAAATGCCTCCGAATTTTCCAGCGAGGCCAGACCCAGGCCGTTCCGGACAAGTACATTGTTCGCATCTCACGATACGACAGCAAAGATCTGGAACGACAGCTCGCGATATTGAAGGTTGCGAAAGACAGACTACCGCTGCCAGTTCCAGAGGTTATGGGATATGACCTGACTAGCGATAACATTCTTGGAAAACCTTACATGATTCAGAAGCGCATACCTGGACGCCTAGTCACCAGCATGCTCCAAGAATTGAATCTGGAGCAGAAGGTGAGCGTTGCAAAGCAAGTCACTGGGCTTGTCTCTCGCATCGCGTCATTGAAAGCCGCATCTGGTGAAATAAGTGTGGATAATCTCACAGCGGCCACATCTGAACCTGTATGCGTCGATAAATACGGCGTTCCTCGCGGTGAGACGGTCAAGGCGACACCTCAAAAGCCCATCGATCATTTACTTGACCAATGCGAAATATGGCGTCAGTTCCAGATCTCCAAGGGCTACTGCTTTGAAGATATTTGGGACAGTTTCGTAGCGATCTCCAGAGCTCTCGAAGCGCGCGGCTTCCTTGGCGAAGAGTGCGTTCTTGTTCACGGGGATTTCCGCGAGTACAATATCCTCGCAAACATTTGCAGTCCTACTGGAGTACACATCACTGGTATCATCGATTGGGATGATGCTCATTTCGCGCCCTCCTTCATGGCATATCGCTCCCCTTTTTGGCTGTGGACAGCAGAAGATGCAGAGTCTGATGTTACAGAGGATGAGAAGACGGCTTTGTTGGACCCTGTCAATGAAGAAGATCAGATCATGAAACAGACGTTCTTAGATTATGCGTCGCAAGAGTATAAGCGGCTTGCATTTGCGCCCGAAGCTATGCTGGCACGGCGCATGTACCATCTTCTGAGGAAAGGCATCTTTGGCGACTGGAGTATGATGGAGGCAGACGCTGTCATTAGCGAGTGGGATGAACTGCATCCTGAAGACGCCGTTGTGGTAATTGACGATGAGATTGACGTAGAAAGCGAGGCAGAAGCAAATGAAACTTAGGGGAAAGCCCAGGACTTGAAATGTAAACGTATGAAATTATATCTACAGATAAAGCTGATCAAAACAACTACATGGCCTTTGCAACACTTGAGATACACCAATAAACGTCTGTCACGACTCTACTTAAGCGCAATAGAAACACGGCCGGTGTTGAGGTTAGCACTACTCAGTCGCATGCTGTAAATGCGTACGTACAGCTCATAGCCTGGTATCCCGAGTATGGTCCCCAGATAGATCCGCAATTCACCTCCTGTCTTTTCGCAGGAAAGCTACGTTGGCCAATAACATTGTCTTCTCTATTATGGATGTTATAGAACCCATTGCCAGTCCCATATAAGGCGGGACATGTGTTAGCAGATCAAAACACTACCTAGATACAAATACACTCACTGAAATGCCACGCCCCATTTGCGAAGACTTGTTTGTTGTAATCGTGGACTTCAACACGGCTTGGGGTCCATTCCTTCCAGGCCTTGTTGACGGGGCAACCATCACAGGCAATGCCGCCATGTTTGCTGTCGCTGACATCACCACCAAACCCCGGTTTCATCTGCGCGCCGTTGACGAAGTCTTTGCAATTCGGCGGCTCGTTGAGGAACTTGATGCTGCTGTACCTTTCTGCGCCCACACCGACATCGAGAACGTTCTCCGCGAACCAGAACATGTCGAAGTCCGCAACGGCGAGCGAAGCCAGACATGCGAAAATGGGGACTTTGAAGAGCATGGCGTTTGGTGGTAGAGATGGGTGATCTTGGATGTACCGGGCGAACTTGCTGACAATGAGGCTGACGAACTCGAATAAACCCAGAAGATTTTGAAGTAAGTATCAGAGTGTGTTATGAGTATCTCAATAGTTCGAGAAAGTTTCTCCAGCATTTATACGTGATTCATGGAGCAACCACGGCCTAGGTTAGCCGACTTCAATCCTGGCCAAGCTCCCGATGGAACTTTCTTTGGCACTTTTCGCTGTTGGTTTACCTCACTCTCCGGCTCTGTACACCTAGGTAAGTGCCATCCCATTTCGATTCAGGTTGCTCACCAGTATCGAGTAGGCCTAGGCTGTGGTGCTGCTCTCTGTGTATGTCGCGGGTTCAGTCTTTCCGGTAAATGATGTCAGAGAGTGTAAGGCCTCCCCTTGCGAAATACAGTTGGCACTTCAGCCCACTTCCGCAATGTGATAAGGGTTCCAGTCAACGTAAATAAGCGTATTTGAGTATTAGCAACGTATCACTACTTCTTCTGCGGCCACTGCAGGGGATTGAACACAATTTCGGGGTCCAGGTGTCTCAGTGTAGTCCCCGAGTCTGCTGTAAGAATTTTTGGAGCTGTGGGCGCACGCCCTTTATGTAGTAGGATAAGACTCGAACACCTAGGCGGCTAACTGGGTCCAATTTACAAGGTCATGGAGTAGATATCGAGGTTTGGGGAAGCGCACTGTGAGCGAAAATCACCTGGCGTTCCATACGCTAATAGGTTGCGCGCTGAACGATATATGTAGCATACTTGCAGGGCGACTAAGCTCCTGGGTCATAGTACCGTCTGCTGCCGATATACTAGAAGGTTCCAAAACTGACTGGGTTGGTATGAATTTCACGATCGAGCTTGGCGGACGTAATTGGTCACTCATCACGCACGTGCGCACGTGAGTACGCGCTACTACTGCTCTTGGCACTGTCACTTTCGACGTCGCACGCGACATCTCCCCCATCGTCTACCTCCCTCGTCAATCTATCGGTACTCTACCTCGTCAATACTCTGCAATTTCGCGTAAATATGAGAAGCTTGATCCTCAATCTCAGCACGGTGGAAGCATTCGAGGCGTATGGAAATGAGGCTAAACGTTTCGGTAGAATGTCGTGCAGCTGGAGTACGCCGGAGGCCGCAGCGAACGCTGTCACCCCTTTGGCGACGAGCCTGACGCAGTACCCTGTTCTCGAGGTGAGTATCTTGGTATTGCGAAGGCCCGTAGGCTCACTTATCGCAGATGCTTGTCTCTCACCTTAAACCGGACGATCTGGTCACATTAACGACAACATGCCAGGCCATCCAGCAACAGTTCCGTATGGGCCATGCGAAGGTTAAGAAAAGTCTGCTACGGAAAACGCTATGCCCGGGAATGGGCATTGAGATTCGAAGGTCAATTCATTGCCCTTGCAAGACACCTGGCTGGCATGAGTACAGTGGCTGTAGCGGTGAAGGCTATGATGTAGCGTCTAAACCTTGCATTGAGTGCGGCATCAACACTTGTGATGAGTGTCGCATTCATGTCACCTATCAAGTGTTCATGGACGATTCTGGTTTCGACAATCGACGCTGGTGGGCCGGATATCTAATGTTAATCCCGTCCGTATTTGGTTTGCATCCTCCCGAGGGCACTGAAGGCTCTAGCTGGCACCTACCACCCGACATGATGGCTTCCCGTCACGATCAGGGGCGCCTCCACGTCCCTGCGCATGTTCTCGCTTTAGCAGACCCCGAACCTCTCGATCGCATCCTGGACACGAACCTTGGGCGTCACAGTCTTACTCCGTGGGGCCGCACGGATGAGCCTTACAATGGCGAGAATGTAATTGACCCCTTCATGTCAATCGCGATTCGTCGTAAAGTCTTTGTGTGTCAGCCATGCTATCAAGAGCATCATGAACGGAAAGAAGTGGCGCCCTGCTCCTGTACATTCCGCAAGCGATTCCTCGACCGTTGGATGTGCATTCCATGCCATGTGAAGGAGGTGCATAGAATTGAACGCAACAGCACCGACCAGCTCGAACTCGATGAGAACAAAATCTACTACGAATCGTTCACCTGCCTATGCGGCTCCAAACTCTCATTACACGGCGATAGGGAGTCTATATGTGCGTGGTGTGACGGCTGTATCAATATACACGACCATGAAGACACGAATGAGGAGATCGATAGGGACTTCAAAAACAACGATGACGACGACAGCAATGCTGGCCCTGTTCCCGAAGATGCCACGCCAGGCGCTCTGACTCCGGTCGACAACAAAGATGGCACGATGGCAGTATACTACGATGGCACACGAATAAGTGGTGAGCGAATCGGCCGAAATATGGTCCAGTTGAGGGCGATCCAGAAGGGAATCAAGCTTCCTTGCTCTTGCTGCGATTGTCCTGCTTTGCGATGCGCTTATCGTGATCATGACCACGACCAGGACCACGACAGCCATGTGGACGCAGACGGAAACGAGTCATCGATGGGGAGCAACGAGGATGATGATGAGGGTAGATGTGATGGCCTTGGAGATGTAATGCCGGGCATGATCGAGTTCGATGAGGACAAGGAGCCGGACGAACTGGAGGAGGTGGAGGAGGAATAAGTGGTGATCAACATCAAGCCTAAGCGGGTACAGATACAGTAAAAACGCGCTATGCCATATGACCCCAACAGACTGATTTCAACCTGAGGATCATGCACGGTATACTTTATGCCTTTCTCTCTGCATGCATGCATGCGTGACGTTGCGCGCGCCAGCAAAGCTTGGCATTGGGCCTTCCTTTTCGCGCGTCTTCGCCGCTTCCGCCGTCTCCACATCTCGTTCCTGTGACCTAATCGCCTCCTTACACCGACTCGTATCGAACATCGTCTTGCGAGCATCCGAACGCCTGCGGAGTCATCTGTGTGTGATGGCGCTTTTGATGTAATTCTTGGTTGCTGGTCTAGCTGTCCGAATGATCGGAAGAAAAGCGCACAAAACGCTTGCTACGAAGATAGCGCATAAGAGTAGGTATAACGAGGCGCTTCCTGTGACAAGCATGAACGCGTGCACAATTCCTGTTCGCAGCGACGAAGTGCATCCGTTCGGCATCAATGTGGATCTCTGGTGACTTTGGTGAAGTTGCGAATGTGACACGCCTGCCGCCAAGGCCTCTCGCCCGACCGGCAACGGATCGTCGGCGATAGGCCATGAGCACCGAGCACTGACACTGCATGCCTCGATTTTATGGAAACGCAAACCTGAATGATGCGTTCGGCCCCGTTAAAGTATTCAACTATCCGCCCTTGATCGTGAAACCACGGACATACATTCCCTGGAACGTGACATCATTGTTGCGAACCTGCTGCATTCCTATATCAACACTTCCACAGCAGAACCACGACAGTCAACCTATGGTTTTTGCAGGAAGAGACCAATAGCGTGGAACTGGTTACAATATGAGTGTTAGTAAATCAAAGGCCTACCTCAGCCGAAAGGCACAGTCATTCTTCGACACGACCACAGAAGAGCGCCGCAAGCAGACGGCCTCGCTCGAGCAAATCGCGAGAGAGACAATCAACCAGACGTATCGTGAAGATGACCCGTCAGTGGGGGAGTGGTTTCGAGATCTGATACCATCCTCAGCAGGTGTTGCGGAATATGTGAGCGAACTCTTTCCGTCAGCCCATTGGGTCCGGCGGTACAACGTGCAGTGGTTGATTGGAGATTTAATTGCGGGTGAGCCTTCAATATTACATGAATCTTGAAGATTTCGCTGAACACATGTAGGCATCACCGTTGGGCTTGTCGTAGTGCCACAGGCGATGGCGTACGCACTATTAGCTCGTCTCCCGCCTGCCTTTGGGCTATACACCACGTTCACTGGCGCATGTATCTACTGGGTCTTTGGCACATCGAAAGATATTGTCATCGGCGTAAGTACAAAAATTTGTTCCTTAATTTTCTTGGCCTCCTGTCATAAGCAAGTTAGGCTAATTATGTATCAGACTACCGCTGTTGGTTCTCTCCTGGTGGGCAGTGTCATCAGCAAAATCGATGCTGAGCACCCAGGAGTCTACAAGCCTGAGCATGTTGCTCACACTTTGTCTTTTCTTGCGGGTGCAGCGCTCTTCGTCCTTGGCATTTTGCGTCTTGGTTGGCTCATTGAGTTCATTCCATATGTGCCGATATCTGCTTTCGTCACATCAGCCGCCATTACCATCATCTCTACTCAGTTGCCAACCGTCCTAGGTATTAAAGGTATCGATACGCGAACCTCCCCATACAAGGTGTATATAAGTACGCTGAAAGGCCTGCCCAGTATGCAGCTTGATGCCGCCGTCGGTATCACATGTATATTACTGCTTCACCTGATTCGCAGCACATGTGCGAAAATGGAACTCAGGCAGCCAACAAAAAAGCGCGTTTGGTCTCTACTATCTTCGCTGCGACTGACATTCGCTATTCTTCTTTACACGTTGATAAGCTTCCTGGTCAACCGCACCGCGAAGAAAGGAGAAGAGAAGTTCCGAATCGTGGGCCATATCGACAAAGGTGAGTCAAAAAAACTCTTCGCTGTCTATTCTAACTAACAAACCTCAGGTTTCAGCCATGCCGGTGTTCCCAAGATGAACACGAAACTTATTGGACTGGTAGCCTCTGAGCTGCCTGCCATTATCATCATTCTCATTGTTGAGCATATCGCTATTGCAAAATCCTTCGGACGCATTTTCGGTTACACTGTTGTTCCTTCGCAAGAGATGATCGCTCAAGGGGCATCAAACATGCTCAGTCCATTTGTTGGGGGATACGTCTGTACCGGTTCCTTCGGTGCTTCCGCAGTCTTGTCCAAAGCAGCTGTTCGTACTCCTCTTGCAGGCTTGTTCAGTGCGATGGTGCTTGTATTGGCCCTATACGCCCTTACAGCAGTCTTCTTCTTCATCCCAAACGCGGCACTCGCAGGTCTGATCATACATTGCACAGCCAACTTGATCACACCGCCGCGTTCACTCGTCAAGTATTGGCACTTCTCGCCATTCGAATTCTTTATCTGGATTTGTGGTGTCGTTATCGCTTTCTTCACTGACCTTGAGACCGCAATCTACGTCACGGTAGGCCTTTCATTCGCCATGCTCCTAGTCCGAATGGCACGGAACCCCGGCAAATTCCGAGGTAGAGTAGGAGTGACACGTGTTGTGCGCAACAAGGGCTCTCGAGAAGGTCTTACATCCTGCGCGAGTTCAGGGAGAACACCGCATACACAGAACGAAGAAACGCGCCAAGTATACCTTCCATACGACATCAAGGACAACCGCAATCCTTCCGTGAAGGTCGAGCCTGTATATCCAGGGGTGTTCGTATATCGTTTCGCCGAGAACTTCAACTACATCAACCAAGCTCATCACATCGATCACTTGACGACATACATCAAGTCGCAGACGCGGCCTACTGATGTGAATGACGGCGTTCGCCCCTCGGACCGTTTGTGGTGCGAAAAGCTACCTTCAACGAAGCTGTTGGAAGAGGAGTCCGATCTGCCAATACTCAAGGCCGTCGTGCTTGACTTTGCGACTGTGAACATCATCGACATCACCAGTCTACAGGGCTTGATCGAGCTCCGTAGTACCTTAGATCGATACGCAGCGCCCGAATTAGTGGAGTGGCATTTCGCAGGCGTACACAACAGCTGGACACGCCGTGCACTGGCCCACGCTGGGTTTGGCCTTCCCGCCGGCAATAGTCTTGGAAACTGGTGTCCTGCGTACACCGTGACGTCGTCTTTCGTTGGCGCGACCGAAGACGAACAGCGCGATCTGGAAGCTTTGCGACGAGAGGCTGAGAAGAAGGACAAGGAGAGCCGGAAGACGGCGCAAGTTGTTCGTGATGCAGATTCACGCGATCCAAATATGGAGAAAAAGCAGAGCACTCTCACAACACCGGGTCAGCATCCGGCGCTGACAACTATCTACGGCACTGACAGGCCGCTTTTCCACATCGATCTGCACGACGCAGTTGACGCAGCGGTTCGAGACGCGAAGCGGCAGGATTCTAAAGGTTGCTTGGTCGACCATGCATCTTGCGCCAGCAGAGGCGATAGTGTTCACACCAGTCCGGTCTAGGGGTTGGATGGTCGCATGAACTGAATCTTTTCACATTGTTTCCCTCGACATCATTCGCGTCTACAGCGTGTAGCATCGGAAGGCACCGGCGTAGATGGATACTAGACTATTTTAGCATCATAATTTCATTGCATTGGCTTTTGCAAATCTTTTATTGGGTTCTGAATTTGACGATGGGAAGACTATGATTGGTTTACAATACATTTATTGAACTACATAGGATCAACTTCCCATGAACACCACCCGCATGCGATCTCAATATGCTCCAAACACAGGTTTTGCGCGCCTCGATTTGAGGGTTCGATTCGCTCTTCGAGCTGAAGATAATTTTGAGTTCGCTAGGGATACAGCGGGCCAACCTGCCTAGGTTCCCAGATCATGATTGAGATTTGTTTTGGTCTTTGCTCCATCACTTTATGAAGACATACTTTATGTGTTCTGTTCGCTATTAATATCATCAGTATCTGCGCACAATGGTGCTGACTGCCGAGCCAGCAAGCCGCGCCTGTCAATATCGCGCGAAAAGAATTTTCTTCCGAGACGGCCACGTGGTAGGCGTGTAAGTTACTTCACGTGATCAGATTTCACTACACACGCTCCTTGTCGCCGACTCTCCGACCCGACTGTAGACCTCAATGTTTCTCTCACCTTACCTTCTTACCCCCAATTCCTCCTCTCAGCGTTCTACTGGCGCCCTCCCCCTTCTCGTCGGCGCCTGCTTCCCCTCTCCACCACTCCACAACGACCACTCCAGTAGCGGGCATGGAACTCCTCACCAAACATGAATTCGACACTCGTGCTCGCAAAAACATGCCTGACACCTACGATACCTTGCCGCGAACTGAAGGCCTCATATTTGGCATGCAGATCGACGTCCGCCACGATCGTGCCTCCGGCATGAAGTTGCGCATCGGTACCATAGAGGACAATGACGGCACGAAGACATGGATCTGGGCGATCGTGTGCCACAACTCCGACGTCTACTTCTACAAGGAGCATGAGAAGTTGACCGCGTTGGATCTCAAGCACGCGGAGTTGATCGAGCCGATGCGCACTGTAGCCGGCAAGTTCAAGGACCCCAAAGCAAACCGTCTTCGCTCGTACATATGTTTTCTGTTCATGGTTAAAGGTGTCTACGCACGTTTCGTAGAGGGTAGGTGTGTTTCGTTCAAGGGTTTCGAGGCTGCGTGCAAGCGCATCTCAGATGCCAAGCGGAATGGCTTCTACAACCTCGAGTCCAAGCTTCGACTGGCCGAACTTGACGAGGGAGATAAGGGTTATGAGTCTGAAGCTGTAGTTGCTACCCTAACCAAGAGGGGCGGCGATGGAAACGACAAGATCGGTGCGCTTTCCGTTTGTCTACGCTCATACATATGCTAACATAATCATTCCAGGCGCAGAAGAACACACCCATCGTCATGTTCGAGGTAACAGGAAGAAGCGCAAGCTCAATACCACCACAGCTGAAGTGGAAATGGACGGTCTCGACAAGGAGAATATCGAGCTTAAGGCTCAGATCCAGAAGGCTCGTTCGGAGAACCAAGACCTCCATGGCCTCTATCAAGAACTTCGCGGCGATTGGGAGCAGCTTCGCGGAGAGTATCACGGCATCCTGGGAGGACTCAAGGTCATTTGGGACTTTGCAGGTCATCATCACCAGGGTGTCTGAGTTGGGGTGATACATTCAAGAGACGATGCTGGAAGAGATGAAGAGGTAGCCTAGATGAATTCAAATACATTTGATAAACTAAACAAGATATCTTGTAGCAGCGCGTGTATACAGGCCCCTTGATAAACTTCTTAAGCTTGCCTCTAAAGACTATTGGATTTTGTCGTCTAGGTGCGAGATGTAACTTGAGAGAGCGTAAGGGAAAATATCAATGCCGTTGGGGCAATAAATGATAATGAGAAGTTACGGGCTGACCCATACGAATACGAGGAGATAACTCATATGTAATCTATGGCCACCTCACGTCGAAAGCTACGCGAAAAACTATATGCGTTCCTATCGACACGACCGCACATACTCAAATGTACACCACTACAAACAAGGCAATCCATCAAGGAGATCCTGCTTTCCATTACACATTCTACTCCTCGGAGGCATGTGCGCTGTGCTAGCAATACAATGCTCACCCCACCAAGTCATCTCCTGCTGGCACGTCCAGGAATCCAGTCTCTGGGCCGACAGAAATGTGCGTATCGCACCATGGTGTGCTACGAGATGACCCATGAAGCCTGAAACTGTGCTGAATTGCGCTTGTGAGCATAGTCGCAAACCATGCGACTCAGCATGTTGCCTTGTGTTCGCGCGGTATTTGACTTCGTCTTCAGTCCCGGTCACACAGTATGCGCACAGTTTACACTCGGAAACGAGGGAAACGCTATGAAAACTTGTTGTCATGAATACTGCGTGGTGGTCGTATAAGTATCGACAGGACCATGTGATCCGCAATGATGGTTTAGTGGATCTGTCCATCTCAGACAATGTGGGTTCTTCACCATGCGCGCTCCTGATGGAAGGTAGAGCGAAACGCCCCACCCACCATGCAGACTTGCACATGCCTTCCTTGAGATGCTCGAAAACGTGATCCTCTCGTTCCGCCCAAGACTTGCTTGCTCGACCGCAGAAGCCGCAGTCAAGTGCTGAGCTATGCAGATCTTGGTTCTCAGTCTTGAAGATGCATATCAACCCTTTGCAGATTTTCTTGGACGCCTTTTGCTGGGAGTGTACTCCTTTGATATGTTGGAGCAACTGATCCTCGCGTAGGAATGTCACCTCACTACGATCTTTGACGGTGCATTCAGTGAAATGCGTATCCATGATGTGACCAACAGTCGTGGGATGAAGTCCGCACACGAAGCATTGGCTAATTAACTTGAGCCTAGATTCAGCGAGACAGCATATCCAATGATAGGGCTGATAATGAAGAGCCGTCTCGTGACGTGCCCACTCCCAGCGAAATCTAAATCGAGCGCTACAGTCTGTCCATGTGCAAAAGTATGGAAGAAGAGGAAGACCGGTATTTTCAAAAGTTGGATGTTTGGGCCCATCTGTAGGCACTGCTTGGCTCGTGCAAGCGGTGAAAGGTACTTTGGATCCTTGAACTGGGTGAGACTCTGCGTCTTGCTGTGCTCGTTTCCAGAGTTTACGGCCGCGACGAGAACCCCGTGAGTCTTGGGATTTGACACTTATGTGTGTACTGTCTGATCGTGCAGATCCACGGGAGCCAATTGAGCCCGCGACGCTGTTTGATTTATGGGAAGATGCAGCTCGTCTAGGCCGGCCCAATACTGTCCTGAACTTTGTGCCAGACACCGGCGGAGTACTTGTTGTGTCGACTACCTGTTTGCATATGGCATCCACGGCTTCCTTTGGAATCGCCTCTTCGGCTACAGGCGCCTCGATATATCGCTGTAATGAACTCATGCTAGCAGTTGGAGAATGCTTTTCCAGCGCCTCGAGACTAGCCCGGCAAACAGACTGCGCAGGGCTTGCGCATCGTGAGGATTTCTGTACGATTCCATTGAATTCATTCAATAAGTCTAATGTCTGGATGTCTGTATGTATCTATCAGTCAAGTGTGTAATAAATCATAAGGTGGTGATGAAACTCACGCGTGGTACTCTTCTTACGCGATCTCGTATTCGAGAACCAATCCTTGATCGTGCGGCCAGTGAGATGAGTTGCTCGAACAAGAGACGAAGTTTCGAATTCATTAGGATAAGGATTGGCTCCAAAATGCTCTTCGAGGACTTTCTTAGCCGCCTTGCTTATGCGAGTTCGCCTCGACTTGGGTGCAAGCGTTGGCAATGCTAGCTGTGGCTCCAGCTTTTCGCTCAAAAGGGGTTCCAACTCTTGTATTGGGTCAAAAGGAGTGCCAAGCGATGTAGCGATACCTTCTTTTGCATCATCTGTGAGAAACACATAGCCTCCGATTGGATATCCAGAGCCGTTGGAGACGCTACCTATCTCGACAGCGGAGTCATATGTAATCGGATGAGGCCAGTGTTGCATAAAGTCCGGCCCAGACAGATACGAGGTGAACAGGTCGGACTCTTGTGAATCCGAACTATGCCAAGGTAGGAACGCCGAATGATGATCAACCGAAAGAGGCGTTTCAAAAGCATCAGGAAAAGGAAACAGGTACTCGCCATTGTCGGTTATATTTGCGGGATAGTTTCCGAGGAGTCTGTTCTCGTTTCTCCCAGTATGGTGCCAGGTCTCGTCGAAGAAGTGATTTGTCTCGTTCGCGGCAGGCTGCTCGTATGGTGTAACTTCACGGAAAGCTACATCTTCGAAGAAGCTATTTGGCTCGTCCACGGCAGGCTGGTATGACGCAAGATCCTGGAAACAGGAATCGTCGAGTGACTGGAAATCCATGGCACGTCATAGAGAGATTGGTAAGAGATAGAAGACATGTTGAAGTGTCAGCGGGGCCTTCGGCTTTTTATCGTGTGCGGTAAGGCTGAAGTTCAAGGTGAATTGTCGTTGATTTCCAGGGTTTCTGGGGTGCGAGCTAGCGCGCAGCTGAAGCGTGCAGGCTGGCATTCCTGATTTGACCTGGCTTCTTACCATGTCTTGCAGAAGATGCAGAATTCACCTCGTTGTTCAAAAGAGTGAGATTGACATCATTGTATGACATGTGACTAGATCAAATACAATGGTAGCTCGAGATGCATCTCATCTAGATCGCCATAATCGACCAGGATAATCGACCAGGGTCCAGCCCACCTCCAACGTGGGGCACCCGCGCGCTATCGCGTCTCCCATCTTCAACAACAAATCACAGACTCCACAATATGTCTTACCACCTCATCTTCCATTACCATTTCCACACACCCTGAAACTCTCTCAAGCCACACCAAGAACCGTCACAATGACCACGCCCTTCGAGAAAGCCCTCGCGGCAATCGACTCCGCCCACGCCGAAGACCCCAACAAACACACCCTCCCCGACGGCACCGAGATGCCCTACGAACTCCACTACGCGCAGAAATGCAACGAGTATCTCGAGAAACGCGCCCCAGACAGCCCCGAACACCTGCGCCTCGCGATCCGCGCCCAGCACTTCCGCCGCTGGGAAGTCCCGCGCTCGTCCTACCCGATGACACGGCCGGGCTACCACGCCTGGCGCACATTCCTCAAAAAGCGACAAGCCTCTCTCGTCAGCGAGATCTGCATAAACTCCGGGTTTGACGAAGAATTCTCGGAACGCGTGGGCGCACTGATACGCAAGGAAGATCTAAAAGCGGATGAAGAAACGCAGGTACTGGAGGACGTGGCGTGCCTGGTATTTCTAGACGACCAGTTCGAGCAGTTTGAGAAGGAACATGATGAGGCGAAGATATTGGGGATTTTGCGCAAGACATGGGTGAAGATGACGGAGAAGGGGCATGAGTTGGCGCTGGGCATGGGAATGGAGGGACGGCCGAAGGAACTCGTGGAGAAGGCATTGGCTGGGGCTTAAAAGACACTTGTACGTAGTTCTGCGAGGAGAATTGTATTGTATTTTATTAGGGGTATCATTCTTGTACCGAAGCGACTCTTAGAAAGTCAAGATTTGAAATGACTTATTGCGATGTAAATGTGGCTAAGCACCGCCCTCGCGCTTGGCGTATTCCTCCTCCATACGCTCTTCGTACAGTCTCTCAGCTTCCTTCTCTTGCTCCGTCTTCTCGGTGTGCGACGTGCTTGCTACGCTCTGCGTAGATGTGCTATTGGCATTTTGGGCGGTTTGTGCTGTCGCTGACGATGCGGTGGACTTGTCGGTGGTTGCGGAGTTCATGGGGACAGGCATCGTGGCAGTTTCTGAATTGGTAGTGGTGATTGAAACTTGAAGGATGTTTGACTGTGCGTGAGTGGTTGGACAAGCCGCAGCGCAGGCAGACATTATATGTTCGAGGGCAGATGACGTAGTGTGGCGGTGCTGATGTGGCTGGAAGATTTTGCGGCATGAGTTTCGCCACCTTGGCGCCCGTTCAACTTCACAGCTCTGAACTTGACTGATAGCTCTTCGCTGGCTTTAGTTGTGCAACGCCCGTTGTGCAAAGCACGTTGTGCATCTACCTGTCTTGTGAACCCATAATGATCACAGCTGCGCGATACATATCTACAGGTCACCAGCCTTCAAGGTCGAGAGGTGGCATAAACATAGTGACTGTTATTCATGACTGTGAAGCGCGAATGTGATGTGAACAATGCACATAAAAGTCGAGGAGCAAAGCGATAGCTTTTCTCTCCATAAGCACCTATTGTTCATATTTCATGATACTGAAGCCTATATTGTTTGCCATACCCCTTATCGCTGCCAGCAGCCCAGCATCAACAACCATATTCGAAGTCGATATATTTCCACTATCTACAGCTATTCCCGCATTAACACCGACCATGAACTTCGCTCTAGCCACCAGTACACCCAATAAAGACTCATCTGTCGTGACCGCAACTCCACAGCCGAGCCGAGGACCACTCAACCTCCCACGCTTTCTCTCTTTCATCCAACGCTCACCAGATTCATCTGTGCCATCAGAGATACAAGCGACGGACCTCCCGATGCCTAGCTATGACACGGAGACGAACAAGGCGCTTAAGAGTTCAAAGCATGCCGCAACCAAGAAGGCAAAGACAACAATGAGCGCAAATGATGAAGATGTGAACGACCGCGACGACCCTCTTAACACAACTCCGAGGCAGTCTTGTGCCTCGAAAAAGAAGAACAAGAAGACAAAGACGCAAAGCGCGAGCATCGCAGATGTCAAGAGTGCCGGGTATGCTCTCCCGTCAGAGATAAGCTACGCGATTCCATCGCACAGCAGTCGCATGACGCAGGTGAAAGGCGGTGAGCATACTGCGAGTATGAAGACCATGGCGTCAGGTTCCGTTCGTGTTACGACAAAATTGTGGCATCCAGCGAAGAGCAACGCTAAGAAGATCGGCATACCGAAGTTCCTCCTAGGTCTTTTATCACTACGAGCTAGCATCGTAGGCGCACACATTGTCCCGCGCGAAGACACCTCGCCGAGTATTACTACCGCACCGATCCCTACAACTTTAGTACCCTTCGTGCTTACAGCAAAGGCAGCAGCCCTCACATGTTCCGCAGGTCAAGAGCGCTGCGGCGATAACCTTTGCTTTGACAAGCAATCGCAGGTGTGCTGTCCCGGGGAAGCGATTGTGTGTAGCTCCGGGACACAATGTGCCTTTTCGAACTTGGGCGACGGCACTATGATTTATACATGTGCACCGGCAGACGCAAGAAATGGTACCGATCCTAGGATCTATACAGGGAGCATGGTTACCGTGAGGCCGACGGCCACTGGAAACGCGACATTACCAAACCCTACTGGAAACGGCGGAGCTAGACTCGGTGTCCCAGGTGTGTTCAAGCACATTGCCCTCCTCGGCAACGTCGTCCGCGCAGTCGCATTTCCTTCCGAGCTATTTGGGGAATGTTGCATGGGAATATGCTGCAAACCCGGAGAATCGTGTGCTAGATCTTCGGAAGGACCGAAGTGTTGGCCTGGTGCGGAAGCTAAGGTTGCCGAGGCTGACATAGCGGACAAAGAAGTGCACACGAGTGAAGTGGCGCCAGTCCACGATATTAGGTCTGAGGAACGTTCGGCGGATGAGGTTGATACACAAGACGTAAAAAACAAGAAAGGAGGCGGAGGCCATGGGAGTGGAGGAGGCCGTGGAGGAGGTCGTGGAGGTTCTAGGCCTATAGGCGGCGGACAAGGTGGTCACAAATCCGTTGCTAGTGATAGGCTGACGTTTGCGGCATTGCACGTTCTTGAAGCAGCAGGTTTGGCTTTTCTCATACACCGGTGGTTCTGAACGGACTGCATTGCAAAAAGGTTCGACGCGGAAAGTGGTCCATTGCTACTTTTGAAACATTCTTGCCGTGCTGTTATTGTACCTGTGTAGTTGGCGTTAGCAGAGTTTTACACCTCTAATGCGTCTCATATCAGCTTTTGTCTGTGTGGCTCAGACTTGCCTTTTTAATATGATGTCAGTGACACCAAGTGCGTTGTGTAGTTTGAGGAATGCACTGGTGTCTCCACCATTTGCTCGGTATATAATCATTGCCAGGAATAGATGAAAAGAAGTAACGAACCTTCACACAAGAACATGCGTTCCCTTAGTCTTGCCCGTCTCCATCTTGGCAGTACGAGAACCGAACTGTATTGCTCGCTTCTTTTCAGCAGCCACCTTCTTCATGCCGAGCTGCCACGCCATGCCTCGAAGGGCTCGCTTTGCGGGCTCCAAGAAATGCGCTGGGTCCTCAGATTCCTGTACCTGAGGGCTGGCAAAGTCGCATTTCGTCTGCACTGGAGATCGGAGCGCCAGTGCAATAAAGTCTTCATCTAAGAAGGGGAAGCGCACTTCTTTGCCAGAATTACTGATGACACGGTCATCGCGGCCAAGGTTACGCTTTCCTAGTCGACTGAAGTCGAGCTGGAGCTCATTGAACAAACCAGTGTAGCCTTGTCTTGCAAAGGCTGTCGCATGGCGTTGATAGCCCCCGAAGAGCTCGTCCGCACCGAGTCCGGAGAGCAAGACATGCGCTGGGGAGGTGTATGGCTTTGCCTCATCGCTGTCTGACGTACTGGCGAGGCCTATGCCCCGTGAAGCGAAGTAAAGAGCGTAGGATATGGACAGATCCATCTCGGTATTGTGCGGATGCATGAGCGTCATGACTTTGGTTCGATGCGCCACGGTCTCTGTGTAGGGTACATTGACCTCTACGAAACGCCAGAGGCGGGCGGGACAGACCTGCAGCAACTCGGCAAATGAGGCGCGACCGGTAATTCGATCCGGACAAAGCTCATATGGGCTTTCACTGTCCTGTAGCTTTGCATGAATGCGCGGATTCTCGAAGGCTACGTTGAGCAGATCCACAGGCTCGTTGAGCGGGATCAAGTCGTGACAAAGCCGGGCTAAGATTGTACAGTCAAGGCCACCGGAGAAAAGAACACCTATGTTCGCCTCATGCTTGCCTGTGCCTGTAATAGCTTCACGAACATGTTGCGTGCGAAGTGCCAGAGCTCTCTGCAACGAGCGCTTGAGGCGATCCACTTCTCCAAAGTCAAAAGACGCACCCTCAAGAGTTACGCGGTTCATCTGTGGAAACGGCAAGGTCTACGATAGTCAGCAAGCACAGCGTACGAGAGACTCACCTACAAAAGAAGGTTGTATTTCTTCCTCTTCGAACGACTGCGAATGAGGAACGTGCCTAGTTGAGGACGAGAGTTCGCTTGAGGAGAGAGATGTTAGATCGACAACGTAGATGCCGTCAGCTTCTACCTCTGCCCACGACTCGCCACTGGCGTTGTCGCAGACACTGGAGATGATGAGAGTATCGTCTGACGTTGACTTGCGTAACAGTGATCGCCTACCCAGGCAGTCTCTGCCATAATACATGAGCTTGTTGGGTGCATCGTAGAAGACAAACGCATATGGGCCCCTGATACTAGATAGTAAGTCAACGACCGCTTGTATTGCTACCCCTGCGGTCGTGTTTCCGGACGAAGCTGCCAAAAGCTTGTCAAAGACGACTTGGGAGTCGTTGCCAGCCACAGGGGCGTCACCGACGCTCCATGCTTCACCGTTCCAGCACAATGTGGACGCTGATTGCTCATCCCGGAGAGGCTGTTGGACGACTGATGAACCCCTCAACGATAGCACGGTAGACAGAAAAGAAGCATGGAGTGGAGATGCTGGGTCATGATTCTCCTGCGTCGCGTCCAGAACTACCTGATGCCGGCAAGTGCTATCAGGGCCCCTGTTCTGTAAAAGCTGCTGTGTTGCGAAATCAGGGCTGATGAAGCCATTGCGACTGATGGAGCAGAAGATGCCGCACATGTCGACAACGAGGGAAATTGGTGATAGGGCGTTGGTGTTGAGGCGCAGATTTGGGCCTAGAGCGCGTGCGGGCACTAGCGTTTGTGACACGGAGGTTCGCGTCTCGAGTGCCGACAAGGCTAAGATCATGCGGCATCCCCAACTGGGCGCAGCACGACACTTCACTGTAAACCAACTCCCCGCGTCATAGGCTTCGATTCGAGCTTTGCTGAAGCTCTACTGCACCTCCATGGACACGGACTGAAACAAGCAAGACCATCTACCTCGCGCCCTCCGCTACTGCAACATCCTGCTGTATGTCTCCTCCGAACTCTACTCCGCAACACGACGCAACCCCAAACGACACCACCGAGTATGCCCTCGACCAGGCGGTAGAGAGCAAAGATGGGGATGAGAAGGTAGTAGCCCCGGAAGCTTCTTCCGAGAGTGAAACTAAGACGCAGGAGGCGAGCCATGCTGCGAGTAACACGACCGAGGTGGGGCAGGCCGTAGACCCTGAGGCAAAGGAGCACGTGGATGTTTCTTCGAAAACGGGCGGGGAAGACGTCGACAAGGATGTGGATTCTGGGGAGAAGCCAGCTATGAATGGCTCAGGAGAAGCCGCAGAGGCTTCTACTGAAGCACCACAGCACGTCGAGGCGGGAGCCAGTGGAAGAAGTCACAGCCCAGGCCGATCTGATAGACCTCGCCTCGACACCACCTCCCGAAACTCAGTCAAAGGCCGCAGGTAAAGCGGCCATACGATCACCGTCGCCTCCACCTCCGCCTCCGAAAGACGACAAGTATCTGAACACGAGCAACGCCCCCAGTCGCACAACGTCTCCCATGTCGCAAGGAAAAACAGGCGGGGGAATGTCGGAAGACGCAGCAGCAGCAGACTATGCAGGGAACTTTGACGGTGGACACGATGCAGTCGAAGCTGGAGACTCGCAGTCTGAGATCCAGAGCATCATGGACCAATTCGCACACGAAGGTGGCGGCCCTGGCGAGGAGGAAATCATGTCACCCCGCTTGGAGCTGGCCAGTCCAATGCTCGAGTCGCCGTCCGCCAACTTCCCACCCCGCAGGTCGAGTCTGGTACCAGTCGACAAGCCCCTACCAACACCCACAGACGACACATCCTCAGTGAAATCGCCACAATCACCACCACCCCGAACCTCCTCACTATATCGCGTAGGCACAAACTCGTCCTTTGTGGAGCCTTCATCGCCTAGTGCACATGCGCCCAAATACCAGCCTGCCCGACCGGTACCCGAGCCTGAACCAGATCTACCATTTGATTTCCACCGCTTTTTGGAGCAGCTGCGACATCGCACCGCTGATCCTGTCGCGAAGTTCCTGCGCTCCTTCCTTCTCGAGTTCGGCAAGAAGCAATGGATGGTGCATGAGCAGGTCAAGATTATTGGCGATTTTCTCGAGTTCATCACGAAGAAGATGGCGCAATGCGAAGTATGGCGGACTGTGTCGGATGCCGAGTTTGACAATGCGAGAGAAGGAATGGAGAAGCTCGTCATGAATCGACTGTATAACCAAACGTTTTCGCCCGCGATACCCCCACCAGAGCCAGCTTCGCCAAGAAAAGGTCGACGGAGGCAAGATCCTCCAGGTCCGGGCCGCAGAGGACAGCATCAGGAAGACGTTGAGCGTGATGAGGTGCTTGCACAAAAGGTGCGTATCTACAAGTGGGTCAAGGAGGAACATCTGGACATCAAGCCTGTTGGCGATAAGGGAAGGAAGTTCTTGAACCTGGCACAACAAGAACTCCTCAAGATCAAAAGCTACCGAGCGCCAAGAGACAAAATCATATGTGTTTTGAACTGCTGCAAAGTCATCTTCGGCTTTCTGCGGACGTCGAAATCCGATCAGTCAGCGGACGCTTTTGTACCGCTGCTCATCTACACAGTGCTGCAGGCGAATCCGGACCACCTTGTTTCAAACGTACAGTATATTCTGCGATTCCGAAATCAGGACAAGCTGGGTGGCGAGGCTGGCTACTACATTTCATCCCTGATGGGTGCCGTCCAATTCATCGAAGGCCTCGACAAGACCTCACTTACAGTGACTGATGAAGAGTTCGAAAAGAACGTGGAGGCAGCAGTGTCCGCCATCGCCGAGCGCCACGCAGAAGCGGAAGCGGAAGCGGAAGCAGGTCCCAGCCATCTCCAACCCAGCACACCCGGACACCGCCGTATGCCCTCACCACACTACCACCACCTCTCCGAGAAAGGCACACCGCTACGTCCTGAGGTTACAACACGAAACTCGATGGAAGCAGAGCGCGCCACGCCCCGTCGATCGACCAGCGTCAAAGACCGTAAGGCTGAAGCCGACCAACCAGAGGAAGAAAATGCTGCTGTTGCAGGCCTACTGCGTACCATCCAGCGGCCGCTTAGTACGATTGGTCGTATCTTCTCTGACACGGATACGCACAACACTCCTTCGACTGGGCCAGCAAGTACACCTCAAGCAAGTTCAAACAACACCCCTCGTCCACAACCCCAACAACCTCCTCGGGCGTCCAGCGAGTTCCCTGGCCAGGCACAGGCACCGTATAGCGAGAAGCAGCGCCCATCCCAGGAAGACCAGCAGCGCCAACGAATGTCCGCCGAAGACGCAGCGGCGCGCCAAGCATCCGCGGAAACAGAGCAAGCGAGAAAGGTACAGCTGCAAGAGCACAAAGTCGTGGTCGAAACACTACAAGGCATGTTTCCACAGCTAGATCGGGATGTCATTGACGACGTGGTGCGGCTGAAGGAAGGACGGTAAGTCCAGACAAATCAAACATGTATGGAGAAGGCGCGGCTAACAAATACACAAGTGTCGGATTAGCAGTCGATGCATGTCTCGCGTTGGGGAATCCATAGTGCATAATGCACATTCCTTTGCAGCAACAATTGCACCCAAAGTTGAATTCACGTGGTCCCCCCCCCCCAAATTTTGTTTTCCGCTGACTATGATTCTTCACTTCCGCCCTTGGGGCTGTTTGAGTCTCGAAAACGAGCCCCCGTTTTTTTTGACTCGGCTAGCCTATTCCTCCTGCGCCGCGCTAGTCAAAATACACCGCTAACAAAGAAAGGGTAAAGGAACAAAGGCCGCCCCCCCCCCCCCCCAAAAAAAAGCCCCCGTTCTTTCGGAGTTATTAAATCGGGGACGTGTCGGCAACGTTGGGGCTAGCAGCTGCAATGCAATGCGAGGCGCTGACTCTGGTAGTCGGCCCTGTGTGTATGCATGCGTGTTCGCCCGTGGAGACCGTGCTACGTGCGCAAGAAGCAGCCTTGGCTGTCGGTGTAGAATTTATCGGTACACCGCTGTCGTGGCGAGGGAATACGCTTCAGCCCCAGTGCATGTTGCCTTGACTCCATGTATTCGAATCTGACTGGTTTTGCGGTACTTGTTGTGTCCAATTGCCGTTGTCTTGTGATGGATGTTGCTGATGGTGATGCACTTGCTGTTGTTGTTGTTGCTGCTGCTGTTGTTGTTGCTGGGGATTCCAGCTACCAGACTCCGGGACCTGCACAGGTGCAGCGCCAGGACTGTGACCTTGGTTTTGCATCCCTGCACCATATACCAACGCCTGTCTCTTCCTTCCCTCAGTGGGCCGCGGCATATCCGGCATAGGTTGCGGCGAGGGGGTACCCCACATTTGCTGGTGATTAGGGGTCGAGCCTTCGTATGACATGTGAGATTGATGCGGACTTGTTTGCACGTCGAATGGGTTGCCGTTGTATGACATGGAGCTCGAAAATGGGCTTGGTTGCTGCGGGAAGAGAGCGGGTGGTGTCGTGGGATTACCGTAAACGAGCTGTGGTGCTTGCGGTGACACTGATGGCATCGTAACCCATTGTGGGGGATATGTTACTGGCGGTGCGATTTGCGGTGCGCCAGGCGAGGCATGTGGAGAGCTTGAGTTGCGGTGATATAGCTGTGCGGTCAAAGCAGCAGACTCGCGTTGGAACCGGTCGCGCCAATGTGTGAAGCCAAAGCGAAGACCAAAGTTTGAGAGGACGGAAGTAAAGTCATTGATGGCGTTAATGGCTCGCGTTGTGGGGTCTGCGGGAGTCATTTGCCCTTCTGAAAGCAACGGCGAGGGAAATGGCGGTGGCCTTATTTGCGATGGTGGTGCGAGTGTATCCTCGGAGTCTACCTGTGATTCAATTGGCACTGGGGGTATCGGTGGTCTTGGATCCAAGATGACGTCCATGTTGCGTGATAAAACATCGACAAATTGACGCCCAGTCATATAAGCTCGCATAGCATCGTAGAAGGTCACTGGTGGTTTTATGGTGTTCGCTGGCTTGTTGAGAAGAGACAAAAGGTTCGTGGCATACGCTATGCAATGCTCGAAAATCAGGCGCTGGGCATATTCGTGAATATGCGGTATTCGTGGGCTTGGTGATAGAATGTAAACGTAGCTGTAGAGCAGCTCAAGCTCAAAGAAGGACCTGATGGCGGGTAATGTACTTTGAGGCATATCTTGGAACCACTCCGACATGCGGGTGTATTGCTTCCAGATATACGGATAGGGGTCTTGCCACGGTTCACGTCCGGAGTGAAATAGATCCATGTACCACTCAGACTGAATCTCACGTATCTTGAACATGTCGAGAGCGGAATCGAATGATTGCTGGAAGACCTGAGACTGAGGTGAGGCATACTTTGGCGATGTTGTGTTGACATTGAAAGGAAACCCAACGTTCGCCGCTTCGTCGGAGAAGGAAAAAGCTCGCGTCTGGACGAGGGAAGTCGACCTTGTACAAATTCAGTATGGTTCATGGCAGATGTACCGTTTTTCTTACCTATCCAACGAGTAGACACACCAGTACACTCTTCTCCGGATCTCCAACTTGGCCTTGGAAATTGCTACATTCTTTGAAGGATCTTGGTGGATCCCGAGGTCTACCATGGCGCGAGATGCTGCGCCAATCAAGGTCCAGCTGTCAAAATGATGTGGGTCCATGGTAGCGTATATGGTCCAGAGTACCAGAGCCTGGATGCTGGCGATGTAGCCGGGATGCAGGACGTCTTCAGCATTCTCAAGCGCTGCATTAACGTGGCCCACGGCATCCGAGTAGAAAGTGTCACCACGCTGTTGAGATTGGGATAGTGAGGCAATGGCCAGTACCATGCGCACAGTCCATCGGTCCCAAGATGTGGCATTACTGCCTGGTTGGTAGATGGCGTCCATTGACGAGTACAAAGTAGTCTCTTCGGAAACAGGAAGGATTGTGAAGACGTTGTTCAGGTAATGCTGGATAAGTGAATTCGCGGCATGCCGTTCTGGCAGAGCTTTGGTTAAGCCCTGAGGCAGCGGCTCCTTTGTGCTCGCCGACTGGATTAATCTGGCATACGACATCTCAGTCGTGAAGCCATAGAAGTCTCTCGCTGTGGCATTGACGGCGCTTGAAATGTTAGCGCAGCAAAGTTGGACATGCAAAGGTACTCACAGAAGACCGAACCCGGAGACTAGATCGTCAATCTCTACTGCCTCTTTCCGTCTTGCGGCGCGTTGGCTGACGGGTTTGCCTTTGACAGTGTCGGCTGATGTCCTCCGAGGTGTTGAGTTGTTCTCTGACATGTCGACCATCAAGACTGAGGATTTTCTCCTTGCTCTTTGCTCGGTAAGTCTCTTCTCAAGTCTCTCGACTCTGGCTTCCAAGGTTGCGACATAGCTCCTTTCCTTGCCCCGTGCAAACTGGTCGTTGGTGCTGGAACACTCAGCGGCGCGGTTTGACTTCTCGCATGCAGTGCAGGCGGGCAATTTTCCATCACACTTGACCTTGGCGGCACGGCATCGCGAACAAGCGGCCACCGGGGCGGCTGACCCGTAGTAGTGGGGTTTCCAAAAACCATGAGGCTGTTTTGGTCCGTGTAGTAAGCATCCATGTACAAAATAGTGAAAGACGAAGATTGCCCAAGAACCATTGACAAAGCGAGTTGACTTATGACATAGTGCGAAGTGCCCTTCACGAATGAATGACAGAAAGAAGGAGAGGGAACATAGATGGTCAGGATAGGTGGCTTTCACTGTCCGACGCATGCCGCGGAGAGGGCACTCACCAGGTCTCGGGTCAAATACACACGGGAGGGATGGCGCAGCGGGCTCGGACGCACAGATCCGCGGAGGGGTAGCAAACCCAGCAACCAGGCAAGGGCGCTGAAGGGTGGTCGTGTCGTGCGCGCTCTTGGATGGTGTGAAGCCTGTCAACGGGTGGCGTAGGCGTAGGCGTAGGCGTAGGCGTAGGCGTAGGCGTAGGCGTAGGCGGGTTCAATGCGCCCGTAAAGATGTTAGACGACAGATGATACCGCGGCTATTTGGCGGGTCGCAGCTGCTATAAACGGTCGAGGTGCCCCTCTTGCGGCGCGGCGCTCTCGAGAGGTTGTTTGTATGTGGCAGGCGAGGTGTGCCAGGTGCACGTTTAGAGGATAGAGGATGGATGGGCTCGGGAAGTGCCCTTTCGCCGGCTGGTGTTCGAGGCCCCAATGCTACTGGAGCCTATCAACAGCCACTTGGGGGCCCTGAGCATATGTTTGGGCACCAGTCATGAACCTGTCACGGCTGAGCGACGCGGCAGCGACCAAGGTTTCGTCATGCTCAAGCGTGAGAAGTCTGCCGATCCGATTGGTGATGCAGGGGGGTGGATGTCTTTTCTTTTCTTGTGCGGCCCAGGGACGCGCGCAGATGGGATGGAGGTTTGGCTGTCGAAACACGGGGCGACGGTGCATCGGCCGACTCGTGCAGACGTGCTAGCAGAGCAAGGCGGAATCCACCCAAGAGCTCGGTGCTCCGCCTTTGTTGGTGCACGACTACGAGACCTCTAGACTGTCTACTCGTACGAAAGGCTGCGCAGTGCTGTCTCCGTCCCTCCTCCTGTCCGCCTCAGCCTGACCAAGACTCGCCGCATGCGACAGGATCCCGGGGCAATGTAATGGACGTGCCCGTCGATCTCCCCACACCAGCCGCCGAGCATCATAAGCCCGCCCTCCGCCCCTCCAGCGCTCGCTGACGACGACGTCAAGCTATGGAAGTCGCGACTGCGACATACACGAAGACGGAAGCCGCCCCGCACGCTGCCGAGGAAGGCGCCAACAGCCAGAACCGCACTGCACACACCCTCACAGCCTGCTGTCGCTGCCGCACGGTAGGAATGATAGCTCCTGCTCTTTTTGTTTGCTCCTGACAATTGCCCAGCGCAAGACGAGATGCGACCCTGGCCTGCCGCGATGCGGTCCCTGCGAGCGCACAAACTCGCACTGCGAGTACTATGACCCCACCAAGGGACGCAAGATCCCCCGCAACTATGTCGTGCATCTCCAGCACAAGGTCCGCGACCTCGAGAAGCAGCTGGCTGAGCTCGAGCGCGACGACGTAGAGCCCGATGCCGAGGATGTCATGCGCGGAGCCACAGCGGTGCGCGTGCAGGACACCGACGAGTCCAAATTTCTGGGCCCGTCCAGCGGCATCACCATTACCAGACTGGTCATGCAGCTCGCGAAGCAATTCACCGAGTCCAAGAGCATATCCGAGATTGTGCCCCACGCGCGCGCCAAGTCCATCAAAGCCACTTTTGCGCAGGAGGACAAGCGACCAACTTCAAAAATCTACCCGCTGGTCAGCGACGTCGCAGCCGAGGAGCTGCCCAACAGAAACCTCGCCAATCTGCTCGTCGACCTGTTCTACTGCAAAGGCACGTGCTGCCAGACTGACCGCTCCTGCCCCAACTAACCGTGGACAGTGCACCCCATGTACCCCATCTTCCATGAACCAACCTTCACCACCGACGTCGAAGAAGTGTACAATGGCTCTACAGACCCCTACCAGAACTACTGCTTGCGAATGGTCATCGCCATCAGCCTGCAAAAGATGGACACGCAGTTTGCTGGCCTCGCCGACAGCTACTACCTCGCAGCCCTGAAGTACTTCGAAGCCGCCATCAAGCCAATGAACCTCAAGACGCTGCAGTGTTTCGCCCTAGTCGCCGGCTACTCGCTTCTTACGCCCACCAGGACCGCCGTCTACTACATCATTGGCCTCGGCGTCCGACTTTGTCAAGCCCTAGGACTGCACGAAGAGAAGACCATCACTCTAGGCCCGCGCGGACAGCGAGCCGACCCTCTTGAGATTGACATGCGCCGCCGTTTGTTCTGGACTCTGCTCACCATGGACTACGGCTTGTCGCACAGTCTGGGGCGTCCCGCTCACTTTGCCACCAGGCGTGAGCACATTGACGTCAACTTTGGAGAGCTTGTCGACGATGTCTTCATCACCAAAGAGGGTATCAAGCCCGCGCCCCAGGCCTCGCTCAAGAAATGGATTGGGATCCACTTCTACAAGATGCGCCTTCTGCAGCTAGAAATCCGCAAGATGCTGTACCAAAGGAAGAAGCCCGAACCCAAGGACGACCAGCACCCATGGTTTGCCGAGATGCAAAAAAAGATTGAGGCCTGGCGGGACACAAGTCCTGAGATGGACGGCGGCTCAGGCCTCAACAAAGTCTGGTGAGTAATCTTACCAACACCAAAGGTGTCTGGACTGACTTCCACTAGGTTCATTGGAAGATACAACACCATGGTCGTTTTCCTGTACCGTCCCTCTCCACAAGTTCCGCAGCCCTCGGTCCAAGCCGCGATTCGATGCTATGATGCCTGCCAGTATAACATTTATATGACCCAGAAGCAGATTGAAACCAAGACCGTGGACATGACCTGGATCTTTGTGCAGGCCATCTTCATGTGCGTCAACACCATGTTGTGGACACTCGCGTACTCCGAAGTTCGTCGCATGCACAGCCGCGAAGAGGTGGAGAGCCACATGAAGGTGGCGTTGGAGTCCATCAGGCTATCCTCCGAGCGTTGGCCCGGCGTCGCATCAGCCATGGAACTCTACTACAACCTTATCGAGGCCTGCATGAAGATATTCGACAAGGACGGTGACGTCCCCATCACAGCCGGATCACCATCAGACACAGCGTCTGTCGTGTCAAGCAACATGGTAGATGGCATCAATCGATCACGGACAACGAGCCCCGCAACGGCGTCCACGGCATCGGTGAGCACGCCTCCCGATAAAATGTCCGCGCCGTTCGGCTATTTACCAAACCAGAATCAGCAGATTTTCAACTTTGCAAATGGTCAATCAAATGGCACGAGTCCATTTGCATCGTCACCAAACACGCAGCAGGCTTCGCTCCACACGTCGCCACAACAGCCGCAACTGCACACCTACACCGAGATGAGCCCAAAGACCTCGATCGATTCCGCCCTACCAATGTACAGCTACCCACCAACCACTCAATTCGCATCACTGCCCACGACCTTTACCGAGCTTCCCCGGTGGACTCCAAACTTCTCAATGCCTCAACAAGATCCCTTTGGTCAGGCTACAATGCCGCTTACGTCGCCATTCTACAACGAAGCATATGCTGCGAACCAAGGATACGAAGTGGCAGACTATCTGAATCCCGGTTGGAGTCAAGAAGCTAGGGGTCAGGGGCTGAATCAGCAGCAGCAGATGCAACTGATGCAGGACTTTGAGATGCACGAAACCAGCAAGATTGAAGAGATGATTCAGCAGAGCAACCAGCTATTCCGCCCTCCTCACCTACAAACATTCTGAAATGCGCACGGAGCTGGGAAGAGCAGGAGCTCAAGTTAGCACAGGGTGACGCACAAACCAAGTTTCCACCCAAAAAGACTATCAAACAATCAGGTCCGAATCGCATATTCAAAATACACATCTAACGTACGATATATCGGAGGAAATTAAGTTCGCAGGGAGTCGCCAAGGGCCGTGCGCGTCGGCACGCGTCGACGTGCCGCACAAATGGAGATGCTCCGACAGTGTCTGGCCCCGGTCGATCTCGCAGATCTCTACCTTTCAATTTCAACAATTCTTCGCCAGATCAAGGCTTTTTCTGAATCCGAATGCAGTCGATTGTCCGCACGCTATGCGACTTCTAGGCCTTGTCTTCGCCACTGGCGCCACGCCTGTCGATTGCAGTCACCATAGCGACATGGGCCATCGATGCGATGGGTCGAGTCAGCGCGCATCTTGGGTTGTGGTAATCTGAGCGATGATGCTCGATACGGACTCCAGTGCTGGATGATGTCTTTGCCGGTGTCTGTCAGTGCGCAAGCGAGCCCCATGGCGGTGACACGGGATACATACAAGGATCCCCGGGCCCCGTCCCGTATACCTCGGGCAAGAATGCCGATCGGGAGCTGGGGAAAATGAAAGAGACTAAGGACGGAGATTACTTTACGGACCGATATAGATCTGCGGATCTGGCGACATGCACAGCAAGTCTTGTGGGCGATATGTACGAGTAGGTAGGATGACATGTTGTAAGAATTTAGTCGGATACTTTTCCATTGCATGTATAGCTCGGGCTATCTTTTTTATATCCCGTGACCAGGATGTAAGAACTGTTGTAGTCACCTGGCGACTGCTGAAATATCCTTCTTCATATTCCGTGCTCAGTATTTGAGAACAATTGTAGTCGCCTGGCTAATGCTGAAGTACCCATGTTTTTGATATCCCACGGTCAGGATCGAAGAACAGCTGTAGTCGCCTGGCTAATACTAAAGTATGCATATCAAACATCTGAAGCTTACATCCCCGTTTCAAGCTGATATTTGCCCATCTCTCCATCCTCCATCTAACTCTTTCTCTTCCTCCTCTCGAAGTCCTCAACCTCAGGCGTACGGTACCGACTTCCAGACCCACAGTCATCTTCGCTCTCACCATCATCTCCATCCTCTTCAGCCAGCACCACCACTACCTTCTCCGCAGGCCTTGTTCTCTCCCACTCCCTCTCCACCCATTCCTCCAATCTCTGCACTATCTCAACAACATCCACCTCTTCATCCCCACTTTCAATTCTCTTCCTCTTCCTCTTCCCCTTCCCCTTCCCCTTCTTCACCTCCTCTCCCTTCTCTCCACCTCCCTTCAACCCCAATCCCCCCGCCTCTCTCACCATCCCACAAACCCACATCCCGCCCTTCACCACCGTCCTATGCTCCCAATCATCCCTTTCAAACGTCGGCAGGTCGTCTTCCAGGCCCTTGATGGTCTCAAGCAACGTCTCATCGGGGTACAGCGCGTGGTCCTCGAGGATGTTGGACAGCGCGATGGTGGCGCCGAGATAGAAGGGGGCGCGGCGGGGCGCGGGGAGTTTGGGGAAGGGGGGGGAAGTGTATGTATGTTGGGTCGTGGGTGCAATGGAAGGCTTGGTAGCGCGGTTGTGAGGTTTGGGTGTTGTGATGGTGGGTGGTGAGAGTTGCGGCGTAGTGGGGCCGGTAGAGGGGGAGGTGCTTGATCTTTTGTCAAGCCTCTTGTCGTTTCTGTGCGTCGTTGGAGCGGCGGGGATGGACGGTGAGGATGTTGTCGAGGACGAAGTGGTTTCCCATGATGTATTGGAGCGCGACTGAGAGGTTGAAGGAGTGCTGCTGGCGAGTGATTTGGCTGATGGGGTCCTGGCCCGAGTGCTTGATCGTGTCGTGAGTTTTGTTGCTGTGTGGGGTGCGTCGAGCATCTCAATATCGTCTTCATTGTTGCTCACGAAGATGGAACCGTTTCCTTCTATATCGGACGTAACGAATCCTTCGCTCTTGACCTTCACACGCTTGGACCGGCGGACTGGCTTTTCTTGCTTCATGGTGGTGGTGGTGATTATAGTAAGAAGCGATGGAGATGGAATGTGCAGCTTCACAATCAAGCTAGGCTTCTCTGGCGTGGAGTTTGGTTTGCTACCGATACCTTTGGACCTGGTTGTGCGGTTTGTAAATGTCGGCTGGGCTTTGTTAGCATGTGCTGAGGGTGAGGAGCAAACATCTCCGATTAGAGCGCTTACAGGAGACGGCATGTTAGTGGCGTTGCTGGTTTTCTCGATTCCTTCGCTGATTGCATTGATGCGTTTGGCGGGCCCTGAAGTTGCAGTACGTCTCGGGCGATTGAGAGCCTTCAGTACACCCGTGGTTGCAGACATGCGAGGTGCATGCGTGAGATCGCGTCGCTTTCGTCGCGCTTCAAGAGCGGCTTGCACTCGCGGGCTTTTTGAGATTCCAAGCTCCTTGCGTTGCTTAGTGGGTTTGTGGGCTGAGCTGAATTTCTGTTCGTCAGGCACGGGCTCATCCTCAATGCCGCCCATTGCGCTACCTTGAGATTTGTCGGCTTCACGGACTGCGGCTTGTTGTCGGTCGGATCCGATGTAGAGAGCTTCTATAGCCTCGATAGTATGTCTGAGTACCGTCACGACTGATCGCCTCGCCTGCGACGTGGCTGGCGTATCAGTGAAGAGTGCAGTGTTGAAGAGCTCCAGTCCTCGCGATCGCAGCTCAGTCGGCAACTCAGTATCGCTGAGAAAAGTGGCTTGACGCCGAAGTAACTCAGCAACAGATGCACCGTCGCCTAAAGTGCTATTGATGATCTGCTTATGGATGGTGGCCATTGTTGTTGTAGATGTTGTGGCGTCTAGGTGTGGAAGTAGCAATAGCAGATCACGATACCCACTAGACAAGCTGAGAGGATGATTAATCCCTGACAGTTCAGTACTCTCCACCGCGCCAAGACGCAGCGGCATCAATAAAAGTTGAATCTGTTTGACGTATGTAGATGGTACTTAGACTCACCGATAACCGACGGCGACATTTCTTGTGTTCCGTCGCTAGGCTCCGACCAGGGTCCTGTGCGCGCAGACGAACCGATCTTTTTGTCGCCTCATCAAGAAGGAGCCTGGCACTCCACTGAGGAGCGTCATTATAAGCAGCCCTTTCGTCTGCATTAAGATCATCGACCATGTTTGTAATGCTCTGCACTGGACTCAAGTTACAGCAGTCCGCTCACAAGCGCCACCCCTTGCCCAGATGGCCTGGCTATCCAGTGGCAATTCTGTAGGATTCACGACCTTTCTCCGATACAGGACTTCAGACCTGATACTAGCCCTGGAATAATTAAGAGTGGCGCGCCAATACAAATAATGCAGACAAACCGCTGTGGGTGCTCGTCAGTCATTGCAATGGTCAAATGAAGGGGTCCACGAATGGATTGAGGATCAGAGCAAAAAATACTAGGTTTCGTATGATCGAAGTCAAAACATTATGAGCCATTGTTTCAGTGTGAGGACACGCCGACTATGGCCAGCTTGAATTGGGGGGATAATCTTCAATGTGTTTCCAATCGACATAGAATTCTTCTCACAGTTACAAGAACAAGCGGCACGATCTATGACTGAAAATTTTCTTGTTATGGATGGGTGGGAGAAACATATCCAGTCCTAGTGACTGCCTCGCGATGAGGACTGTTGATTGATGGGGCAATACTCAAGTTGAGCGAAGGTGGTGGAGTTGGACTAGCTGAAAGATGAAATAATGGCGCAATAAAAGGGTGGTGGTCCGATGTTGATCGGTAAGCTTGAAGATTACCCCAAGCGAGCCTATTTGCCACGCCCATGAGCACGAAAGCCTGCCCGTGGTACGGTGCGTGCTTCAATCTTTTCTGTGACCTTATCAGACTATTATCGCATATCTGTAAGATTCTGGGGAACTACTAAATACCTTAAGCTACTTTGACGTTGGGTTTCCCTCCATCGATGATATAATTGGCAGCGTCTTCCTCTGCTTCCTCCGTTTCCATCACCTCTCGCTTTTGCATATTGTCCTTACAAGCTCGGAGCGCCTGGATGGAGACCATAGAATTTTTGTCGAATCCAGGTACCTCCTTCATGAGACACTCAGCTAGAGTACCATATGCAGGGGCGCGGCGACGATTGGCATGATCGATTGCGCTGGCCGAGGCGAAGCCTGCAAGTACAAGAACGATGAGCTGGCACCCGGTTGCAGTTGCTAAGTTTAGAGATACGTCGTCAGCTCATTAGATGCCTTCGAGTAGAAACGCCTTTTCGACTTACTGCACTTCATGTTGCACAGCGATGAGAGTAACGCAGAAGAGGATGCTATCTCGAGAAGGTGTTGAAAATTGTTCGATTTTGGGCAAGGCCTTAAATTTTATAGGATATGGGAAGTCGAAGTCGTAGCGGGTGTTTATGCAGGAGATAACGAAAGACAGAGCAGCAGGCACCGTCTTAAATAGATACAGACCTGTGCGTCACGTCCTAGCTGGGCAAGTACCAAGTGAGGGATATCAATCCTGTAAATGCGGCAAAGAAACAGAAAAGGTGGCCGTGAAGCCGTGCCGTACTAGTTAGGGTAGGTTGCGAGGCTTAGGTCACATGTCTCCACACGGAGGAGGCGTGGATGTAATCAGACAAGTATAGCATCTGTCTCGGGGACATTCAGTGTGACGGCATAACCGATCGACAAGCGCTAGAGATAGGCACAGCAGGCACAGAGTAAAGAGGCACAGCAAATCTCACAGACGCTACAGGCGCAGCAGTTGATCACTCCTGTGCCGCTGCATTTGCCGCCTTGGCAGACGCGAGAGAGCCCTGGAGTGTAGGAAAACGCCACGTGACGAACTTTCATTCGACAGAGAAAGCACGGCATCATCTTGATCGAATTTATTCCACACCACCAACTCGCCGTATACTCGGTACTATGCCGGCGAAATTGCTACGGCGTTGAGAGCGCCTTGCAGCGCCGCATGTGCCTGGGGGCTCACGCTGAGACTCACAGAAGCGTAGCATGTTGGAATTGCCGTTGAGATACTACGCGTTGCTATTCCAGTTGTGCATCCCAATGGAGCTAGGAAGGGAAGACATATGGCCAACCCAACCGGTATATATACGTCTTGCTCTGCCTTTATTATCGATATTTCGTCTGATATTTCATCTACTTCCACACCCAACAGTGATTTAGTCCATCACTCCTGATTTTCACTTATCAAGCTACAATTTCCTGCACTTGGACCGCTCCAGCAAGCTTGCCCAACCGCAAATATGAGACACACATGCTTTACAACTCTCCTCCTGTTGGCTACAGGCTCCTCGCTCGCATAGGAACCAACTGCCGACGACAAAGAAGCTGCGGCCAAATACCACGAGGACCGCACAGAGCGTCTTCGGGCACGTTCTCTTCTAGAAGCCCGACAGGATTGCTCTCGCATCGACTGCATGGAAGGTGGCGACGCTGCTTGTGGCGATGCAGGGTGCACCGTGTGCGGTGCCGATTACTACTGCGTTGGCCATGACGACTGGAAGCATCCGCCTCTGGAAAAGATGGTCGTTACCGCAGGCGCCAAAGACATCCCAGGCAAGCGCGCCATTCTGACCAACTTCTTGGAGCCTGGCCAGTTCAAAGATCACTGGGCGGCTGACATTTGTAAGGAGATCACCAAAATTCCGTCTGACCAGGATACAAACGCCGGAAAATGGCACTACAGTATTCAGGGCACTCACAAGAAAGTGATGAGTCTGAGTCACGAAGGAGAATACTTGACCATATTGGTTACATGGGAACCTAGCGACAAGCGCCTGCTTCCCAAGTTTGATGACGTAAAGGTGGACTTGTGCAAGAAAGCTCTCAATGAAGCGACGCAAAACACCCACAAGCTGGAGTATGGCGCCTTCAACACCAAAAGCGTTCTGTCGCTCAAGAACAGACACGATATCGCCATTTCTACGCCGCGTTCGACGGATGGAGGAAGACAATCAAAGCGTGGCAGAGCCGGAAACACGATTGCGTTCATCAACATTGAGCTTGGAGACCACAACAAGGAAGTAGGTCTCTTCAACGGCAATGGCCTCCCTCCAGCATGAACTGGACTTACATAGATAGCGTACTTTCCCCTCTTTGCCTAAAACATGGGGCCAGAAACGGAAAACGCGCTGTCTAGGTGGATTGCAAGGCGCTTGCGTGGAGGAACAGGACAAGAAGGGAGATTGATCAGTGCTGTGTGGTGGAGCAAGGGGTTCTTTTGAATGATGTATATACAGATACAATGCTGTTGTGTTTTCATCGTGAAGCTACCCTGATGCATGATGGTGTGTAACGTGAGTGTGTCGAAGTGCGAAGATGTGAGCTATGCGTATCCGTGGCTATAACGAATATTTTGATGACAGTGATGATGATGTGTGGCGGTCAGACCTGTTGATGCTGGGGAGGACATGCGATTGGCCAACTACATAATGCAGCTTGCGCTGTTACTTCGGGCGCTAATGCGCGTCTGTAAGCATGATTGCGGCGTATACACCCCAAGGCTGCCGGCCAGACACTTATATAGCACAGCTGCTCCGCCTGAAATTTATGATCTTCGACTGAACTTTCACGACAACAATCATGTCTGCGCCGAATTCCTTCCTTCTTAGCCTGGACAGGCCAAACAATCTTCACGCCGCACCTGTTCTAGCACTTCGAGTCTCAGCCAACTACGTTGTTACTGGTGGCGCAGATACTTCTGTACGAGTCTGGCTCAAAAGTAACGGCAATCTTACTATTCCAGCCCTGCTTGGCGACCCCAAAGCTTCTTTCAAGACAGTTGAAGTATCAGAAGAGCTGGGCCTGGTGTTTGGTGGTGATGGGAAAGGCAACATCACTGTTTGGAGACTGTCAGACGGAAAACTTCTGCTCGTGCAATCGGCGCACAAAGACACTGTCTTGTCTCTTGCTCTTGACAAGAACACTCTTATATCGACTTCGAGGGATCAAGTGGCGAAGGTCTGGGAGCTGGAGACTACCGACGGCCTCCATTCAACTAGACTGCAGCTATCCCACACGTTGCAGGGACACACTATGGCTGTTCTTGATGCGAAGACTGCTGATAACCGCATCTATACATCCTCTGGAGACAGGAGCATCCGCATCTGGGACAAGCATTCGGGCAACCTGATTAGAGAACTGGAAGGAGTCGCGTCCATCACATGCTTCCAGTTGAGAAAGAATGCCGCAGGTACAGAACAGCTAGTAGGCGCCTGTACAGATGGGACAATTCGAATATACAACACAGAAACAGGAGCTGAGCTTGCGTGCCTCGAGGGCCATACAAATGTGGTCAGCTCAGTCCAACTGTTGAAAGAAGATTCGGCTGGCGATGGGACCATATACGTGGCTTCGGCATCATACGATGGCAGAGTTCGATTGTGGAAGCTGCCAGAAGGAGACTTGTCATCCGGGAAGTGCGTCACTCAACTGTCCTTCACTGATGCCGTAGTGACGCCGCTTTCGCTCCCAGGCTCTCTCAAGGCAAACAATGATCCGGTAGATCCTGCGCGAGAGGAGGAGAGACAAAGACGGGATTTAGAAAGGCAAGGAGAGATGCTTGTGCATAGAGTATTTGCGATGCAGGTATCAGAGGGTTATCTGTACTGCGGTGGAGAGGGTGCTCACGTTGTAGCTTGGAACCTTCAATCTGATCTAGACAATTAAACTACCTGGAGATAGCCGGCGGCTCGAAAATGAATCACTTTTGCGTTTTTATCCAACGCCAGCCACTGATGAAAGCCTTGCGGCCCAACGTAGCTACCAAACCACTAGCACCATCAATGTTTGCCATGCATGTGTCGTTTACTGGACATTATCAACTGCCGTCGCCCCTCGTGACTCATGGGTGTGAACATATTTCGTCATATTGCAGCAGGGCAGGATCGATCAGACCACGGTACAAACGCTATAACGTCTACAGGATGGTGTATACATAGACGTGATCTGGACAGCAATTCAGGCCTGCCTGAGGACGGCCTGTCCGAACCAACCCCTTTCCGCCGTCGATTTCGAGAAACTGAACGCGTTGCCACGGTACTAGATCACTTTCAGCAAGATTGGACACGCTGCCTGCGTGTTCACTCTCAAGATGGTGGGCGAAAAGCCCTGGATCTGTGAAAATGGACTGCTCGCAGTCCCTTAACCTATGGTTCCTGGCATGCCGGAGGTACGCGACGTCAGATGTCTGAGCATCGTGAATTGCAACCAACTCGGACTGGCACAAGCGGCATCTTTGGTCAGACCCATGAGGCTGTGCGCTGGATAAACAGTCATGCAAATATCGACAAGACCACGAAACGCAGGTGGGATGAAATTTCACCGCTTCAGTGAAGCTTCGAAATTGTAGAGAGCATGTGGGACATTGGAACCTCTTCGAACTAGAAGCGAGTGAGTACATTCAAATGAATTACCAGGGAGGGGGCACGTACCTGAATGTAGCTGTTGGTGTTTCTGAAAGCCTCTTAGGCCACCACGACTCTTTGCAGATTCCTTTCTTGATATGTTCAAAAACGTGCTCTTGCCGTGCTTCCCATGTACTGAGAGTTATGCCGCAAAAGCCACAGTGCAGAGACGCATCATTCAAACTTGGATTGATCGCCTTCCAGCAATTGAGAAGGTACTTTGGGATACTCTTCGTAGATGTATCGCAACCAAGGTGGCTCCTTTTGATATGCTGCGCAAGTAGATCTTCGCGAAAGAATGTGCGAGCCTGGATGTCTCTCGGTAGACAGCTATGGCAATGTTGCATAGCGGTATGATCTGAGCTTCCGCAAAGAAGACAGTGTGAGGCTGTCTCTGAGTGACTGTCTGGTCGGCAGCAAATCCAGTAGTATGGCATGTGATGGACTGCCTCTTCATGACGAACCCAGTCAGAGCGAAACTGAAACCGAACACTGCACGATGGTGATGTGCAAAACAGCTTGTCTTTCCTGATCTCAGGTGTATCTACCCTTTTGAAATCGGAAAACTTTGTTTCCGGAGGTGATGGGTATGGCGAATGTGGTGGCGAAAATTCTTCTTCAGCCAGACTCGAATCACGAGATACGGCGTGAAACTCTGCGACGCGCCTCCATTGCTTTCTTCCACGACGAGAACCCCTAGAGTCCATAGACAAAAGACTCGTAGAACTTCGATAGCTGTGAGTCGAGCTTACAGAGCTTTCTGAATCAGCGATACTTAGCGATCTTGACCCGCCAACCCGGATGCTTGAAGGTCTATCCAAGGTGGCCATCTGAATAGTGGAATCTTGCAGGGCGGCTTTGATGGAGGCTGGCGAAGCACCATCTTCGCTGATTGGAGCGGACAAAAACCTTTCAAGCGATGAAGAGCTGGATTTCGACGAAAGCCGATCACGATTCCACGATCCCATAGAAGATACAGAGCTCATAAGTGAGGTGTTTCCTGATTTGCATCGGGTATGTACGTGACCAGATGTCGTGTTTGCTGCAGCCTCCTGTGACACTGACAATATTTGTAAGCTCATTGAACCAGAATCAACAAATTGTTATAGGTTTCGCGCACACTAGAACAGGGGAATTTGAACTTACGAAAGAGCTTGAGCCTTCGCGATCGAGTATTTGAGAACCATGTCTTGATAGCCTTACCACTCAGATCGGTGCGATGCGAAAGCAACCTTATTTCACTGTCTGAGGGATAGGAGTCTAACGCAAATTGTTCCTCTAGTATACGTTTGTTGCTACTCGAGATCACTGTGCGGCGCTTAGCACGCTGCGGAGCAGTGTTTTGGTTTTGCATGACAGGAAGCGAAGGCGGGGAGACAGCATCGTCAAGTGGAGTTGTCACACTATCATGTGGGGAAATATGGTGTTCCCAGCTGACAGTATGTTGTGCCGGTTGTAAGCCCTCGCCTACAGTGCGCGCCGTGGCTGAGATGGCCGGGGGTTCGAAGAACTGTTGTTTGTTGTGCTCATCACAAGTGATGAAGCTCAATTCGCAAGTGCACCCCAGTCCCGCCCATGGCTCCACTGACAGAGAGTGAAAAGATTCGAAAATTTCTTCACTTTCATAGAAGTTGTCGAAAGGGTGAACAAAAGCCGGTTCGATGACTTCGTCATCTCGCGTATCGTAGACCGCGTAGGGTTGCATGGGGAAAGACCAATTAAACGCCATGCTTGTCGAAAGTACGTCTGCGCATACACGGTTGATAAAGGTAAGTAGTGTAGAGGAGTACAAACGAACAGAAATTCATTTTGTGAACTCTGGCAGCAGTACGGATGATATACTAGAGATAAGACGAGACTGAGGAACGAGGTGAGCGGCTTGATGTTCTAGGGGAGAGACAGGGGCTGGATGGCGAAACCATGCCTCTTGAGGCCTAGCATATTTTCCGACCCCACCTCGCCATTAGTGTTACACCGAGACACTTCACGACTCCTACACTGCACGGTTTTGGACCGTCCAGGATGTAATAGTAGGATATAATTTTCAAATATCTGTGTTCACCGCGAGACGCATCCTCCTCACTGTCAAACTTCCATCCACCAAATCATGCACATCCCGAAAAGCCCGCTGTGCCTCCGTCTTAGTCATGCCCTGGTGTAGCACCATATGCAGCAGCCTGACGAAGTGATCGTGTAAGCCAATCTCCATGGTCCTCCCAACAATTGCCATCCTCCTCACAAGTCGCCCACTGCCAGTCTGAACGGCCATGCGTTGTAACACAGCGATTGCCCCAGCATGGAAATCCGCGAATTTCGACACTGCTGGAGTTGTGGAGTTGTGGAGTTCAAATGAGCGCGATCTACAGCTCTGTCTACGCACCTTTGCACCCTGGTAATTTGAGTTGGCGTAAATCGTGCATCAGTGTTTTTTTTAGAATCCTCACAATGTCGTTGTAAACGTATTCGATACCTGTGCCGAAAACATCTTGTCCAGCGTTGATCGCGGATAGGTCTGGCCACGGCTCACACCTGATCATTCCCGTCAAGAAATTCGGTATGGGGTTGTCGTTGTTCAGGAACGGATCGATCTCGCCGAAGGCGTATCGGTTCGACATGCTGTTGTATCGATAAAGGGCAGCTTGTATGCGCCACGGTAATTTATATGACGAGGATCGGTTTGCTATGAGGGAGTCATCAATGATTACATATAGATCACAAGAACATCCTAGAATGAGAATGGATCTTCCATAACTCTGACATGAGGAAAACATTCGAATCTGTCGTTAAGATATGTCCTAGAGAAGAACTCGATATATACAGAATCAGCAAGACCAGCTCGGAGCATTGTAGTTTTTGCAGTACCATGTGTTCGCACATATGGGTATCCATGCACTCAAATAAAGCAGATTATGCTCACATCCCACCATTCCTCCTGCCGCACACCCACCTACGCTCTCAACTTGCCCTCCCAAACCCACTCTCTCCCCGAAGATCGGCTCTCATCTCGCCATCTCCCACACCAACCCCCTTCGGCCATCTCCTTCCTCAACCACCCTCTCCCTCACTTCATCCACCAGTCCATCCAACCTCGCCCTTGCCGCCACCAGCGCCTCCTGCACCTCCCACCACGTAGGCCGGCCCTGTCTGGGCCTAGACTTTGACCAATATGGACTACCCAGCAAAGTTTTCCACCACGTCGGCTTGCTTGGTCGCAGATGTGGTTTTAGGAGCTTGGGCTTGAGCATAGGTGATACGTCATCTAGGGATTGAGTAAGCTGGAGAATGGGGCGCCATGTCGCCTGAGATGAGGGAAGGGTAAATCTGGAGCTTGAGCTTCGTGAGTGCTGCGTGCAAGTTGAGCAAGCTGGGTAGTGCAGGTGTCTAGGCTGTCCGCTGGGGTATGGCCCCTGTGCAGATACGAGGTCGACAGGCCCTTCGAGGCTGGAGCTGGGTGGGGATTCTTGACAGGACTATGTGCATGTTGGGAAAGATCGTTAATAGATGTTTCGGTGGACATTTTGGGCAGCGTTGGCGGTGAGTCCGGCGATGGAAGGAAGGGCTTTTTGAGGCTGGAGTCAGCAAAGGCAGGGATGCTGACGTTGCTATGACGATACGTGCTGTGATTGGTCTCGTAACTGTGTTGTGGATGAGGAGGAGAAGCTGTCCTGAAAGAAAGAGGAATCTTGTACCCTTTGAGGTCTTAGAAGGATTAGGTAGTGGCAAAGAGTGTGAGACCAGTGGAAAAAGCTGGACAAATAGATCAGAGACAAACCAATGTATTTTCTCCAAGCAGGGATGCATTGAAAGCTACGAATTTCCTACGCTTCGTTTCGAATAGTGGCTGAGATCTTGGACGTGTACTTTCGCGAGCCCATGGCCCAATCATTGCGTTGAGTGGGCATTCATACTGACAACCAGGAGGGCTGAATTCATTCTGAGGATCGTGTAGCAGCCTCATACACATCCTATCATGCTTCTCATACGGATAGTGTCGTTCAAGCCGAAGCACTGTCCCTTCGTAAGCACATCTGCCTAAACTCCTTCTCCAACGCCGGCATGTTCAAGCGCGCGATGTCCCAACCGCAAGCCTGGCTCTCGCAGTGTAGTACAAGCGAGCTCAGGTGTCCAAATACCTTCTCGCAATTGGCATCGCGGCAGATGAATGGTGTAATCACTCCATCGTCCATCCATTGTCGCATGAGCGCAGGATTGACGCGGCTGGTACGAATTTGCGCGTGCAAGTCTAGATCCATGAATAGCGGCGAGTACCACCAGGTTCCGAGACAAAGAATGAGGCGGGATGGGTCGGGAAATTTTGGGCACTTTCCAGATTCGAGATGGTTGATGAGGCTGGAGTATGTACGCATCGGCGCGTCACAGCCCCAACACTGTATCGTGGCAGACGCATGTTTCGTCATGTGCTGTCGCCTATATTAGTGGGAAAGGGAGGATTCGGCCACTCGTCACTTACAATTAGGTAATTACCCTCATGATGGGTGGAGAAGGTGCACTGCTCGCAAAAGAAGCAATGCTCTAGGTGCAGTGCGAGTTGTGCTTGTCCGGCATATGGTTCCCTACATTGTGGGCAAGTTACAGTAAACTTACAGTTCTCGGCGTGGTTATTCAGCTTGGTCTGGCTTTGGAAGATACGCTTACAGCCCACACACTGGAAGTGATCGCGCTTCAGATGCTCCTCCAAGACAGCTTCTTCAGGGCCATCGAAATCACAGCCGGGCTGTAGGCAGTGCCTATGCTCTGCGAATTTTGTGAGTCACAGTTTAGGCGGTCTTTAAGTGTACCTACTCTGGGTCTTGTGCCAATGCTCATCACGCTCGTCTTGATTGTGAAACCTGCGCTGACAGGACTAGTGGTAGCAAGTCAGCCAATGTTCAGTCTGGAAGCACGGAAGCCACTCGGTAAGTACGGATCACGCAACGTACGTACCTCACACCAAGTATGCTTCGCAGCCAATTGAAGGTGCTTCTCGAGCTCGGCTTGGGTACGGAAGCCCAGCAGACAAGTAAGACACGCGAACTGATGACCAACGGCATAGTTGTTCTCGAAGTGATTTTTTAGTCCCCACTCGTTATTGAATGCGCTCAAGCACAAGTTGCAGCAGACTCCGTGCCCCCACGAGTTCTCCACGTGGTTCTTCAGGCCATTGCGATCCTTGAACACGCGCTTGCACAGATTGCAGTAGTGCTTGTGATCTGACTGGGACTGCTTGATGTGGCTGAGCAGCATTGCTTTGCTAGGCAGCTTCATAGAACAAACGCCGCACCAGTTTTCGTAGGGGTCGTACGCTTTGCCAGTGGGGTCTGTCGTAGAGGCCGAAACCGTACGAGCACGATTTGCCGCAGCGCTTTGTGCGGACGCGTTCCTAGTCTGATCGCGGATGGCGAGGGCATTGGGTTTTGGTGCAGATGGCAATTGAGTAGTCGGCGCGCCGCGCTTCTTCACCTCCTGCCACGGAATTGAGTCATCAGCGACTTGGTTCAGAAATGGATTGCGCGACGCGTCGGCAGCCGTCCTACGTGGTGGGGCCGCATGCTCGTCTTTCTCGACGAAGAGAGCGTATCGGTTGTTACCGGTGCTTGCCATCGTCAAGGCTGGCGGCCGGTGGTTGGGTAGGAGCGTTGAGTAACTCTAGAGGTGTCGGCGCGGCAGACGAGATGTTGAGGGCGATGTCGATGCCCAGGTGTACCCTGCCGTTAGCGCGATATCCAATCACAGCCTGCCTAGGCAACGAGCTCAGCGTGACACGCACGGGAAGCGACATTTACGCCAGCAAATGTCGAGCGGGGTTAATTCTGAAGTGAAAGCGGCATGGCTAAGAGTAGCCCAGAAATCCTTGCCAGAGCAGTTGGCTTTTGTTTCGCATTGAGGCATCTCATGTCCCCCGGTGCGTATGGAGCAGCAATGGTGTGCTTGGCGGACTGGAAGGTGCGGTGAAGGACGTAACGAACAGCAACAGCATCAACAAGACGGACGTTGGAATCGAATACGGATGAATACAAACCTCTCAAGCTGGATCTCACACCCATATTACTATACTGGACAATTGTGGACGATTCCAAAAAGCGCATTGTGTCAAATCGATCTTCGTGGTGTTCTAGGGCTGCGATATAGCTCGCTGATCAACATTCTCTTCCTCTAGCCTCCCTCGAGGCATTGTTTTCTTTTCATCATCGGGCCGGTCTTGATGTGTGAAAACATCGTGATGAAGGAATGATGAAGTCTACCATGAGATGCCGGCTCAAGAAAGTTGAGTCAGACTCCCTTTCGGCATACTTTGCCGAAACAAGCGGCACGTCATCGGCCCCACTTCCCTCTAGTGCCATCTGATCTACCTCGCATTTTCACCTTCTTTGTTCGTGTACCAGACGCAGAGCCGTCGGTCGAGTGTTGAGCAGGCATTACGCTTGCTAGTGGACACTGCCGAAATAGCCCCCCGAGTTGGGTTTCCGTCATCTCATCTGCTTTCTAAGTTGTGTATCTGGTGAAACCCAATCTACGTCATGAAAGACGCGACCATTCAGATAAGACATGTATTCCCGCAACTGCTGTTCTGAGAAATCGGGCATGCTGAGACTCCAAGCATCATTGCTTTGATACTTTTCATTCAGCTGTTCGATGTGTAGTCCGCTGTCCAAAACTGACAAGCTAAGAAGCATACCATCAGCGTCGCAGGACCACGAAAAACTTTTTTGAATCTATACCATGTACGAAGTACATGGAGCAGCCCCTGGAAACCTGCGGCCTAGCTAGACGAGAGACTCGGTAGATCGCCGGGAGCGGGTGACTTTCCCGATTTCGAATTTGGTCGAGGTTCTGGACACCAACACCCCAGCGTCACGCTCAGTATTTATCTTGCGCCACTCTCTTACTCGCCACCTCTCAGAGTCCTGCATTGCGTGCTCATGCTCTTCACTTGCATGCATTTGCAACCTCGAATCTGACACGATCGTCAAATGCCACAACGTTATGCCACGCTTAAGCGCGAACAAGTAGATTCCAGGACAGCGGATTCCCTTGCATCCGCACGGACACTCGGCTAATCCACCAGCTCAACTTCTTGGGTAGACTACCTGCGTACAGGACTCGCCGCCATGCAGACGGTCGACATCCGCGGCCTCTACGATGAGGACCCACGTCCGACCTTCGTCGTGGATTGTGATGATCAGCCCGCAGGCATCTACCACGTGAACTCTGCCCTACTGGATCTACCGCACCTTGCACTATCTCTCCATGCTCATAATGCGTTAAGAGACTGGTGGGATCCTTCCAGCAGAGTTGCGTCACGTCATCAACAGGAGTTCCGACATGGCCGTTACCGGTGGGCAAAGTTTACTGCTTGTCAACGTTGGCTTATCATCACTCTCATCGAACAGCCGCCGCAGACAGAGGAGCCAAAAGGCCATTTGCAACAATCCTCCCAGCTGGCGCGGGTCGCCTCACCCCTACATCCACATGCTGAGACTATTTTCACTGTCAAAATTCAATCCCCGGAGCTGCGAGAGCATATCGAACGCCTTCAAAAGGTTGACTGGGGACGAACCTCTCTGGGCCCCATCGCAGGCTGGAGCTATGAATTGAACCTGCTAGTCACCACTCTCATGCTCGAGACGCGTCCAACAGCGATCTTCCTGGGCTTTGACCACATCATCGTGTATAATCTCGCGTATGGCGCTGTCTCTGGATCCAGACACCCTGCGATCCTGGGTCAATCTATCCTCGACGCATGGTCCGTGCTAAGAGTAGCCTTGCTATGTGCCTATACTGACGACAAGCAGGCCTGAGGTCGCCGACCCTGTGAGTACTACAATGGAACGTTCCCAGCAAACGCGCTTCGCAGATACTCCCGAAAAAGAGTACCATTTCATGATAGAGAGGAACGGTTTTGTTGAAGAGTCTTTCTTCATGTGGAGCCTTATATCTCTTGTCGGCGTTGGGCAGATTAATGGCATGTACTCCATTGTGACTGAAGTGACCAAACAAAGGTGTGTCACAAAGCTCAATATCTGACTGGACTACATTCACCATCAAGTCTATATCATGCTTCTACTTTGGTCATCCACAGCAATTCAGCGGAGTCTATTACATTAGCTAATCCGCTACAGACTACTGGAACGCCGTGTCAATGCACTACTTCGATTCGGGCAACTAAGCAGCGAGGCTGTAGATGCTAAGGCATTTTGGAAGTCGATTCGAGAAGCCATCTACCCAAGCGAGTACGATTTTCCAGCCGCAGTCCTGTACTCCCATTGTGAAGTCGAAACGACTGGCTCTGCAGTTACATACAGCAAAACCACTTCGCGTAATTGTTCACTGGAATGGACGATCGGTTATAGGGTTAATCATCCCGACATACCACAAAAGCTGGATCTAGAGCAGGATCTTCCACTTGGACGTGCCATAGCTGGCAGTGCCAAGAAAGGCGTAGCTACGCTCTATCGCCACGAGGACGGACGTTTACCAAGCACCCTTTTCACTGACGTCGAGAAACGTGGCTTTGGAGACCCTTGTAAAGCGATGCTCATTATACCAGTGAGGACATCTAATGAGACTATAACGGGATACATAATCGTAGGACTCAATACTCGGAGACCGTATGATACAGAGTATCAGGATTGGATAGGTGAGTAGATCTGCCACTTGCAGGCAGGACTTGGCTAACGTTTTCTTCACCAGAGGTCTTCTCAAATCTTCTGGGAACTTCTGCAGCATCCGTGGCGCTTCACGAAGAAGAAGTGCGGAATCGAAAGCGTCAAGAAGAAGAAGCTGCAAGAGATCGGGAAGCACTTAGCGCCGAAGTCGCGGTCTTAGCCCAGGAGGCTAGTGATGTCACAGAAAAGCTATCCAATTTCTACCAGCTCGCCAACGCAGTCGGCCTCGGCTACTTTGAGTTTGCTATCAGTGGAGAGCTTGTACATGCAAATGTAGGTTTGCCATTGCAGCCCTTTGTTCTTCATGTCTAACAACTTTCTAACACTCAACAGGAAGCCTTCTTCCACCAGACTGGCCACCCACGAGATCTTTCGAATTCTCGTCCTTTTGCCTTCCTCGAGCATGTCTACGGGCCGGATCGAGAACTTGCTACGGAACACTGGCGTATGTCGGCAAGTGGAAAGTCCACTACATATGAGATGCGATGGAAGAAGAAGCCCAACGCAGACACTGGCAGCGAAGACGACACAAGAGATTATCTGTGGACTCTGACAGCATGCGTACCGATCAAGACAGAAGACGGGATAGTAACAGGAATCTTCGGCTGCAACACTGATATATCTGGCCAGAAAGAAGCCACGCGTATAGCCTTACTGCGTGTGGAGGCTGAGAGACGTCTTGCAAGCTTCACCCAAACGGCGCCAGTCGGATTCTACCAATGCGACTCAGATTTGAAGATTCAATACTGCAACGATCAATGGTTCAACATTGTCGGTCATCCGATAACTGATATCAGCGCTATTGACTGGACCTCCCGGATTTATCAAGACGACCTGGAAGCAGTAACTATTGATTCGCATATAGTAATGCAAGTCAACAAGCTTCACACATTCTCTTTCCGAGTCAAGAAATTATGGACTGGGCCGGATGACTTATCAACACCGACTTGGGTTTTAGCAACAGCTACCGCGCATCGGGATAAGGATGGCCAGGTAGTCTCGGTCATGGGGACTCTTACAGATGTGAGTCAACTAAAGTGGGCGGAAGCCATACAGAGAAGCAGAGTGGAGGAAGCCCTGGAATCCAAGAGACAACAGGAGAACTTCATTGATATGACGAGCCATGAGATGCGTATGTATACTATAATTCAGTTCCCAGCAAGCCAAGGCAGATCGTGCGTACTGATGGTCCTCAGGTAATCCTCTCAGCGCTATGGTGCAGTGTGCAGACTCAATATCATCCGCCTTGGCTGAGATGGAAGCTGCAATAAACGACAACGCTCTCACAACACAGCCTTCGCTCCAAACAAAAATTAAAGACCTGGTCGGAACCAGCATAGACGCTATCGACACAATTCAGGCCTGTGCGACGCATCAGAAGCGTATCGTCGATGACATCCTCACGCTTTCGAAACTGGACTCAAAACTCCTCGTGATCAGCCCAATTACAGTACAGCCGGACGCGCTCCTCCAGGATTCATACAAGATGTTCAAAGAGGAAGCAAATAAAGCACGCGTGAGCTTACGCGTTCACTCTGATGCTTCGTTGAAGGACCTTCAAATCGACTACGCCATACTAGATCCTTCTCGCGTACTTCAAGTCCTCATCAATCTGCTGACAAACGCCATAAAATTCACTCGCACTCAGCCCGTTCGAAAAGTGGGGGTTATCATGAGTGCTACCCGAGAGCCCGCTGGGAGATCAGGGATTGAATATGTACCCCAGAAAGCATTGAGCCAGGACTTCCTGGATGAACAGGAGTGGGGAAGTGGAGAGGTTTTCTACCTGCATTTCACTGTTACCGACACCGGCTGTGGTCTTACCACGGAGCAAAAAAACAAACTCTTTCTACGCTTTTCACAAGCGTCCCCAAAGACACATGTTCAGGTATGCTCAGCTCCTCTAACGTACGTCCCTTTTTTACTGACCTTCACTAGTATGGAGGATCCGGTCTTGGTCTATTCATCTCACGGGAACTCACAGAGATGCAAGGTGGTGGTATCGGCGTACAGTCGACGCAAGGTGTAGGATCCATCTTCTCGTTTTATGTCAAAAGTCGAAGCGCTGCACCTGGACGGAGGAATTCGACCACCTTCAACCTGCCTTCACGGGCAAAATCGCATATCATCCAGGACAAACAGCCCATGTTACTGGAAACCGCCACTCCACCTCTACCTTCTCCGAAGTATCATATCCTTGTTGTCGAAGATAACCTCATTAACCAGCGCGTACTTTGCAATCAGCTCAAGAAGATCGGATGCACCGTTCAAGTCGCCAACCACGGTCGTGAAGCACTTGCTGAACTAGCCAAAACGAAATACTGGAAGCAACCCGCTATCTCGGAGCCGCACGATCTCTCTGTTGTGCTGATGGATGTTGAGATGCCGGTGATGGACGGCATGACCTGTGCACGGAAGATCAGGTCTTTGCAAGAGAGTGGCGATATCACCGGACATGTACCGATCATTGCAGTTAGTGCCAATGCGCGCAGAGAACAGATTGAGCAGGCGAAAGGGGCAGGTATGGACGACGCCATATCGAAACCGTTCCGCATTCCTGAGCTCTTGAACGTTATTGACACACTGCTTAGTGGTAATGCAGGCGGTGGCAATGTGCGAAGAGGATAGGGCCGGCATATTGTGGAGTAACACAGAGATAACGTTTTATAACTATCTAACGCAGCGAACAGCCACTGTTCCACTCTTTAGTCACTCCTTCCTCTTTAAATTTGATATGGTGGAGATACGAGGGTATTGTAATCCCTTTAACGCTCTGTTTGCCTTTCTTTCACTTTCACCGTCGTGATGTCACAACCGGAGGTTCAAGCTCTGTGCAACATCCCATTCACCATAACTTTCTCGGCTATTCCTATTACTAGCGGCTGAGCTGCACTCATTAGCGCAGCCTGCTTCTTTCCGTCCGGCGCTCACATTGTACAACTCATTTTAAGAATACACAGCGTAGATTCCCGCGCTCCCAACACCACAACCAGCTATAATCTTGGACTCCATCTCCTATCCTTTCGCGCCTCGATAAGATATCCTCAATCACCTCATGAAGGCTATCCCGAATTTGTACTCCAATCATGGCGTCAACTCGCCCTCAGCATATACCAGCCAGGACGATACGGACCAGACTGGATTATCTGGTAGCAACCCAGCCTCAAACTCTGCGGCCACCTCTCAACGTGCCGATAATGGTATCTTGGAGGAGATGCTCCGTAAGAAGGTAGATCAAATGAGCCTCAAGCACGCTTCATGACGACTGACGCCACTCCAGACTGCAACAAAAATGACACTGCCCTCACACGAAAACGAGGCCGACGACTGGGAGACCCGGGCGATGAAGGGTATTCGGAAGAAGAACTTGAGCCTGAGCCTCAACTGGGGCGAGAAGACTTGGATCAACAAGTCGAACTGTCTTGAGCGCCTGAAGCTACTCAGGGACGATGGCGTGGACATCTCTCCCCTGCACAGGCAAGATGGGAAGCAGCCAGACAGTGTGGCAATCACGAAAGCGGTCATCGCGCAGGTGAATGTAAGGAAAAATGGTGCAGAAATACGGGATGGTGCACAATCGGCACTTGGTACATGTGCGGCTAGCCCGCGACAGGATGAGGATGTGAGAGAGGCGGCGGCAGCAGTAGTCAGCCCTGTGCAGCGCAATTTATCCACACCGTCATCGCGGAAACGCAGTAGAGAAGGACCTTCCGGGCTCATATTCCCCTCGTCACCACTATACTCAACCGAAAACGGGTCTGCACGCAAGCGCCTCTGCATCGACGACATCCGTGAAGAACAACAAATCTTGATGGCGCCACTGGCAGAAGAGCTCTACTCTACCTGGGCAAATCACAAACAGAAGGTCCTCACCGAAATTTTCACCACATTCCCTGAAGGCTCGAAAAACACCTGTCGCATCTCCATCGCATTCCCGTCACAGACCGCGGAGGTTGCTGTCCCTGGCAATCTTGAGCTCACCTCCAGCGGCTACGACAACATCATGCTCGAGCTCCGCACCCTTGCTGACAGCACCGAGGAGGACGGCACCCTCAGCATCCGCAACGGCAGCATCCGCGTCTTCGCCAACGTCCCGCTCCGTACCATCATCGAAGGCCAGCACCGTCATGTGACCAGCTTGCTTAAGCGCCTGACCACACCCGGCAAAGGCCTTACTCACATGGCTATCCGAGACTACGATGACAACGGATCCAGGCGTATCGAGGGTGACGTGTACGAATTGAGTGTTCAGACGCAGGGGCAGATCAATGGTATCTTGGAGTTGCTGGAGGCTCGGTGCGACACTTTGGAGACAGAGGTTCAGGTGCGGTGGGTCAATATTGGAAAGAAGGGATATTGGCCGAAGAAGATGTATGATTAGGTGCCTCTGGTTATTGACGAGGAACTAGGGTTCGTTGGCGGTTGCTATGCAGTGGAACTCTGTAGTTCAAGGCGGAGATGGAGATGGAGATGAGACATGATGATACATCCAGAGGAGAGTTCATTATGAAGACGGCATGCATCATCCATAGCATACAAGGAACTCGTAGCATCCATCTATACATCTGCAATAGAACAAAGCATACAGTCGTGAGTGATCCATTCACAATGTACGGCCGTTTGTCGAGGCCTAGAGTGAAAATAATGCGCTCATAACAGTTCCCTAGCAACTAAAGAGCAACACAAGAGTCCCCTTCTCCCATAAAACCTCTGATATCTACTAAATCTTGCAAACAACAACAAAAACACATCAACCGACCTTTACTCAGCTATGGCTCGCAAAATCTCCAATGGCTTCACTAGCCACCCTGCCAGCACCCTCCGCACCTGGCCCACGCACGGCCCTGGCCTAACCGCAAACCTCGATCCCACTCTCCGCGCGAATCTGAAGGACAACGGACTCACACAATTTCCACTCGGTCCCCCTAACCACACCCCCGAAGTCTATATCAGCAGCCCCGAGTTCAAATCCCGCGAAGCCGAAAATGAGTACCTACGTCTCCTCAAGGACAAACTCACTCTCGCCCGGCAGTTCGTGTTGATCGAGATCGAGCACAACTCCAACACCAACCGAAACATGACTCATGACAAGACCGCGATGTTGCTAGCCGAGGGTCCGATCGTATTCACTCTCTACGCCCAAGAATGCATCCGCGACCTCGTCATCCTGCGCTCAAAACTCGTCGAATGCTGGGACGCAGGTCAAACTCAATATCAGCGCATTCACGAGTTGGAGCAGAACGAGGCTGGGGACAACGCAGCTGATCTGGGCAAGAAGCTTAAAGAAGTGACCAAGGCGCAGGGCATTACAGAGGGAAGGGCTCAGCTAGTGGGAAACGATCATATTTGGGCGTGGAATGAGTTGGGATCTATCCTGGGGTACTTGTTGCCTGTCGGTCCGGAGGATCACAAGAAGCGCTATGCGGAGTGGCTTATGGAGCGAGTGTTTGGGAATAATCTGGTGGAGGAGGATTTGGGTGAGGAGGAGGGAGAGGAGATGGTGGATGGGTAGATGACCACATAGGTATGGGGGAGATGCTGGAGGAAAAAGTAACGTTGGCGCGGCTTGATGATTGATAAGCCAAGTATTAAGACGTAACGAATGCGATCAAAGAATGATAACTTAAGCTAGTTCCACTGCGCCACGTGAGTTTTGTGGGGAGCAATCGCAGTGCACTCTCCCCGACTACAAGTGATTCATAACGTCCACCTCCTCTGACTACAATTTCTCCGGTTGAAACTACAACGTAACCATCCATACCTACACGAAAGACAAATTTTATGCCCGCGTTCACAAGGAACTCCCAGTAAGATACGCGTCGGTCCCGCGAGCCAACACCGTCACCTTCATATAGCAATATATTATCCTCCACACCAAGGCCCCCGGTACTGCATTGCATGTTGGAACCATCCTGGACAGGAAGGGCTCGGAACTTCAAGTTTCAGTTCTTGCTCTCATCATCTTCCATAAGGGAGTCGTGTTCTTCAAAGGCGATGGCGCGCATCTTTCAAGCACGGCATTATTAAGCACGTTCGCCTCGGAGAGCCGATGAGGCATCTTGTCGGCCGCGATGGGCGCATATTTGTCTTGCGCTCACATTTCTGGGCTTGGTTCATGGAGAAGGGCGCATTGGACTAATTCAAGGAAAGCAAAATGGTCGCGTTCAAGAGCTTCGCATCTGGTTGCAAGAGACTCGCTGGTGTGCGAAAACGTGAGACTATGGTTGCCGACACGCAGCCGTCTCCAGGTATAGTGGTCAACGAAGCAATTACTATGAGGCCAGCTGCTGGACTGAAGCGTAGATATGATGACCAGGGGGAGCAAGGTACGAGACTGATTACATCTTCAGCAAGCATACACTGACTCTATAAAAAAAGAGGAGACAGGAACCGAAATGGATATGCAGGATTGCACCAGGTTGTGGGAGACCTAGAGCACCTCAAACTGGTCGAACAGGAAATGTCTGAGTGAGCTTGATCCGAGATGGTCTTAACTGTGGGTGCTCAACTCAGCTTTGTGACTCAAAACATCGACGGCGTGCGATATTTGCCCGAGTGCTTCGGTATTGCGCGGTTTCACCTCAACTCAATCCGGCGTGAAGGAGACTTGGACTACGCGCGGATTGAGACAGGTATAGTTATTGTATTCACAGCACAATAAAACTAGATCATCTTCTTTATTATGAAGAGCCACTCTCCCCCCTTCATGAGCTTCGCAAACCTGCAACTTTCCTCAATCTACTACAATCACAGCTTCGCACTACAACATTACCACCTACCTCAGCACCACCACAAGCCATCACAAATGGCACCACTCAACTACACTCGCCTCAAAGTAGGCCTGTCGCGTGTTTTATTCGACACCTCAAATACTCTCCCGTACCGCACGCGCGCCCACAAACGCCTCGAAATCCAGCACATCGTCAACGAGGCCCGCGACCTGATCAACGTCGGCCACTATTCTCCCGGACAAATCAAGCACAAGGTGCGCCGCGCCATCGACAATGTCTTGAAGGATGTTGAGCCACCATCTTCGCAGATTGCACCCATGAAGCGCATCACCAATAAGTCCGTTGTGCGTCACGCTGGTGTTAAGAAGCGATCATCTACGCGCAGAGAACATACGTGTGCCGAAATTGCATGCGCCAAGGCTCTCTTAGAGCTCGCCGAAAAGTCTGTGGTCTTCGCTGAGGCTTGATTGGAAGTTACGTTGCCGGCTGGCCCGATGTTCGATGATGTAGCGGAGGTGTGCAGACTGGGATAGGGCGTATTCTTTTTGCGAAGTCTGGGAGATTTTCGGTGGCGCCTGTCTGGCTTCTTTTGCTGGGATCCTATATGATGGACATGTTTTACTTGTCGTCGGCTGGCTGGTCTGGCTATAGATTATGGTAGGAAAGAGATCAGGCTATTTGTTTGAGCTGTATTCAATTGTTCGCGAATAAGACACATTCCACCTCCACCTAGGTTTTCTCGATTGATAATTGACGTACCCAAGAATGCGGTTCGGCACTCGTCAATGGATGGACGTGCAATATGGATGAAGTAGACAAGAGAACATCCCTGAAGCCCCACATACTTCCATCCTATAATGGCAACGACCGTCCCACTGTCGTGATGGAGAGAACCCAACTCTAGCTGAATTACCTCACAGACAGAAGCTAAAATGATTTTGGCCATACTCGCCTTCCTAAGTTTGGGTGTCCGAGTCTCAGGAACGTGCAATCGCACGGTGCTTCAGAACGCTGTCACCACCTACCTTGCAGCACAAGCTGTTGGACAACCAGGTCTGCTACCTCGAACCACGAATGCCACATACGCAGAGAATGAAGTTGTAACCGACATCACGAGAGGCATCCTCGGTCAAGCGATCATCATTGACCTTAGCCGCAGCCTTCTCGACACAACGGAGTGCTCAACCTTCACCGAGATCTCAGCTGCCACAAGCAGTCATCCCTACGTGATTGATACGCGAATGCTCGTGAGCGGCGACAAGATAACTGCGATTCAATCCGTCATAGCAGACGCCGGCGACTGGGTCTTCAATGCGACAGGACATCTCTACTGGTCTAAGAAAGAGTCCTGGAACCTTATTCCAGAAGCAAAGCGTGATAGTCGCACCACCATCAGAGCTGCAGCCGACGCATACCTTGATAGTTGGGCAGATGGAAAAGTCAAAGCCCCATACGGCGCGCCATGCGCTCGTCTCGAAGGTGGGTCGTACACGGACACCAAGAATACCTCAACGAACACATGCTTCATGCCTGAGTTCCCGAAGCCTTTCGCTGGTGCTGGCAACCGTCGCTATGTCATCGATGAGGAGATGGGTGCAGTTGGGATCTTCAATAACTTTCCTTTCATCGACATGACGAGGCCGGATGGCACGCCCAGTACCAATATGATCAGAGTTGAAGGAGGGAAGATCCGGTATATCCATGAGACGACAGTTTGTGCGACGAAGAATTGTGGGCGCTGAAGGATGTTCTTGAAGACGAACGATTTGCCAGAGTCATGAACTTCCGTACACAAGGTCTTGCAATTGCCACACGAGCCTGACTAAGATACCTGCACTCTCACATACAGATTGAATAGAAGGTCCAAACTTTTTTGTGCAATGTCCAATGATTGTAGCGGCACAACTTATTCGGCGAGGGCTCGGATGGGTGCTCCACAAGACGAATGATTAGGCCAACGAGGCGAGGATCGTGGCTGACGCACATGAGCAGCATCGTCTTGTTGGATGCGATGTTGCCGTGCGCACTAAAGAGTGGTGATGGGAAACGGGACAATCGGCGGTGATTTGCAACGTTTATCTAAGGGGCGTGCGGTTGTTTTTCGGCAAGATGAGGATCGCTCACGCCCCACTATGGAACCCTGTCCTGGTACATTCGCACTGATACACAACATTTACGCTCACGTTGTAATTGGCCTGCATCGTGTATTTAATGCAACCTGAGAGGCATTTGGCCTAACATGTCCTTCCAGCCCTACCCGCGTGGAGCGGCAAAAACGGTGGCTTTCCTCGGGCCGATCTATTGGTCGACATTATGCGCTAGGTCAATCACATCCTAGCATCCTCCGCCAACATCGGTCCGAACGCTCAATCTGTCTTCGAAGCTTTCCGGAAAACCGTTATCCTTAAAATAGGAGGCTCTGTGCATACGAGCTCCTGTCATTTTATAGTTTAGTACAACGTCATGTACTCGCCTTTCGCTGTTGTCCGTCGCTAGCATGCAGGTATTATAAAGGTTCTGTCCACCGGCGTCATCTTTCATTTCCCAGTCCATCCAGTTCATTTTCATCCCAAGAATTCACCAACCATGGTTGCCAAGATTACCGGGCTTCTGGCAGTCACTGCTACAGCCGCGTCAGCGGCTGTGCTCGACTTACCAGTCGCAATCAAGAATTCATACCCCAGCGTCAGGGTTGACATCGGAACGCCGCCCAAGGAACACCGATTATTGTTCGACACCGGCTCGTCGACTATTTTCATCGTCAACACGGATTGCACCGACAATTCTTGTCCAGATCATAGTGCAGCATACTATACCCGACAGAAGTACAATGCATCAGCCTCTTCAACAGCCAAAGACCTTGGTTCTTCGGCGAACATTCCTTACTTGGGCGGCAAGGTTGCTGGAGACATCTACCAGGACGTCTATAGCCTCCTAGACGGTACATTGGAATGGAATCAGACCTTTCTCTCTGCAAATGAGAGCAGCTGGGGTCAGATCACTGCTGATGGCTTCCTTGGCCTTGGCTTCTCCTCCATCGCAGAGCCGAACACGTCCACGCTGGTTGAGACGCTACTATGGGAGAACAAGCTAGATGCGCCACGTTTTGGCCTGTTCTACGGCACGAACTTGGAGTCCGAGGGCGCGCAAGACGGTGTATTGACGATCGGCGGCAGCAAAGAAGACATTTACGTGGAAGGCGAGACAATCTTCACCCCCTTGCACAAGGAAGACCCGTACCAGTTGTGGCGTGCGCCACTACGGAGCGTCAACATCCTCGTTGCACAGAACGCCTCCGACCCAAATGCCACGGTTGAGGTCCATCACGGCAAGATGCCCACAACGTCAATAGCTCCTGGGACCTACCTACGTACCAACGTAACGTGGAACATGTTCTCCTCCGGAAGAGCTGTATTCGATACTGGGGCTGGAACTCTCGCGGTTCCCGAGGAAACCGTCTCAGCCATGTACTACAATTTGGGATGGAACATCACCAAACTCTACAACCACGAGGAGGTCATGGAGTGCAAGCATTCGAACGCTTCATGGGCCGTGACTTTGACCCTTGGTGATGGTGACCCAAAAGATGATGTGTCCTTCACCATTCGCGGTGATGAGTTCTTCAGGCCAGGTCAGAGGTGCATGCCTCCATTAGATGGCAGTGGTACATCGAATTTTGCGTTAGTAGGTGCCTCGTTCTTGAATAGGTACTACTCAGTGTATGACTTTGGCGCCAGCAAGGTCGCGGACTATAAGCCAAGGATCGGCTTTGGGAGGTTGAAGAAGCAGTATGATTACATGTATCAGTAGGCGTGCCCGAAGCGATGAAGCTTTCTCGTCGCGCATATCATGGGAATTTATACCCACTAGGTATGGAGCTATCATAGTAATCCATGTACCGAAATCTTGTCATGACTACCCTTGTATCGCAGATTTAATGATGGCTGGACACATTTCCCCAATGAGTGTAAATGATATGTGTTGATAGTACGTTTCCAAGTTGAATTCTGCAGTAAGTAGCCATTTATCAGGCATCAGTCAAAAGGCCAATGACGCTGGTATTAAGGTAATGATTCGCAAGAAAGCATGAAGGAATGGTAAGCTTCTGTGCCCAACTCACAAGCAGGAACATCTCAAGATCAGAACGGACAAGGAGTGACACGTGGATTAAGGATTGAAAAGAGCTGGGACAATCTTCAAGCGACACAATGTATTGTAGTGGTCTTTTATAACAGCCTATATCCCTGGGATGACCGCTGGGTGCGAATATCATCTTGGTGTCCCGACAACCTCCTAGCATTGTTCTTCGACTGCCAATATATCCCACCCCGAAGAATTGTGCCAATGTCTTGATGCTCCAACGTCTTCATACTTGAAACTCTTCATGCTCCAAATTCTTGATAATCTAACGTCTTGAGGTTCAACTTCTTCATGCTCCAGCTTCTTGACCACTTCTAACCACTTTCCATCTCTCGATACCGTTCGGTCGGGTTCGTTCGCGTTCGGTAGTGTCGATTCGATCCAGAAGCAAAGGGAAAGCACAAAACACCGAGCTTGAGCACACAGGCATAACCTTGAATTGCACTCACCTGGGCGGCGATCCCTGAGAACAGGGCGGCCGCAGCCGACAAGTAGCCAATGGCTTTCATGTTGTCGGAACGCGTCGATAACGATCACTAGAACGATGGGGGTGTAACGGAGAGAGAGTGTGGGTAAGCAAGAGTGACAAAAAATAACAAAAAATAACAAACAGGGATGGGGAACGTCTTTGGGGGGCAGCGAAAGGGGTGAACCAGCGTGGGTAAATTCAACAATCGGGTAGCGAAGGTCAGCTTTGGGGGTAAACAACAGTTCGGAGAGTGGTGGAAAGCAAAATTTTCGACAGGCGCGTTGCGGTATATGAATGGATTGGACGGGCATTCCTGTGCCAAGATGGGCAGTTGCTCGATGGGGAGTGAGCAAGGAGATGCGAGATTATGTTACGTGCAGCCACTACGACAAGCCCATGGAATCATCCAGACGGCTGTTTATGCCAATCGAGTGCCCGTTCCGGAGTCTGATCTTCATGTTAAAAACAAGTCGCCAGTGCGCTGGGCATGAGGCGTCTTCACACGGTAGCCGCGCCTTCACACTTCAAGTATCCGCGCTTGGTGTTTACCATCCGCTATTGAAACCGCTGTTTTTACACATTCTTGGATGGAGATGGACAATATATGTGTCCTTGCAAGGGCGATTAAATCACCGACTGACGTACCCCCACGGGCATGATTTGCGGCTTTGATGGTCACGACTGGCTGAGTTGAATAGTTGAATATCGCTAGAATACGTGCAAACATCAGGTGAAATGAAAGGCCACGTTGGTTTTGGCGGAAACTACAGCAGAAACTGAGATACGAGGAATTATGTTGTGGAAGTCAGAAGCTCACCCGTCTGGCCCAATTCGCGATGACGTCGCTTAGTCATCCGCCATCGCATCTTCAGCTTTTATGCATCGCGAACCCCAAACATCAACGACCTCCCCCACAGCAGCCACCATGCCCGTCACATTTCTCCGCCGCCTGCTACGGCCCTCCGCCCTCCCAAAATCGCCCTTCTTACCCCTCCGCTCCACGCAACCCTCAATCGCCGCCACCGGCCTATACGAACACCTCGCACTCGGGCCCACTCCCCGCGTCGCGCGCGCCCAAATGCACATTAATACAAGTCCTGCGACAAGGCCGGATATCGCAAGGCGCGCGAAAACTGCGGTCGCCGCAATTGAAGAACAGGCCGGAGCTCAAGGGCGTGTGTTTGAAGGTCGGCACGACGAAGCCCAAGAAGCCCTAATTCGGGCGAGAGGAAGATTGCGAGGGTGAGGTTGAGTACGGGGAAGGTTATTACTGCGTATATCCCGGGTGAAGGTATGGTTTACAATTGGTGAGGAGGGGGTGAGGACGGGGCTGATTGGGATTGCAGGTCATAATGTGCAGCAGCATTCGGTCGTTATGGTGAGGGGTGGACGCGCGCAGGATTGTCCGGGTGTGAAGTACCATTTGGTACGGGGAGCGCTGGATTTGGTATATTTTGCATGTCCACGCACGGAATGATGAGATACTAACGAGGTGCAGGGAGGTGTCGGTAACCGCATCACTTCGAGATCGAAGTACGGCACGAAGAAGCCTAAGACGGCCGCATAAGGGATTATCACATGTGGGAATAGATGTGTACGAATATTATCGGCATAAATGGGCGTTTGAATTTCTGGTATGATCATCGATCAATACATGAAAAGATGTACCGATCGCATCAAGTTACTCGATGATTGATTCGACCGCCGGAGTTGCTGTGGAAAAGAGTCATAACTATCTTCAGATTTGTTCGTCAGATTTCCCTGCAGACGTGTGGACAATGATATAGGGTAGCTCTAGTTCGTCCCACGTCTGAGACGTGTGCTGAATTAGTCTCACATACAAATCTTAGGACACTACGAGCTGAAAGATACGTATTGATAATGCGATGGTAACGTACGTGAGTGATATCGTGAGAATATAAAGGCTGGTCTATCTGATGAGCATTCCTTCAATTACTACGTACGACTGGACAAGCTATACGAATGGTAGGATGATGTGGCTTGCATATTCACCTCCAATATGCACTTGATGCGTTCCTCTGTTCCTGTCCTCAATCTCCATTTTCTTCGTTCCAAATTCCATTACAAGCGGGTATTCGCCCGAAACTTGGACGCTCAAAGACTCACCAGCTTCGAAATCGATGCCCATTGCCCAGAGTCCGATTTCGAGTTTCACGATTTCTCCTGGTGTGATTTTTTCCAGCTCGTCGTGAGGATGGAATGGGTATTGAGGATGGATGGACTTCGAAGCGTCTATCTTGCGATGCGATGCGCGGAGTACGCCTGTCGGGCCATAGTAAATCATGAGGTTGCTATAGTCAGACTCGGGGATGTCGGCTGCCATTTTGTATGGGGCAGCTGACCACGGAATGTTGATGCTTATCATCGGGTTGCCTTGAGCGTCGAGTTTACGAATCAGTACGTAGACTACCATGTCGTCAAAGTCTTTACACGACATGTACAGCACCGCTTTAGGCAGACCCATTAGCCTAGTAGCCTTGTCAAAGCGCAGATTGAACTTCGCGTGCGCCACCGGTTGTGTCCCGCTAACGGCGTTGTATGACACGGTGCTAGTGCTATCTGGTACCGACAATTGTAGATTGTCCTGTGCGCCGAGATAGAGCGTACGGTATTCTGTCCGTGGAAGGGGAAAGTCTTCTTCGATGATAGGGTAGATGGCTTCTTTATCACTAAACTTGAGTATAAATATGTAACGTCGGAGATAGGATCAAATGTAAACATACCCGTAAGTCAGCGAAGCCATACGTACTCGTGGCGTCTTCTCCCAATCATTGTTCTCATTCTTAAGATATCGATCGAAGAAAGAAGCGAGCTCGTCGATGGATTCTTGTACGACCCACAAATCGTACCATTCCTGATATGGGTCTTAATTTGGTGCCCCAAAGTCAGTTCGTGTTGCACGTGCTTGTCCTGATCACATACCCCAGCGTAGCCACTTCTCTTTCGAGCTGAGTTGCATCCAGCCTCGTACTGAGCCCATGGTATGTACCTTCACATGCACGTCAGTATGTGCAGATACTTGCATTATAGTTCCATAACTTACAAAGCTAGAGTATGAAGCGACTACGTAGGTCGGTATACTGATGCTCTCAATGTCTGCTCTGAAGATATATGTTAGCCTGGTGGCTACATCAACGACGTGAAGCCACATACCGCTTGTCTGCCCAGTATGGATTCATCAACTTAGATCGATGATACATCTCTTTGAAATCCTCTAAACCATTCCGTCCTCGAATCACATGTTGAGTGATGAAGTCAAATAGACCGTTGTCCCAGGCGCCCCCACGCACGAACTGTTCGCGGTATAAGTCACCACAGGCTTCCCAGGGAGCAATGGCTTTCAGAGAAGGTGGTTTCTCCGCAGCAATAAACCACTGGACGATTCCTTTATGACATTAGTTCATGTAGCTCACCAAAATTGATGGATTGCTTTGCTTACCAAGATGTGAGTTCCCAGCTAGACCAACGGAGCCATTGCACCTGTTTATGGTAAGCGGTATTCTAAGTCTTTCAGCACATAACAGACCAGTCCATCTTAGCAAGTGCCTCAATCACATCGTGGCCGTCTTCTCCCTCCTGTTTGCCCATGATCACTATATCGCCTTGAGAATCTCCGGCGCCTGTCTGAGTCAGCGACCTCTCTCGTGCAATTTACATATAGTGGAAATACCTCTAGCATCAACGTTAACCACTGCGAAGCCGCGTGGGCAAAATTCCGCAGGATCCGGACCTTCGAATCGTTCGAGACCACTAAGACAGCCCTTGGGTACACCGCAGCCCCATTTAACATTGTTCATCATAGAAACGCCGTTAAACTTCTTCCCAAACGGGCTCCATGCCACTATTGCTGGCACTTTCACGTCGCCGTTGCCATCACTGGGTCGATAGATGTCGCAATACAATTTACAGCCATCTCGTACTGTGACTGCAACATCATGTTCGACGACCATCTCCTCCGAAAGTGCTCGGGCATCATCACCGCTTTGCCAGCCTTTCGGCAAGACTTCTTTGCGTGGTCGAAGGCCTTGGTAACCATTCTCGCCCTCTACAGGTGGCTTCACCTGTAGGTTGGCAACTTGAAATGCTAGCGGCATGTTGATAAGATTTGGGATCCCGGAGCGTGGTGTCTAGCAGTGAAGGTGTTAGGATCAATGGATCAGGTACATGTAGGCCTCTGGACACACTGCCACAAGACACATTTTGAATGATATATCTGCCATTGCCGGCCTTCGGTTCCCCCTTGCCATCTCAACCGTACTCATGCGATGGCGATGTTGAACTATGGCATCAAAGTCTAGGTCCCGAAGTTCGGTATGTGGAGGATCTGGGATGTGCAATCTCCTAGGACCGAGCTGCGTCCTTGTCAACCGAGAACGAATCAGAAAGCGCAGAGCAAGGTTTCTTGCGCCTCCGATTAACTGTTTCGAGCCGCGTAAGAGCCACTTATCGCCTAGTTGTCGAAGTCGAATGGATAGTTGTGGCTCTGAAACTCGTTCGGATGCAGGGCTCACCAAGGTACTAGATCTTACGCTAAACATATTTGGAGAAAAGCAGAGGTTAGTCACTCGAGGACGCCGCACCTTCCCAGGCACGCCAGGCTCTAGACCGATCACAAACCCCCGCCCCCTACCGTGTAGATGCATATGTGGAGTCGCAGATCGCCAAACTCGCCCGTACACGACCGTGAGCTAGCTGGAAAGGTGACCATCTTTGATGGTGGCCAAAATGAGTAAAGATCGCCCGTCATCCTAAGGTTCATACCATAAAGATGAAGGAACGCATGAGAGAAGCCCATAAGCAACCTTAGTGAACAGTATCTTTCTCCATCGTTGCAGACTTCATTCCAAAATGGCGCCATACATCAATGACACCGTGGAGCAGACTTATGGCGACTGGCGCGATGAGTTCTATGAGAAGGGCTACATTGTGTTGAAAGGTGCGGTACCACAGGAAAACGCGCTCAATTATCGTAACAAGATGATGAGCTGGCTCGAATCGTTCGATAACGATTTCGATATCAAAAAGCCAGAAACGTGGACGAAGGAGAACCTACCTCAAAGTTTCAAGAATGGGATGTATCTGAACTACTGTGCTGCTCATGAGAAGTACGTTTGGGAAGCAAGGCAGTAAGTAGTGTCTCTTGATATCTTCACTTGACAAGCTGCTGATGATTGTACGACCAGAGAACCAGGCGTCCTGTCTGCCTTCGAGAAGCTATGGGGTACCAACGAGCTTCTCGTTTCTTTCGATACCATCAATTTGACTCTGCCAAATGCTGGTAGTATGGGAGGCTCAAAACCATGGCCTCATGTAGATCAAGCTCCAGAGAGAAAGGGTCTGAGTTGTGTGCAAGGCATCATCAACCGTAGGCCGCCCTCTCCAAGACTGAGACAATGTTGCTGACTTGAACGGTAGTATCCGAAGCCGGACCTGATGATGGCGGTCTCGTGGTCATGGAAGGCAGCGCGAAGCTTTTCGACAAATTTTTCCAAGAGCATCCTCCGGACCGGACAAAAGGGCCATTGGCTGCGCTTCATTACGATTTCTATCCCTTCCAGCCCTCCGATGTGAAGTGGTATGAGCAGCAAGGATGCAAATTGGTGAAGGTGTGCGCAGAGCCAGGCGACCTGATACTCTGGGACTCGAGGCAAATGCATTACGCAGTTTATCCAACCACTGACACAATCCGAACGATCATCTACGCGTGTTACACTCCTGCAAATTTGGCTTCCCCCGAAGATTTGCAAAAGAAGAAAGAGATTTTTGAATCTGTGAGTATTTCTCTTAATCTTGGTCCATGAAAACTGGCACTAATACTGTCTCCAAAGTGGTGCGGCACAACTCACTGGCCCCATATAAATATACATTCGCAGGGAAAAGCTATGATTGACGGAAAAGTCGATCCCATGGAACGGACAGAGCCGTTGGAGAAGCCTGAGATGACCGATAAATTGCTCAAACTAGCCGGTGTCAAGGCATATTGATTGGTACAGTGCGATGTCAAAGCGTAAACGTTGGTAAAGAGCTTCGGCTACTTATACGGTAGAGCATTGGAGGTACCCGGTTTACATCAACTCAGGTATCGAAGGTTGATGCTGTGAATAGTAGCAATCATCAGAATTCTTGAAAAGATCAAGAGTCACTGAAGGCATCCAGGCCGTGGTATCTCATTTTCTGGCTATTCTCGCGGACGTATGACGTCTTAGACTCCAAGCATAAATGTATCCCATTCATTCATTTCACCATCCAACATGTCCCCAAATGAAGCTTGATATTGCCCAAAGTTACTTTCGTTCTCAAGGAGGCTCATATAAGCAGCCACAGGATCCGGAAACGACGACTGGAGGTTCTCTAAGCTTACATCCTGATTTGAAGAGCTGAGTTCTTTGATAAGATCGTGCACAGTACACGGCGTTCGAGGTACTGCTGGTGGGTCCTGACTGACAAGCAATAGTAGATGTTCAATCATGGTGCAGCCTTTTGCCGCATGCATAGCGACTTCGGAATGTGTCTTCAGTTCCGCGGCAGCATGGCTTAGTAGCTCGATTGTTTGTGCTCTGACATTATCTCTATAGTCATGGGGACTCGCAAGCATGTCAAGTGAGATGTACACGGCAGCTGCTACAACTGCAGCAGACACCGTCCAGACTAACCTATATGGTCTAGGCACCGGAAGGCTGTAGTTGTGCAGTATTCGATTGGCGCAGGCGACCGCGAGCTTTCGGGGCCGTTCGGGGTCATCCTCAGTGTCTCTAGAAACTAGTACACGAGCAATACCCAGTTCTAGAAAGTCTAGGACAATCGTCAAGAGGTAGCGTTGAAATGTTACCCATTCGTGCTGCTGTTCCCACTCTCTGTCGTCGTCATTCGCAGGGAAGTGCTGAGACAGGTGTAATGGCAGATTTCGGCGAACGTTTTGAATTTCCTCAATTGCTTTTAGCAGTTTCGGAGGTGTCTGATGCGTGTTTGCCTTGATGTAGACATAGAAAATGTACGCGAGTCGAGACATGATTGAGTGATAGTGCGCTGGCGATGGGGTGGTGGAACCGCTACTCCCAGAGAAAGAATCATCTGGAGTGGAACGGGTGCTTGGTGTGATGTTATTACCAAGTCTGTTCTGTACAGAAAACTGGCAACAGAAGCTGGCGGGTGATATGGAAGGTGGTCGAGCCCAGCTGCCAAGCCTGAAAGGACGAGATTAGCAAAAAGAAGGGTAATCACCGACTTGAGGGAGTTCAATATGACATATCCAAGAGATTTGGTATCGGATCAGGGCATTATGAGATGAACTTACCAGTCCCGGATAACACAAGACCACCACAATCGTCGGCCAACCTCGCGCTCAGCTACAGTGGACCATTCCGCCCTTCGACGCATCTCAGCGGATACAGCTGCCTCGCTGCCCAGTTTGTGCATGTCGAGACATCGGGCCATGCTAGCAGCATAAGCAGTGAGGAGAAACTCTCTCATATGTTCTCCGAAGTTCGAATGGCACAGCGTCAGCACCGAAAGAGCCTGCACAACTGGCAAAGCAGGAGTTGATGATCGTTCGATCTCTTTCAGTGCAGCCTCATACCAAATACGAGAGGTATGGACTGCGACATTGGTTGTGGGATCCAGAGGTACGCAAAGTGAAGGCAAATCGACAATATCGGGACATTCTTCCGGGTCCAGATACAGAATACCAACTGCAAGTACTGCAAGGTACAAAGCCAGCCAAGGACGACGCTCACGACTAGGAGGGATACTAAATTGAGCGTCCTGCCAGAATTCGGCATGCTCCTTTAAGAACTTGTCCGAGTCCACAGCACAATGTAACCATCCAAGTGTCTGCAGGGAGAAGGTTACCAATCTGAGACTAGTGTCTTGCTCTGGAAGGAGCAAAGACATAGGATCCGTAGCGGGTTCATACAGCCTATCAGCGACGTCTCTCTCGGAGACAGCTTGTCTAGCAGAGCCGATCCTGAGCCCTACATCGAACTGCTCAAAAGCTGGGACCAGGTCTTCGAGTGATGCAGAAGGCTGATTGTTGTCTGTGCTGGCACTTGTGCGACTGTGTGCACAGGGCTTAGAGAGTGCCAAAGCGGTCTCGAGTTCCGCAATTTGAGCGTGCAGTGCGCCTCGCTGTCGTAGAAGCTCCTCAAGCTGGGATGTTTCGTCTGCAGCCTCGCCATCGGTACTTGCTTCAGCGTAGACCGTCAATTGCCCTCTGACACGTGCTATAGGTCGCCTGCATTCGTGAGCAGCATTACGCTTGATGCATGGTTGGCAGGGACTCTTTTTATCGCATTTGATTTTCCGCCGACCACACTCTACGCAAGATTTCGCGACACGTTGGCTTGTCTTGATACCCTGCTCCATTGGCGAATGTACTTGAAGAATTAGTAGCACGTCATAGAGTGCGAAAGAGGGCTCGAGGCTATACAGGCATGGCTATCGCTGCTGTACGGTCTGAGTGTGCGCTGCCGCCACTAGCTGACCTCGGAAGTGTTGAAACGCCCCCGTGATCTAGCTCGGACTACCCCACTAGCTCCCCACTCCTCCACAATCCGCTACTCTAAGTCGATTTATTGGGCTTCACGGGGGACCACGGGCGACCGACGCGATACTTCAACCCTCTTCGAAACTTGTTCATGTGCAATGGCGTCGACAAAATGGCGCACTGCTGGACCTGGGCACATACCTAGGTACAAAAGGGTCATGAGCTCAATGAAGATGTTAGGGCAATCCCAAGGACTCGAAGTCGAATATGGTTTCCACAGAGACGAAAGAAAACACAACGACTCACATTGACTATGTGGACGCGCATAAAAAGGCTGCGAAACCCGTGGTTGGAACTATAAAGCTTTACGATGAAGGGGGCATCGTACTCATTCCCACACCCACAAACGATCCGAATGGTTAGCCGCCCCAACCAAGAAAATGACTACATCTGACTGGAAGTACACAGATCCACTGAACTTGCCGATATGGCAGAAGTGGTTCATCTTGGTCATCGTCGGGCTTTACGCTGCAACTGGAAACCTTATGGTCTCCGGCATATCGGCTATCTTACCCATCGTTCAAGCTTCATACAACAACAATCCCAAAGCGCATGATTTGGCTACCTGGCCTGCATTTTACATGGGCGTTGGGAACCTGCTTGCTATTCCAGTAGCGCATGCGGTGGGTCGTCGACCAGTGTACCTCCTGTCCACCATCGTGCTATCGTTCGGCTGCCTTTGGTGCGCTTACAGCGGCAACCTGAATTCTCATATTGCAGGCCGGAATGTTATGAGCATAGCTGCTGGACAAGCAGAGGCCTTGTGTCCCATCATTGTCCAGGAAATCTTCTACCTGCACGAGAGAGGGTAAGTACCTAGGTGGTGGGCTATAACAATACTTTCATGTCAATTTTCTAACTTTTAACAGCGTAGTAGTAGCCTGGTTCTGCGCGTTACAGACCCTGGGAACGGCGGCTTTGATCGTTGCAAGCTCATACCTGGCCAATGGCTTGGGTTGGAGGTGGTGGTACGGTATCTTCGGATGCCTGAGTGGTGCGATCGCCGTGCTCAGCATTATATTTGTCGCGGAAACGAAGTATACTCGCACACTTGAAGCGCTAAGTAGGCCAATGTACCACGTTGCTTTTGGAACAATGCACTGACTTGACGCAGATGGCGAAGGTATCGAAGAAGAAGATGGTACACTTGTTCCGGTCACGACGAACACGATGCGAGAACTGGACACGGTCAATTATGCTCCTCGCAGTTTCCTCCGAGACATGCTGCCATGGAAAGGAAAAGCCGAATGGTATAAAGCAGTCGATTGTTGGGTACAGATGTTCCAGATTATCTGGTTCCCAAACATCATCTGGTTGGTCTTCATGTGAGTATCAATTCACCATTCACCTGCATACATATCCTAACATGCAACCTAAGCAATTCTGCTGCCCTTGGGATATACGTTCTCATGACGGCGCTTTTCGCAGGGCTGCTAGTACAACCTCCATTCTTGTGGTCTTTCGAAACTCTTGGCTACGTCTTTGCTGGACAGATTGCAACAGCGGTAGCCGTTCCGATCTTCAGTGGTTATCTGTCTGACTGGACAACAAAAGCCCTGAGCAAAAGGAACGGGGGCATTTCGCAGCCTGAATATCGCCTCATCGCGTTGATCATTCCGCTGGCTGCCATCCTCATCTCAACAATCATCTTTGGCAAGACAGCACAGACGCCGTCGAATTGGAGTTGGGCAGGAATTGCAGTCACCATCAACACAGAATATTTCGGCTTCGTGAGTATAGTCGTGTCGAGCTTCGTGTACTGCATGGACGCTTATCCTCAGCGCATTGACGCGGCTTTGGTGCTCATATGCTCCCTGCGCGGGTTCATTGGATTCGGCATCTCATTTGGATCCATCAGCTTTGTCGAAAAAGCAGGATACGAGGGCGCCCTCAACATCTGTGCGGGCATAGTGGCAGCGCTGATGGGCATGGGCGTGGTCGTGTATGTGTTCGGAGCGAAGATCCGAGCCATTACACAGAAGTGGGCTCAGGATGAGTGAATAACAAGAGACACTCGACTGGGGCGGCTGCTCTATCGGCCCTCGTTCAAACACCACCTTGGCATTCGGCAAGTCGCCATTGAAGCCCATGACTGACTGACCTGCCCTCTCTGAGCGACCCAGACCAACCATGGGCAAGATCGTCGAAGGAAGCTGGTCTTGGGATAATATAAGCAACACAAAGCATAAGTGCACTCAGGCCACTTAGGCATCCAATACACTGCCACTTTTTCGAAGCATGCAAGGCAGTTCTCGAAGCCTCTCGGCACAGCCCTCTAATTGGTCTCCATTTGCATCCAATTTTGCCACCGGAAACGCAGCAAGCCATGTCCTTGCTGATGAAGCGAACGTTTTTTACCAGCATCACAATCAGTTTTACTAGGGCCATGCTCACTTCCACCTCTCAGGGTCGTTTACTACAAGCGAGCCTTCATTCTCCTAACATGTAACCACTCAGATTACTTCTAAGAGAATCTAGACGAGGCTCACACTTGTCACGCCCACCCAAATCCCGGGCAGGCACACTTCTAGCGGAGAAAATAGAGTGACACAGTCCACAAAACCAGGATAGTCTCCGCGTTTTCTGCAGGATCGGGAATCCCACCGGCACTTGCGACTGGGGTGCATTTAGTGCTGATCCGTGCACACCCTGTCATTCAGTACGATCATCTCTGCCTTAGGCCTTCGATTGCTGTGCTGAAGGTGGCTTGGCTGGAATTTGTCCGTCTTGCTAATACCTATTCACTCAAGTTTGTCCGCTTTGATGAGTGCTAAGGATGGCATCAGATCATGTTTAGCAGGTGGACTGTTTAACTTGAGACGCCGGTGCAGGCTACCAGGTGGAGACCATGTCTATCATTCGGAACTTTCAAGTCTGATCCGACAACCTGTGGAGATCATCTTGAAATGAGACAAGTGAGAAGAATAAAGGTACGGGCCGGAACGTCAAACATGAGAACAAGACAGCCATCCCTCGCATCAAAGCCTCAGCATATCAACTTAGTGCTACTATCAATATGCTCTTCCACGCTTGTGCCTTGACCGGCCTTTTGGCCATCACTGCCGCTAGCCCAGCCCCTGTTACTCCAGTCCGTCGTCAAGCAGCATCCCTCTGCGAACAGTACGGATACTACGCAGCCAATGGCTACGAGTTCAACAACAACAACTGGGGCAAGGGTTCCGGCTCCGGAAGCCAGTGCACTACCGTCCAGAGCACCTCCAGCTCTAGCGTGAGCTGGTCCACCCAGTGGCAGTGGTCGGGAGGCCAGGACAACGTCAAGAGCTACGCCAACGCTGGCAAGCAGTTCGCCAGGGGCATCAAGGTCAGCAACGTGAAGAGCCTGCCCACCAACATTCAGTGGGACTACCAGCCCCGTGACGGCGTTCGTGCCAACGTTGCCTACGATGTCTTCACTGCCGCGGATCCCAACCACGACAAGAGCAGCGGTGACTACGAACTCATGGTCTGGTAAGTACATCCACATCTATACTTCAAACACCAGCTAACGTTTCCAAGGCTCGCAAGAATGGGTGGCGTCTACCCAATCGGCAACAAAGTCACCACCGTCACCCTTGCTGGGTATAGCTGGGACCTCTACGTCGGCCCCAACGGCTCGATGAAGGTCTTCAGCTTCATTCCCTCTGACGGATCATGGAAGTTGTCCTTCAACGCCGACCTGAAGCTGTTCTTCAACTACCTTGCGCAGAACCAGGGATACCCCATCAACAACCAGTACTTGATCGGTAAGTCTCTTGACCATTCTATTCCTCGAACAAGCACTGACGATACTGTGCAGTCTTCCAGCAGGGTACTGAGCCGTTCACGGGTGGCCCAACCAAGTACACGGTGTCCAGCTACAGCGCCAGTGTCAACCAATAAGCAACTTCGCTCGCGAGATTACCAGCACCCACGGGTGGGTGTCATGATTGATGGATATATCGACGCTGGTTTGATGGCGCTTGGGATGCGCAAATGATGGTGTTCACTTCTTCCATGTATATACTTGGCCCGCATATTTGGGTATAAATGCCATAATTTATGGTCTTCAATAATGTCTTGCGCTGCCATGGAACAAGTGAAGGAAATGTTGTGCCTGCCTACACTAGTCTCGCTCGACCCTTGATGTGTAACTTTGTCGATTGTGTTACTTTGGGAAGACGTGTTGGCCTAAGATGCGTCGCCTCTGACAGTAGCCAGATGTGCAGATAATCGGTTATGTGTGATGAGATATTGACAAGATGGAAGTTGGAACGGCCCAGGTGCTTCGGCACGGCTTCTCCGGTCATTCGTCCGTGCGGCCATGCGCGAGATGACGATGGCGCTCACTCGCGACTGCAACGCCGAACTCACGCGACAGTTCCGACTCACCTGTGGAGGTTCAAAGTGTGGCTTCTACCTGTGAGCTGTGAAAATGATAGAGCTTCATAACAGGTAAAGCTCACGTTTGCGCCACGCACCGACCTATCGAGTACCTAGGTACCGCATCCTTGGGCATCCGCAAGCTGTCGCGATGGAGACTCCGGCAGCCCTCAGCAACAGCAGCTCGTACTTCCCATCGCCGGCCGACCTCCTCATGGTCTTCCCTCGTCTCCTCTCCAAGGCGAGTTCGCTTAGCGACCTGGTGTGGTCTGGAGGGAGTGTCATTGCGGAGCCTACCAAGGCCAACATGACAAACACCACAGCTGCGATAACGGCAGGGAAGTTCATACAGGAATCTGCAGCTGCTGCGGCTTCGGGTTCTGTAGCTTCTCCGGAAGAAATCGGCATCTTCCAGGCGCTGAAGAATATGGCCAGCTTCTTCAGCTACATAACCAGCAAATGGGCAATAGCGACGTTTGCTACAGTGAGCATACTCTCCGAGGATACAACCACTCTGCTGATTATGGCGACCAGGCAATTCTCTTGAATCGAACTCACTTTTATGCGTCCAGCCGAATCCCTCTCTCTTTCGACCGCCTTTACCTACGATTCGCCATCTATCTCCCACCACTGCTTTTGTTTCTGTACCAGATCCAAGGCATAACCCAGGCGATACGATGTCAGACCTTTCCAGGATGGTCCGAAGTGCAATATGGCGCCGCCGGAAGACAGCTCGATACCGACTTTGCTGGTGAGGGAGGCTATCTATGGCAAGCGTCATCCAAGGTTCTCTTCTGGGAATCCATCGAGGACTCCTGCAGGGCAGCCAACATGCTTCCCAGTGATGAAGAGTCAACGCGGCCATCCGGCTCGCTTGCCATCCTATGGCCTTTGTTTCTTTCACTCGGCATTAGCCACTTCGTGGAAACTCTCTCCTGTGCTCTCCAGGGTCGCCAACCCGTGCAAGAGGCTGGCATGACCATCTTTGAGCACTCGCTCGCTTTTGCTGAAGCTGAGGCTGTTGTGACGAAGCCTTTAGCTATCGACACGACACGATTCTTCAAGCCCAAGCAGATGTGGACACCAAACGGGTCATCCTTCATGATGCCTCGGTCCAGTTTGAACAAGATCGTCAACGTTCCACCTGAAGTTTTGATCATTTCGCTCATTTCCAGTATCAGCCATTTCACCAGCAACGCTCTTGCAATCGCGGGCGTGAGGTCCAGATACAGGCTCGTCACCACGACCATCTGGGGTCTGGCTTACATGGCCACATTCTCCTGGAGCTTCGTCAAGCTCACAAGCCGGATTGCTGATCCCAACCAGTCACCAGTGGGTATCTTGAGATTTCCCACAGTTTGTATAGTAGGCTTCATTCCACATCTTCTGATTCTCGCTGGCATCTTTACGTGTGGCTTGATCTACCTTTTGGCCCTCTTCATTACGGTCTTATCTCCGCCACCAGGCCAGCCAGCGTCGTTGACTCTACGGGAAAGATTCACCGTTGCTTACAACAACCTTCATGCCAACATTCATCTATCAGCAACCGCGCCTCTGACCATCAATTGGCATGAGGACTTTTACACGGCAATCCTAAAGGTTGGCTTCACAGTGTTGACAGCAGCTAGCGAAGCAGTTTTCCTGAATGAGGGCACTAAAGTACATGTTCATCCAATGACATGGATTGAGAAGAAGAGACTAGAAGATATTGTGACCCGTCGCAGGAAATTCCGCCAAAGCCTGACCAACATCCCCCCACAATTGCGAAGCGGCACCTTGGCTGCAGGCGTCGAAGTGGTAGATGGCATCGATGGAGACACACCAAATCAGAGTGCAACATCTGGCTATGCCACTGAACGCAAGACACGCGGCGCGAAGAGCGCAGCGGACGCCACCAGGACGACCGGTCACCGCGACCCTGCAGGTCTTGCACAGCGCAGGAACCGTTTCTTCTTGACTTTCCGCTTCTTCCGAAGCATATTTATGCTCATTGCAGCGATCCATGCTCGCTTCACGTTATCGCTACTCGAAAAGCTCCGGATAGCCTACCGACCACGGTGGATGAGGCGTCTGGCCGGACCTCAGGAGATGGACAAGATGCGGCCTGCGGATATGCGTGGGGGTTCATACATGGTGCCATCCGCAGACGAATCGTGGCTGACTCTTGACGACCGCAGTCGGTTCCGTCCTGATAGCAGTTTCGATGTCGAGACATTTGCCAAAGAGAGGCTGCGTCAGAGCGGCTTTTATGCTGAGCCCGATACTGAGGTTGCGGAGGAGCGGCTGGACGACTACCTATATTCATGGTGGCGCAATGGAGGTCGATGGGGTGACGTTGATAGCAGCACTGACTACATGCCGCCCCAGGATGATGATACTACAAGCGTTGTTTCTTTCGCGACGGAAACAGACAACAGCGAATGGTCGGATGAGGAGGATGGACAACGCACACCCACACGCGAGACTTACCAGCGTAGTCGGGAAGCTACGCCATCATCAGATCATACGATGGATCTCGCCCGGCTCTCGCATCTGCTTGACCCAAAGACGAGCGAAGACCGCGAGGAGGCCAGGCTGTTGGCACGTCATCTTGAAAGTTCCAAGATCTTGACACGGTCACAGTACAGGCAGATGCGCGAACGCGATGAGGCCAAGATCTTGACCACATCACGGTACAAGATGAGCGGCACAATGAAGATGTCACCCGAAGAGGAGGAGCAGCTCCTCGAGGACTTCATCCTGAACAAACGATCGGCTATGCCATTACCAGGACAGAGCAATGCAGGCAGCTGGGATACTGGGGCGGAGGGCATGGGTGCTGAAGGGCCCCAATGCGTGGTCTGTCAGCTGTCGCCAAGGACGGTCCTTGTTTGGCCGTGTGGATGTCTGTCGCTATGTGACGACTGTCGGGTGGGTTTGGCATCGAAGAACTACACGGCCTGTGTCTGCTGTCGAACGAATGTGGTAGCATATTCGCGGCTCTATGTACCATGAGTATAGTCATGCTGCTTTTTTCTCTGTAGATGTAATTTTTTGCATATTGACTCCTGCAGCTACGACTTCATGTGACTTCTCTTGGTGATCGCCCAAGGTTTGTGCTGGGCAATGCTGCATGTGATGGATGCAAACTGGTGGAGTGGGCCCATGAAGCTGTGCGTCTACCAGTAGACAATCGCGCCTGCCCCACGCTTAGTAGTCAGGACGCAGTAGTGCACCTGCAGTTCGCCATCGTCATCACGCTTGCGTGCGAAGTAGTCCCGCCAAGCTGTGAGGCCGAGTCACCACCAAAACTTCATTTCCGAGCGACCTCCGTAACAGTAACACGAACAACTCTCTCACCCAGCGCCAGCACACAATCAATTTCGACTGAGCACCGCATTCGAGCTCGGTCAACGGCATACCCCAAAAATCTCTCCAGAAGTTTTTATGCAATCCGAGCCTACAAAAGCATCACAACACGCCCCCACACCAGAAGACGCCCCTCACCCCACCACCTACCTCCCAGCATGGACAGCCCCGCGACGATGACTTGCAGGACTCTCTGCGGCCTCACCCAGGTGAGCAGCGGGGAGAGCCTGAGCTCGCCGTCGAGTGGCAACGAAAACGAAGGCGACGCGACGCGATCGAGCGCTCACCAGCAGCGACGGAAACGCGGTGGAGACTTTCGGACTGAGGGCCAACGAGGCATCGACGCCCCCGCCGAGGAATCGAATCAGCGAATATGAGAATGCGCGCGTGAAGACGCCCAAGAAGCCTTCTGAAGGGCCCCTGTTCGAGGTCATCAAGAGCAACAGGAGGCCCGACGATAAGAGCTCCCCTATCGCGAAGCTGCCGAATGGTGAGTGCAGCGTCTACTTGGGATTCAATGCGCAGGTGCTAACATCAAGCAGAGGTCCTGATCCATGCAATTGCCCATCTTTCGCCCAACGACCTCGCCGCCGTGTCCCTCGTGTCGCGCCGCTTCAACGACCTGGTCACCACCCCTCACGCATGGCAGGTTGCATTCGGCCGCTACTTCCCCGGTCCGCTCGCGCTTGAAGACGCGGAAATCCGCGCTGCTTTGGAAAACACGGGCGATGTGGTGCGCTCGGAAAAGAGGAGGTTCACGAGGCTCACAGCGTTGGCATCATGGAGGAGCGAGTACATTCTGCGCACGAGGTTGCTGAGATCCATGGCTCGTGGCAAGCCTGTGCAGTTACCCGCAATGCCCTCACGCGCCGGACAAACGCAAACTGCTACACCCTTCCTTGAGTACAACGCCCAGACCTTTACTATCATCAACCATCTCCATGCTACTTTCGGATCGGGTCTCAATAAACGCATGCCACGCTTCATCCATGGCGCAGACGATGTTGGCATGGTCACGAGCAGCGACCCGACAACCGGCAAAGTAGATCCATGGGGTCAAAGTGATCCTAATTTCTACGGCCAATTCTCCGAGCGATTCCCTGGCGTTGCCGAATGGGGCCTCGGCTCTGGTCACGTCGTTGGTCGTCCCAATGTTATGGATGTGTCTCAACCATACGGCATGATCTACGGCCAAGGCTGTCCAGAGGGGTCCTGCTATTATCGTTGCATTGAGGAAATGCGTGGGCGTTTCATTGCAGAACCCACCGAGCTAGCATTACCGGAAGCTGGTATACCTAAGCTTGGTGTCGATGGCGGTGCCATCTGTAGCGTGTGGATAGCCAAGTCGAACACGATACCTACGCTGTCCGAGGGCGTGATTGGCATGATGATGGGTTCCGCTGCCGGTGTCGTATCCGCTTGCAGCCTTGGAACAGACGGGCTCCGTGCAACCCGGTTACAGCGCGGTGAGCTTACGGCCCGCTGGGTGCTTAGCCCGGGCGTACCCATTATTGCAATTGTCGTGGACGAAAACTATTCGCTGAAGCGACAAGCGCAGAACCGCATCTGGGCTGTCGCACTCAACGCCCTTGGAGAGTTGTTCTATCTCACCAAGTTCCCCACCCGCAATTTGACCGTCAAAGGAGATATTGAGGAGCACACCGAATATCTCGCATGGCTTACTGGTCGGAGTGTCTACTGGAACATCGTCGAACCTAGTAGACGCGTTGCACGACCGGACCCGTACAGTGATGCTGAGATTGACGGCAGCTACTCGCCCCGTACATCATGGGACGGCATGTGCTTGAGCAAAGAGCAGACCATGGCAGAGACCAGGGAGATTCAACAATACATCCGCAGAGAGCCAAAAGACTTCCGAAAAGCGTGCTTGGGATGGGACATGCGTCGTCGGCTTGAGGTCGACTTTTCAGGTGACGATGGCAATTATGCAGGTGAAGCCATGGTGGTCTTCGAATGTGGGCTCGATGAAGGTCAGGTCGCGGACATCAATCGTTTCACTCGGGTCAAGACCAATGAGAAAGAAAAGAGCACCACTACTTCGACCCGCATCACAACGCCCCAGTCCACTCAGCCTACCTCTTTGTTTGGAGGCTCTGGCTCTGGTACGCCCGATGTTGCAGAGACATCTCAACGCATTCGTCGTTCGTCATACATGTCGGTCTCAAGCTCACCGGAGCGAGACAACCTTGTTGAGGAGTGGCGTTCTTCAAAGCTTACTTTTGGTGGCTTCAAGAACACTCAGCTAACTTGCACAACCCTGGACATCTCAACGTTTGCAGTTCTCACAATGTCAGAAGATCCGGCTCTAGGATTCTCGAGTCCTTCGAATGCTTCCTCGCCATATGCCTCGCCTATGTCTGTCGCTAGTCAGCCAGCCTCACCTTCTGACATACCTGGCCAACGCGCACGCTTCGTCGCGGCAGGCACGAAGACTGGCGTAGTCTTAGTTTGGGATGTGCGTGCTCCTGTATCGCGCTCTTCAGAGTTCCCCAACACAATCGAGCCTATCAGGATTATCTACACTGAGTCGCCTGAGATCTCTTGCTTGGCCATGTCTGCTCTCCATCTCATCGTTGGAGGCAACGATGGCATCGTCCAGGCTTGGGATCCACTTGCTTCGAGCATGACACCCGTGCGGACATTGCATTCGCGATTCAAGTCGCGCGCTCGAAGGCAGATCGCGCAAGCTCAAGCCTCAATACAGGGAGTCGGGATCAACATGTTCGCCGCCGGCGCGATTTGCCTTGACCCCGATCCGACTGTGCTGCGTGGTGCGGTATCTCTTGGCAACGTGCTACACTACTGGAGCTACAGTTCTTCGGCAGCCGACCAGCACAAGAGCAGCAAGCGCAGGCTTCGACGACCGGAACGCGGAAGCAACAACACTCCCGAGCGCTTCTCTGGCACTGGTCGGGTCAACTTGAAAAATTACATCTCTAACGAGAAGTATGAGTTGGAGCGTGACAAGCACGAGCGTCGCAAGCAGGCTGAGCGCTTGGCTGGACGCTTCGGAACTGAGCTCCTAGATGAGGAAGAGGCTCTAGCTTACGCTGCCATGTTATCTCAGGAGGCTCTCGAGGCTGAAGAGAAGAAGCGCCGTGAGAGTCAGAGCACTAGTACCACGGGTGACGAAACTGTCACGCCCGAGTCCAGTGTACTTGGACAGTCGTCTTCGCCAACTTTGAAAGGTGACGATGAGCTCGATGCGGACATTGCCGAAGCCATCCGTCTCTCTCTGAACGACAATCCCGGACCTGTCTATAACGAGCGCAGCTCAACGCCACCTTCTGCCTTCGATATCCCGATCAAATACGCCAAAGGCAAGAAAACATCTTCGCCACGATCAAAGGCTAGCCCGTCAACAAAGGGCAAGGCTGTTGCGGGCTCAAGCAATGATAGTGAGCTTTCCGATCTAGAATTTGCGATGCAGCTGTCCCTCGCAGAAGAGGCGAGCCGCAAGGAAGCCGAAGCCAGCGCGGATGATCAATTTCCTCCATTGAGTCCCGTAGCTGGTGTCAAGGGCAAAGGCAGGATGCTTTAGCAGTTTTTGACGTTTCGCGGTTTTTATTCTCATGCACTGTTTAATACCTATTTTGCTTTTCAACTTCATATCATAGCGGTTCGATTTAACTTGAGAAGAACTTACCATTTCCTCTGTTTGCCAGGGTGGAGAACAGTATTTTCTGGCACTGCTCGCAAGAGCAAGCTTCCAATACAAATTTATCCCATTCTCATCATCCCACCTCTCAAGACACAGTTACTATCTCTGCGACCCACTCCCCCATATCCTCCATCCTCCCCGAAGCTCAACACCTCTCCTGAACGAACACCGTGCTCGTCACCACACCACACCCCCTGCAACATGCCGTCTCATACGGCAAATACTCAGTCTCCGTCGACGTGCTCGGAAAGACAGACTACCCATAATCCGCCTGTCGCCGGGTGTGGTATTACTAGGGTGCAGCGGAATTAATGGTGCAGGCAATCTCTGATGTCCCTGACAAGCTCGCGTTTCAGTATTGCAATTTAGAATAACAAATCTATCGGCGCTCAGTAATGCGAATGTAGAGTAATTGGTAAAGCGCTCAAACAAGATTTCCCACATCGTTCAGACTCAACGAGGATCTCATGCTATCTTTGACCGACCCAGACGAGTCTTTCGTACTGGCACCTGATCCTCCAATCGTCACTACGGTCAGCTTCTCGTTGATGTCATGCTTCGAAGGCTGGCTCGAGTGCGAACTGATCGAAAGGACACTGAAGATAGTCCCAAGAAAGCTTCCGAAGGATGTGTTGGCAAACATGGGGCGAAGCGTCGGTAGACAACAGCCGATCTCCCCTGCGACAATCTCCACCAAAGTCCACACCACGACCTTGGTATTCTCGCCTTGAATATCGCGGAAGCTCAGGGTGGTACCGTACGAATCGATGAGTAGGATGTATGCTCTGACAGCACTTGCAGCAGTTGCACTATTCCCGATTAGCCTGTTTTCTCAAGCACATGGTTCATTGGATGGACTTACAACAAGCCCAGTGCGAAGATGCTCGTGACTTGCAGCTTCTGAGATAGGCTCATCTGCATACGCCACACTATTGGCATCGGCGCTGCAATGATCATCAGATCCATGATAAGATCCGTCAGCGCGAGCGCGGCCGTTGCTCCGCTAGTATCGTCGCAGTACTGCAGAAGTTGTTTTACACTCGTCCATGCCGCCGCAGGGTGAGAGCCGCACTGGAAGATGTTCGCGCCCAGGAAAGCGATAGTCCATGCCGTTATGAGCGCAAGCAAAAAGTAGGAATAGATGTTGAAGCTCCTGCTGATGGAGAATATGCGCCTGTACAGCAATACAACACTGAGTTTGATGAGCCCGATGGCGAAAATGCTGATGATTAAGGTGATTTGCATGTACTAGTTATCGTGAGTCTCAGTGCGATGAATAGGCAGCCAGAATAAGGCATGAGACTTACCTCGACGTTCTCAAAGTCCTTAGGCGTCCTGTTCGCTGCCCCTGTTTTGGGATCTTGGAGTGTGTGCGTGCCGAATAGTCCTTTGGCGGTTCCACCTATGATGACGCCCGCGACTACCCACATGACAATCTAACACAATGGTCAGTCTGGAATATCTCTGTGAAAGCGACCGTGTCGACACTTACCAATCCCGCACATGCTGTCCAGTCGTCAAGCTTGAACTCTGCTTTTTGTAGCATTCGGACTCGCATCCGTGCTAGTACAGCAACAGAAGCTAGCACTGGCAAGATTGTGCTCAAGGCATACGTCCCCGCTTGATTCAAAGACATCTCTGCTAGATTATTGCTAAATGGCTTCAAGGAAAATTACAATGATGTACGCAACACGTCGTATCGGGTGTTCCGACTCGAAGATGATATGGCGAAGAGGTCATCTTGAACCCTGGAAGATATATAATACCATATTGACAGGATATGTACCATGTGCTCGGTGACCGAAGCCTGTGATTGTCACAGCTAGGTACATGTCGTGTACATACTAAGTAAGGCTCGTTTCGGATCTCTGGCTCTAGTACCGGCGGCTATTCCCTGGGTGCCTACTAGTACGATTAGTACCTCCAGATGATGCAACAATCAATACCCACCCCTTCTAAGCGGCTTCCTTGCAGTATGCACATTGAGAAGTTTGCGTGTATTCAGACACTTTGTCTTATGCTCTAAGGCACCAATGACCATGCGAACTCATCCAGACTTATGTATTGGGGCCGCTTGTGAATGGTGTCAATATCATGGAGGGTGTGCGACCTATGCGCACAAGTTATTTTAGGGCTTGCCGTTCGGATATAAACACGCATAGTTGTGGCAGTGGGCCCTGCGTCATATCGACTGCCGATCGCGGGTCATCGAGGCACCGCAGAAAATGGTCGACGAATCTTGAAACTTGGAAACAGTGAGGCGTGCCAGTACGTGGATTGACAGCGGTTGTGGCGAAGGAATCGGATGTAAGCACTAGACAAGCTGCACAGCACGCTAGGTTAGATATCCACTTATCTTTATCGTTCTGAGAACTGTCTGCGTAAAGCGTTCATCGGAAGATAAGATTGATCAGTGATTGGTAGCTTGGCATGACCATCATTAAAACGGTTTTGCTCAATCAGAGTGGGTGATATGATGATATTTGGTATGGTTTTGTTCAGAGAAAGGAACACTTTATCTATGTGTGGAATTTGGTATATTCTTGTTTGCATAGGGACAGTCTCCATCTAGGTGCCCAAATCTCCTCAAAAGTGTTCAAAGACAGTATCGCACATAGATGCTTTAAATTACATCCTAGCACGCCGTTTCAGCAGTTCCCTCTTCGCCTCTTCGAAGAACGCATAGGTCCTGCGCCGGTGCGTTTTCACCAGGTGTCGGGAGTGCGGCAATCGTTGTAGTGAAGGCGAAGACAGTTGCTAGGACTGAGAGGGCTCTTGAGATGTACATGGCTATTGTTGTTTTGGTGAGCTCGAGATCATAGTCAGTCATGATGTAAGGACCAGAATGGAGCTGGCGTACCTGACGCGGGTGTAATTAGGTAGTAACTTGTATTGTAGTTTTCTGGACGATTCAACGAGGTGTTATAGCTGATACAATGCGTTCATAGATGCGGGTTCAACGTCTGTAAGCACAGCTCAAATATGGAGAGAAGAGTTGGCTATATATCGGGGCGCTTCTTCTGTCCAAGCCAAGATAAAACGGGCATTCACCCATTCCTTTTCAATATGAGTAGGGGGCTGGTCGGTATCATCGACAAATGTAGTAACGATTGTACAGTGTTGATACATGTACATGTAGCATACGCAGGTGGCGTAGAGCGTAGGGTTGGTGTGATCGACAAGCACGCTAAGCTTCGGAGACCGAAAGCTTCTGTGGGCCAAGGGCTCTTGGCCGTCTTGAGTGGATGTAATGCAAGGCGTTCCATAGCCTAAGTCGAGCTAGCCTAAGTATACTAGGTGAGGGAACTGGTCGTTTAGCCGGCAAATCAGCGTTAGGATGTATACTGTGCACTTACCAGGCAGCATACTTTCCTCGGAGACAACAAAGGTACTAGAGTTTTGTAAGAGCTTCCTGTAGCATACTCAACGTTCCTCCCTGAGACAAACAAGACCATGAACGCCGAAAAGATTGCGTATCGAAACATTCCGGCACAAGACTCCCACGTCGATGACGATCAATTCGAAAATGTCCCCCGGACCCATGTAGGCTCCTTGAGGGCACGAAAATACCTGTGGTACCTCATTCAAGCTGCACTGCTCTGCACAATTGCCGCGCAGGGTATCGCCATTATGTTTCTGAGCCAAGCGGAGAAGGATTCTTGCCGTTCTGTCCGTAAGTTGTTGTGAGGATTTCTGCGAGCAAATTCTGACGCTATGGTTAGACGGTATGCCTCTAAAGCGTACCGAGCCTAGGACTATATATCAGCACTCGAAGTACATCTCAAGTGATGAAGAAGAAGCTTCCAAAGCCTGGGACGCAATCCTGCCCGGCCATGGCGTTGTTGCTATAGAGCCAGAATATGCGCGGTCCAAGAAACTCCCTGAAACGGTGATCTTACCAGACTCTGGTGGTAAATTGACATTTGTAATCGAGGCATATCATGCGATACACTGTGTTGTACGACTGCTCCTCCGCAGTGCAGAAAACAGAGCTGACTGAATTTCCAGACAAACCTGCGCAAGCACTATGTCGCACTCGAGCGCAATGAGACCAGACACTGGTCAGCTAGCCATGACCGGCACTGCTTCGATGCGTTGAGGCAATACATAATGTGTAACATTGACGATACCTTGCTGAAAACTTGGGGGAAGAGAGATGCAGGACATGACCAAGAGAAGAAGTGCCATGACTGGGACAGACTGAGGGCTTGGGCTGAGGAACGCTCTGCGAATTATTTCGATGCAGAGCCTGGTACGGGCACACGCCATATTGGTAATTATCATGCAGGCGACGGTCTGCCTGTTGGAAGCTTGAGATAGTTATTCAGCTAACTAGAGGCTGTGAATTCTACCAGACCCTTGTACCATGTGTGGAACCAAGTGTCTGCGAAGTACATGCGAGCATGTTGAGGCGCCTGGTGATGGGTAGGTACCTAGGTGCAGGGCGGTGATGACGTCACAACATTCAGAACATCAGCCGCCGGACGCGTGTTTCGAACAGTGAAGCTCGTGTCTAATACCAAAGAAGCAGGCAGATATACGACCCTGGAATCGTGTCTCGGGCTTCAGCACGATCTACGTGTAGATCTCGAGTGGGTACAAGACTTCCGAGGTCGCTCTGAGCATGCTAGACCTTGTTCGCAAGGCTGGCGTCAAGAGGCCATAAGCTCCGCGCGATCGACAAGATGTGCGCCCTCGTTCTCCGATGGGAGGCCTGGCGTCACAGCGGTTTGGGGCCGCATGTAGCGTGATGGCGCTAGTCCAGAGGTGATCTAGCTCTGCGGCACAGTGTAAGATGCCCTCTCTCTTCTGACCCTCACAAACACTTGAGCTCGAAGCAATCTTCTTCTTTCCAAACAAGTATCCAAAAGTGAAACGAAAACAGCATGTCGACTGCAAAGCCTATCTCGGATCCAGTAGCGGCGAAGAAACCAAGCAAGGACCACCCGTGGTGGATAGAGGCAAGTGCTGCTCCGTGAAAGATTCGACCTTAGAACAGGCGCTGACTTGATGTCTCAGAATATTGATCACCAGATAAAACCAGAGGTCAGTCGCTTTCTGACGCTTTAGCATGTAGACAAAGCTTCCTCACACATCATCCGTATCCGACAGGTCCGACATAGCCTCGAGACCTACAGTAAGATCCCTCCGGAAGAAGTATCAAAGCACATCTACACCATAGTACGTGAATCCATCTTCCCATGTTACATCTTTCTGAGGCCATTGCAGCGCGAAAAAGCATGGAACATTCGTCCGTACCCCTGCACTGGCATTGGCGCCTTCCTGCTACCTAGCATATCTCGACATCCCGCCTACCCTTCCATCCTCTCACGTCTCAAATCCGGTGACAAGCTTCTCGACGTCGGATGCTACGTAGGCCAAGATCTTCGACGCCTTGCGCTCGACGGTTCACCTACTGACGGTCTTTACGGAGTCGATATCGTCAATCACTGGGACCTCGGATACGAGTTTTTCAACGACAAAGATCGTTTCCTGGCCTCTTACATTGAGTCTGACATTTTGTTTCCCAATGAAGCGCTGGGTAACCTAAATGGCCAAATGGACGTCATCTTCATCGTGCATGTTCTGCATCAGTGGGATTGGGAGACGCAGATTCTGGCGTGCAAAGAGCTGGTGAAGCTGTCGAAGCCGGAAGCTGGCAGTCTGATAGTGGGGTATCAGGGTGCGACGAAAGACATTGTGGCAAGGACGAAATGGAATAAGGAGAACAACCAGAACGAATTCACGCTGCATGACGCAGAGACTTTTAGGCGCATGTGGGATGTCGTGGGAAATCAGACAGGGACGAAATGGAAAACGGAAGCGGAGATTGTGCCGGAAAATGAGTTGGAGTTTCGGCCGCAGGATACGAGTTATCTTGGGCCTGATTTCGGACTGTTGCGCTTCCTCGTGACAAGGATTGTTTGAGAGGAAAGAGACGCGCGTAGTAATTCAGAAGCCAAGCACAATAATTTGACAGCTCTTCAGTCTGTTCCGCCAAAGCAATTGGCACTCCCTCGGTGTCACACGTGTATGCCATTACCCGCTTCTGTACCACAAAGCAAACACACCACAACCAGCACATTGAAAAGTAACATGATTACCCCATCAGCTCATTTCTGGTCTCGAACTAACGCTTGAGTAAATTTGCATGAACAATTCCGCGCCAAAAAAGGAAAGATGTCTCGAGAGTCGAATTTCTCTAGACCAACGTATCATCTTTTGGTTGTTGGCTACTTTCTTGACAGGAGAGTGGAGTTCAATTCATACAACCAGAATGTTTTATTGCAAGCCATTGGGAAGCCGTTGCGGTATGAAAAAGGGGTATGCAGAGGCTAGCTACTTTTTCGCTGTCAAGCGCCCAACGAAATGCTTGCTCTTTCAGGGTCACAACGATGCGGCTACCCGAGCACCTGTTCTACTGCAGATTATCGACTACCTACCACAGAAAACAAATAGGGATATCTAAAGCCCTCGGGCTATACACAGTATCACGAGGCTTCGATTGCGACGTCAAGGCCCTGTGTGTAGCTCCAGACGCGTTGTCGCTACCCATCGTGGGTTATGGCCTGCAGTAAATATAATCGGCGGAAATATCTCTAGGCAGATCGATGGGTATTGATGCTGCAAGACCCTCCTGCTGTGCTGCTGTAGTTATACAGTTCTCTGGAGCTGAATGTTATTGAAGTTTCGGGTGTAACTAAGCATGTGAAGAACACCTGAAGATGACATGTAAAAATTGCTTCGGTCTCTTTCAAATACACCTTTACTTGATCGACAACCTAGCTATCATTGAGAAGACAGAAACCCCCAGTTCCCACCGCACAATCACTTCCCTGTCCAACCCTACATGAGATAAGCCTTGGTCCCCACTATAGTCAAGACCAACGTTACCTTTTCCTTCAGCTTTTCAAAGTAAGCCTTGTCACGATCGCCTCTTTCTACATTTCCATCTTTCGAGTTCGGCGTTGAATAGATGCTACCAGGTTTGAGCTGGAATTGACTTGGGGGTACTTTTGATGCATCCCATGTTTCGCTGGTTCGTCGCTCGCTTGAGGAGGAAGCTTTCGAATCTCTCCGCTTGCTGGCGTCTGTTGATGAGGTTGCTGCGGGGTTGCTGGTAGTGTTGGTGGTCATGGTGGTGGAGTTGTGTCGAGTTGCTGTTGTCCGTTGCTCAAGAATAGGTTGAATTCTGCCAAACGAGATGGTACCTTACGTCCGGTGCAAGTTTGAAGGGACTGCGCGCTGTTATCAAGCTGGTGATACCCCACACCGCATAAAAGCGAATACGTTCCACAAGCTCTTTCCGTGACAACGCCAAGCCATCTTCACAAAGACATGTGCTCGAGACAGGGCATCATCACCACCGTCACGGCGATCCACAGCCACACATGACAGCCATGATCAGAGTCCAGACCGAATAAATGTCTCCACTGCAGTGGCTCACGCCTGCGCTGTGGCTTGAACGCCAAGCCCCAACTACCGGAAGACACGTCGATATGCTCTGTTCGACGGATGCAGCTGTGGATCTACGTCAGGTGTCCTACTGAATTGGCGAGGGGGTTGAGGGACGAGATGTGGTTGGTGGGCTTCTTTGACATTATTCGTCTCCAAAGCAGCGGTAACACAAGTGAGCAACTTCTTGTTAGCTCAACAACTACTATACGGGGCGCAGTGCATGCAGCACACCGACTATTGTCCATTGCCGTCCACAGCCATGCGACCGCGGGGCTCCGCCGGCATTTCGATGACTCGTTGTACCGTACATCCATTGTGCCGATGTTCCGGTGAGCAGGGCGCATGCGCATCGGGAATTCTGCGTTTTAGTCAAACCGAAGCTGAGGTGAGATATAAGCAAACTCCTTCATCTCGGCGTAATCTTGAATTGTTCGAAGGAGACGTCAGTCGAAAAGTGAAGAGGTTCTCTTGGCTGAGTTTTGAGTATCTAATATGACCAAATTGTTCGCAGAAGTATAGATTTTCGAAACCGGCAGTCTGCCTTTCCATCAGCTTGTCACAAAACAAAAGAAATCCACCACAAATTTCGATCAAAGCGCATCATCGCGCGTTATCCGAAAAAAACGCCGGGTATGCAAAGGTAGGTTATTCAGGTATCCCGGATTTCGGAAATACATATGTAGCAATGACAAATTGAAGCTGAGCGGCGATCACGTACGATCAGCTGGAAATTTTACACAAACAGAAGGGTCGAGAGTCGATAGTCTCGAATAAAACGCCATTGAAATGCACACCCCTTATTCCACCCCACCGAATTGTCGTTCGTGGATCATAAGTCATCGTCGAGATCGATAGCATCGGGATTCGCTGCTCCTTCTGCGTCTGTGGGTTTGACACTTCCGCCCAAGGGGCCGGTGCTAGCTGCGACAAAGCCCACGGGAGCGCGAGCTTCCCGCTCTAGGGCGGCCATTGCATCTTCACCGTTGGTTGCGTCGTCGTTGGCGTGCTCGCTATTGCCGTTCTGCATGCCACGAGCGACGGCTTGAGACGCGATGAAGTTGACGTCGGTACTACGGAGGGTTAGCGGGGTGGATTTGAAAAGCATGAGAAGAACGTACTTGTATTGAGCCTGAACACTCCGCTTGATCCGAAGCATTTCCTTGTAGGTGTCCTCGTTGCCGTGCTGGACCTCGAAGGACTCCCACTTCTTCCAGAACTCTGGACTTGTTCGCGGATCGCAGAACTGGCTGGCATGGCCATAGATTGCTCGTGCTCGGTCGATCTCTCCCAACCGTCGCTCCATTTCAGCAAATTTGAGACACATTTCCTTGGCCTCAGCGTCAGGTAGCGCACCAATAGCGCGCTCGTAGATCGGTCTTGTTGAGGTGAGACCAAAGTTGGAGGCGGATTTGGTGATGTAAAAGTTGAACATCTCCAGCCTGTCTTCGTCTGCAACGGCCCGGGTAGCGCGCTCGTATATCCGCATAGCATGTCGCGCGAGTCCTCGATCTTCCTCCAGTGCTCCGTACATGAGGTAAAGGACCTTGGCGAACTTTGGTGGGCAGTCTTCAACAGCCTGCTCGAATAAGTCTCGAAGACGCTCCATCCCGATCTTGCGATCCACGGCTTTGGTGAGGTAGAGATTCCAGATCTCGAACGCGACAGGATAGCTGAAAAGATCGAGACCGCGCTCGTAGACTTTGAAGCAATCCTCGAAGTAGTTGTTCTCTTCTAGCAGGTTGGCGTAGTTGACAACGGTCTGTGGGGTCGCAATGCGAAGCTCGAAAATGCGCTCGTAGACCTTCTTGGTTTCCTCCAATGTGCTGACACTCTCCACAAGATCGACATAGAAGCTCCAGAGCTTCCAGCTCTTGTGAACACGCTGTTGGGGTGACAGTGAGTCATCAAAATAGTCAACATTCGATCGTTTGGGGGCTTGCGTCGCCTTGGCCATAATGTCGACGGCCTTGTCGAAGTTTTCGTTGCGAAGTTCCAACTCAGCGAACTCGCACCACATCTCAGCCAGCTCTGCGACAGACTTGAAAGGAACCTTGACAGCCTTTTCCATGATCACGCGAGCGTTCTGCAGACTGCCGCCAGCTTCGTAGAACTTTGCATAGTTGGTCCACAGCTCATGGAATTTGCCGACGGCCTTCTTTGGGTTGATGGCGGCGATGGCATCGGTGTATGTCTGTACCACCTCTTTCTTGTTATCGCCCCAGAGCGCAATGCGCTTCTGCCATTCGACAACGTTGTGGGGGTTCTGGCGCAGCATGACATCGTTCAGCAAGAACGGTCTCCTTTGCATGAGCGACTCAAAGCGAACCATTCGGATGTCGAGGTCCGCGTCAGCGGCTTCGTTGAGTTTCCCCTTCTCAGACCGCGCCGCAGCTTCGTTGAGTTTGATGCCAATCATGGCCTCTTCTGCTTCGACGTATGTGTCGAAGACTATGGAGAAGTCGCGTACAGTCATGACGGTGGTGACGGCCTCCTCAAAGACGTCGCGTGCCTTTTCGTATTCGCCCTTGTGCATCCAGTATCGCGCCAAGCCTACCCAGAGCACGCCTCTCTGGTCGGGGAACTTCAGGATGCCACTATGTATGATCTTTTCAACGTCGATGCCGCTGTCATCACTGGTGTCGATTTCCTTGGCGTGGTCGATCAGCAGGTCGATCATCTCGGTCCAAAACTGGAACGGGCCCTTTGCTTCCTTGCTCTTGAAACGGGGGTTGTTGAGAATCTCCATGTACTTCTTGACGGCTTCCGTGTACTTGCGCATGTCCTTGAGCAGCTCGATGAAGTCCTCGGCATCCTCGGGATGGATCTGCATGTACCGTCGCCATATCTTGACAGCTGTTTCGCCTGAGGCGGAAGTCGCAAATGGTCGATAGAGGGCCCATATGCGGTTGTGCTGCGTCAGCGGGAGGGCGCGTAGCGCTCGGTCAAATGTTCGGCGCGTGGTGGTGACGAGAGGCTGCTGCATCAGAAACGTGAGGTACATCTCCCAGATGCGCGGCATCTTGTTCAGCAGCACCAGGGCGCGCTCGAACAGGGCGTTGACCTTGACATAGTGCGGCGCAAAGCGGGCAGGATTCTTCTTGGCAAGATGCCTCGTCCGCAGGTCGAGGTAGAGCTTCCAGAGCTTGTAGGAGCGCGGGAGGACCTCGACGGCGCGCTCAAAGACGTAGGCCTGCTCGAGAATGCTGCCGCGCGACTTCTTGAAGCGCACATAGTCCAGCCAGGGCTTCACGCTGCCGGGGTTGCGCTGGATGTCCTGCTCGTACGCGACATCCTGGTCGGTGATCAGGTGGAGGTCGCTGGCGCGCTCCATTTTCCGCTTCGAGGGCCGCGGGAGGCTCGCGGTGACGGTGCGGAGGAGTTCGCCGGGCATTGTGGCGCCAGAGGAGCCGTGGGACAGCCCGCGGTGGGCAGGAAACGCGATGGATGCGGTCGGGGTGGGTGAGGGAGGTGTTGACGGCAGCGTTAAACTTCTCAGAGGGCCCGCTCGGGGCACCCAGCAACAGCGGTCTGGGACCCACCCCGTTGCAGTCCACCCAATCGCGCCTGCCTCGCCGCGCGCCGAGTTGGCAGGCACGGGCCCGCTGTGGGTGGAGCTCGTCGGGCATGCTAGCTGCGTCACGTTGCGCTGCCTTCACCAACCCGAGGCCGTGATTCTGCTTCTGATTCTACTCTGTCCTTCGATTATCTGCACATCTCACGCACTTGGCGCTCACACGAGCCAACCCACCCATCTCTCCTCCAACGCGCCGCCTGTGTTGCAGATATGTCTGGCAGCGGGGTATGTCATAGCTCCATATTATGCCGCAGCACAACTGACACCACCACCAGGCACGCGAAGCCGTCTTCGCGACGCGGCAGTCGCTGAGTCTCATGAAGAGCAAGCTCAAGGGCGCTCAGACTGGCCACGATTTGCTCAAGCGAAAGAGCGAGGCCCTGACCAAGTACGCATCTGCGAGAAAGCTACACATGTCTGAAGCTTTGCTGACGTAGCTCCGCCCAGGCGTTTTCGAGAAATCACACGCCGCATCGATGAGGCCAAGCGCAAGATGGGCCGGGTCATGCAGGTTGCTGCATTCTCCCTCGCTGAAGTCACATACGCCGTCGGCGGCGACATAGGCTACCAGATCCAGGAGTCGGCAAAGCAAGCTCGGTTCCGCGTACGGACAAAGCAAGAAAACGTCTCGGGTGTCTTCCTCCCGCAGTTCGAGAGCTACACCGAGGACAGCAACAACGACTTCGCACTGACAGGTCTGGGCAAGGGTGGTCAGCAGGTGCAAAGGTGTAGAGAGACATATGCAAGAGCCGTCGAGACATTGGTGGAACTGGCCAGTCTGCAGACCGCCTTCGTTATATTGGACGAGGTTATCAAAGTAGTCAACCGCCGTGTCAACGCAATGTGGGTATCTCGCACAATCCAAGCCTGTCCGTACTAATAGCCAACAGCGAGCATGTCATCATCCCCCGCACGGAAAACACCATCAAGTACATCAACTCCGAACTGGACGAGCTGGACCGAGAAGAGTTCTACCGCCTCAAGAAGGTTTCGGGCAAGAAGCAGAGAGATGCTGCCGTTGAGGAAGCTGCGCGGTTGGAGGCGAAGCAGGCTGCGGAGGCCAAAGAAAGTGCCAAAGACAATGCCAAAGACAGTGCCAAAGCAGATGCAGCCGAGAGCAAAGACCTGCTGGGAGACGAGGACAATCAGGACGTCATCTTCTGAGGCGCGTCTGGAATGCTTAGTAGAACCAAACATTGGCTGTGTTCTTCGCTTCATGCTACTGGACGTCATCTTAATGATAGTCCGCAAAATAGATCGGCCAGGTGGGTTTCCGTGAGGGTATGAAGGGTGGCGCTTGTGGTTCATGCAAGGGTAGGATATGGTTCGTAGCTGCTGAAAGTGCCCTGTGTGTGAGATAAGTATGGCGCCACAACGAACGTTATATGCAGGTAGTCAAAACTCATTGTCCGGACTGAAGCTGAATGAGGTATCGTAATATCATCAAATCCACACGCAAAATCCATTCGCAATAACCTACTGCCGTTGGTATGTGACCTTCATTGGTTTGCCTTCCGCGCCAATTGGTGTATTCGCAGTCGCCTCCTTCGCCGTGATCGCGAATTGCTCGTTCTCGAATTCGGCAAAGGCGACAGCTCTGACCGAGACCAGGCGTACTTCCTTGAAGCCCTCGAAGCGATCGAACACGTTTGTGAGATCTTCCTCGTCGATGTCGCGGGGAATGTTCTGCAGGAACAACACCTTGTTCGGCCGTACGTATTCGTCTGGAACGACGGCGGCTCCGGATTTTGCTGCGCGAGGCTTCTCGGTGGTGACTGCAGGGTTGGCTTGCGCTTTCGCGTCCTCCTCTGCGCGCTTGAAGTCTGCAGGTGGTCAACATAGTCCTTTTCACTCGCACTCTAGTAACGCACCTTTCTGCATTAACCGCTTACGCTTGTGCTCTTCGAACATCTCTGCTGCTTTGCGCTTAACCGTCTCGTCGCTGTGTGTTTTCGCCTTGGACACCTTCAAGGCTTTGCCGTACAGCTCGAATCCGCTCATTTCCTCGATCGCCTCTAGTGCAGACTTCTCGCTATCAAACACGACAAAAGCCTGGCCCTTGCGCTTCAGGCTGCTCTTCGCGATAATGTCGAGTATAGGTCCGTAGTACTGGAAGACCTTGGTGAGAGCCTCCTTCATGGTGTCAATCTTGACGCGCTCCTCGAGATTGCTGACCTAGTGCTATCAGCATCGCGCCACGGAGTGCAATGTGACTGCGTGCTGCGCGCCGTGGTCAACTCACATAAATTCTACATCTGCGGTTAGCATCAAGACCTACCTTGAGATTCTACAAACTTACGTTTCGATGGGCACCGGGTACTTGGACGAATCCACGCCCATCTGGATGCCTTCCATCTTTTCGGCCATGGCGACGATTTTGTCGCGAGCAGCTGTGGAAGCTTTTGTTGGCGATGAGGTTCGCGTCGGAAGCTCAGAGCTCAAGGTTCCGGCACCTGGGCAGGCACGCTAGTGGTTAGTGACACGTGACTTGGAATTTACCATGAACCTTAGAAGGTGTCGACCCGGGTCCCCTCCTCTTCACTTTATCAGATCCCTTTCACAAGAAGCAAATGTCAGTGTTGCAGGCATGGTTTTTACGTTGGATTAGATCCTGGCCATTATAGTCCCAGTCCTCGCTCCGAAGGTTCACATGTGTACGTCAACTGGTCAAAGCAGAGCGATATTGCTACATATATGAGGCGCCGCTGCCTGCCACATATCTGCGGTCAAAAGAAAGGCTTGAGGCTCGACTGCGCTACTGCGACATAATGCCCGCTAAAGAATCGTCTGTTTGCGCAAATTAGTTCTATTCTTCTACATCTAAGTACTGACGTCACCGCTCTGGCTAAGTCGCTCTAAACTTTCTCCGTCTTCTCCTTGACCTTTTGCCAGTCACTTTGATCTGTCCAATATCATCCATAATGCTCAAAAGATTGGGATTCAGCACGTCGGCGCCTCCAAAGGGCCTTAAATGGCGCTCCAACACTTACTTCATCGTTTTTACTGTTGGTATGGGCGCCTTCACCGACCTATTCTTGTATGGCTTGATCGTACCAATATTGCCCTTCATGCTCAAAGACAGGGTCAATATACCTGATTCGGAAATCCAAAGCACTGTTTCGAATTTACTGGCTATCTACGCGGCGGCGTCAGTTGCAGCATCGCCAATCGCCGGCATTCTCGCCGACAAATTTTCCAAGACTCGACAACTTCCCTTCGTCCTGGGACTTTTGATGCTAGTTTGTGCCACCATTCTCCTTGCGGTAGGCCAGAGTGTTGCGGTGCTCGCTCTCGCAAGGTTTCTGCAAGGTGCAAGTGGTGGCGTCGTGTGGACGATCGGCCTAGCCATCATTATTGAGACTGTGGGCCAGGAAAACCTAGGCAAGACGATGGGCACTGTGTTCAGCTTTATCTCGGTCGCTAGCCTCTTCTCTCCAATATGCGGAGGCGCGCTCTATGCCAAAACTGGCTATCAAGGTGTGTTCGGCGCGGGCATTGGCTTGGTCGTGGTAGATTTCATTCTTCGTATGCTCATGGTGGAGAAAAAGGTGGCCGCCAAATACGACTCACACTCACCCCGGGGACACGAAGAAGAAGCCAGTGGCGACACTGAACAGAGCCCATTACTCCCCGATACATTGACCGCACACAAGCGATATAAGTTGGGAAGACCTGCAAACCGCATCACTCGAGCTTTACCTATTCTCCTCCTCTCCTGCGATCCTGGTCTCGTCACGGCGATCTGGGTAGCTTTTATGCAAGCTTTCCTTCTTGGATCCTTTGACGCCACGGTGCCACTGGTCGCATCGGAGCAATTTGGCTTTAATAGTCTAAAAGCTGGGCTGCTCTTCTTACCTCTAGGCGGTGCTGACTTTCTCCTCGGGCCGGTTTTTGGATATTGTGTCGATCGATATGGTACGAGACTCCTCTCCATTCTGGGCTTCTTAGTGCTGGTACCAACTCTCGCCTTGCTTCGATTATCAGTAGACTCATCTCTCACCGAGCCACTTAGCAATATCCGCCATATCGCGCTTTATGCCGGGCTTCTGGGTGCGAATGGCGTGGGACTCGCGATCATCAACAGTCCGTCGATTGTCGAAGCCGGTAACATTGTAGAAAAGTACCGGCAAGCCAATGAGGACACATTTGTGGAAGCACCGTACGCACAGCTGTACGGTATAAATAGCATGGTTTTCAGCGCCGGCCTAACCCTTGGTCCCCTACTTGCGGGTCACCTCAGGGAGAAAATCGGTTATGGCAATATGAACGCTACGCTTGCCGGCATCTGCGGTTTGACAGCAGTCCTTGCTGGCGCCTACATGGGCAGGAAAGAAGAGAGCCTCACCGACCAGGAAGATTGAAGGAGGACTGTCCGCTTTCACTGCTACCGAGGCTGGCTGCACCTGGAATGCCTACGCTTATCTAGGGTGACTGTGGCACCTATTTGTCAATGCTAAGTATCGTACGACAGCAAACCTCGTACACGAAACGGATGCGTTTTCGCTATTCGCTCGCCCACGGCCTGGGCCCCCGCGTGTTCAGCTGTGGCTTGCCAAGACACCAACAAGCTGAACATTTAAGTCGTAGCGCGTATCCTTGAGAATGCATCTACCGAGTGATGTCTTTCTCCTATGATAACTCGGACGTGCGCTGGAAGCCTACAGTGACGGGCGGGCGTGCGCAGATCCGAATCCTTGAATTACACCCTTTGCCATGGTATCTTTGGTGGCTGCCGCGACCCTGGGCATTGCGCATTCCGCTCTATGGTCGTTTATCATGGGCTCCGCTGGCTGACATCAATGTTTCGAAAAGAAAGGTTGCCAATACGGACGTCAAAAACGTAAGGTCGAGCGAGTCCAGCACAACCCAAGCCGAAGAGGATGCGACTCTGATCGGCACCAGCAAGGCTCTAACCGCAAATCCTGTCACTCAAAGTAAGCCTCTGTCGATATCGTCTTCTTTGTATCCAAAATACAAGGCGTTATCATACACCTGGGGCGATGGAAAAGAGAGGAGCAATATCTATGTCAACGGAAAGAATTTGGACATTACTCTTTCACTGGCCACCGCCTTGCATCATCTCAGGTACAATCAGGTCAAGCCGCTGAATATCTGGATCGACCAAATCTGTATCAATCAACAGGACAATGCTGAAAAGACGGAGCAGGTCCGTCACATGGACTGTATCTATCGCAACGCTGAAGAAGCTCTAGTCTGGCTTGGTCCCGCTCAGAACGGTTCTGAGGAGCTCTTGGAGGTGTTCAACAAGGTTGGAACATTTGTGGAAGACTTTGACATGTATTCGTATTTTACGAAAGAACACATTTCCAAACTATTCGCGATTCAGAAAAAGGAAAACCCGGAGGATGCAAAGACTATCGAATACCACGCCTTCTGCGACAGCGTGCTCGCCGAATTTACCTATACTCTTTTCGAGTCGCTGATAGCTTTCTACAAACGACCTTGGTTCAACCGAGCATGGGTGAGACCGTTCAACTTGCCCCCTTAAGCACGACTTCAGCTGACTTTGGACGCTTATGTCGGCAGGTGGTGCAAGAATTCAGTCTACCCCCAGAAGTGACATTCGTTTGTGGAACGAAAAGGATCAAGGCCGAGACCCTCATGTGTGTAATACAAACTATCCAATCGTCCATCGGTACCAAAATCATCGCTACTCGCTCGCACGAATCTTCGTTGATACAGCTGATGGGTACCTGGGTTGACGAAGTGTCGGATACCATACAACCGTTCTTTTCGTCGCGACAGCGGAGGAAGAAATGGGATGAAGGTGAACAAGATGGGTACAGTCTGTATACGACACTTCACAGAATTTGTGTCGAAGGATCCGTGCAAGCAACACAAGGCTGTGACATGGTATACGGTCTTCTTGGGCTCGTTAACGATGCCGAAAAATTGAACATCCGCGCGGATTACTCGACTAAAAACCCACCAAGCTCAAGTAATAAGGACTTTTACAAAAACTGCAAGGGCTATCATCAATACCGGCAAAGTGGATCTGCTCATGTCTGCGCAGTATGTAAAACTAGAGACGACGCTGCCGAGCTGGGTCCCGGACTGGCGGTCTGGCATAACCCGATCTTTCGCCGAGATTAATCACGATGTGAAGATGAACGGCCTCGCTATGGCACTGGCCTATAAGTTGGAGGCGGACGGCACGTTACTGGGCTGCCCACCAGACCAGGATATTGTACTCAGGCGCTCTTTTACCTGGATTCGAGGTGATCAAAACGACCCTGTTTTCGCGGCGAGCAACAAACAGCTACTGAAGATATATGACGAAGGCAATGACCTACTTTTGGCACTTGACGGATACATAGTAGATGAGATTGAGGACATCGGAGGTCCCTGGACTGGCGGGACCCGCTTTGTGGATGGAGAAGCATCTCGATTCCCTCAAGAAGAGTACCTCAACCTGCTGGCAACTGTCCGGCAGATGTGCGTCGTGTCCAAGGCTAAAGGACACGATATCTACCCTACGTCTGAGAGACGGGACGAAGCATATTGGAGGGTTCCAGTCGGAGGCTTGGATCAAGAGGATGGATTTCTTCCAGTGCCCGCCGGTCCGGCATGTAAGCTCAAATATGAGCATTGCGTGGCTGAGCTCGAGATGCTTATCGAGGCATATGCGATGACCATGCCGCAGTACAAAGTTCGGGCAGCCGAGCTTGTCGAGATGGGCAAGAGACGCGTAGATGACGCGGATCCCGGACCGAATTTAGGCACAATGTATCGTATACGCATGCAAGAGATGGCTGGCAAGCGGCCTTTCATTTCCAATGTCGGTTATGTCGGTATGGGACCTCGTTTCCAAAGAGCTGGTGATAAGATTGCGATTTTCAATGGTGCTACTGTGCCATTCATCATCAGGCCTGTTGGCGAGGAGAGCTTCAAACTCATTGGGGAGTGCTATTGTGATGGGATCATGTTCGGGGAGTTTGTTCAGAAAGGAGGAAATGTGCAGAAGATTGTGTTAGAGTAGATTCCTCGTAGTAGATGACCTGCAGTATTAGTATTATTTCGAAGGTATTTTTGGGGGCAAGAAAGATTCAAGGTGTGACCTTAGGTACAAATCACGTAGCTTCAGACCGGTATCGCGAGTCATGACAAGCGTGAGGAATCCTCCATGTTCGAAGATCAGAATTGACCTTGCGGCCGCGGATGCCCACGTGCTCGTGCTTGGCGACGAAGCTTAATTGGTAGCTTAAACCTAACCTAGGAAGGCCGTGACGTAGACACCTCACAATTATTTACAGGGTCCT